CTCTGCTATTCGTTTAGGATCATTTTCTGTTGGTAGCTGGCAGTCCAGTGCTTCCCATTTCAGACTTCTGAAACATCCTCATGATGTGTTTGGATACGCCTAAATGCTTTCTGTAGCGTAAGTCTTATCTGGTATTAACTTGGCAAATACGCCGTGGATCAATCAGTTAATGGTCTGTTCTTACCGAGGGCCCCTCCTACTAGGCTGTAGATTCTCGAATGAATGAGTTTTACTTAAGTCCACAAACCTGTTTCACTGAAATTGAAGAGGGAAGAAAATACAGGAGATGGGTGAGAACTAAAGCTGCAGACTGTTCATTGTAACTTTTCAGGTCCATAGTGTGTTTTCCTGTTTGTATATGCAGAAGCTAATACCTGATAATACAAAAGCTAACGATGATAATGCAGAAATAACACTAGCTGCTTTAAATACTTTCCTAAAGTGTCTTTCAGTAATAGTAATGTATTTTCACATTAATAATCTTTTAAAGTCACATATCTTCAGAATGAATACTGGATTAAGAGGAACTGATGTTCTGGCATTTGTTGACACTTGATATTTAGGAACTTAAGAGTAGGTTTGTTGGATTTTCGGATTCCAGCCTTTTCTTGCACTGAGTATTAGTGTGGAACGTTACTCGGCACACTCGGTGCAGGGGAAGTGCTGGTGGGCTGCAGGGATTTCTGCCTGGGCACTGGTGTAAATATCTGCATTACAAAGAGAAAGCTTAAGTTTCAGGAAATGTAGAGATATCTGTATATATGTAGTTAGTAGCTCTATTTCAAGAACTGTATACCTTTAACCTTTTTTTTTTTTTAAAAAAAAAAAAGCCTTTTCTCATAATGCTATTAATGTGAGCAGTTCCTGTAGGAACAAATGACAAATGCTTAACTTTTCAGTGCTGAGCAGAGCAAACAACTTAGCTTGGTAAGAATATTTTATTTTAACACCTTTCACCCTTCAGATTTTTCTTATATCTTAGCTGAACTGGTATTTTTGTTTGGTGTGAAACTTCTGGTTGTCCAAGAAGTCTTGCTAAGATATTCCAGTCCTTGTGGCATTCAGGCTCAGTAACCACTTGAATGGGCCAGACTATTTTTCAAAATTTTCTTCTGCAGATGGAATAAACAAAGGGCAGAGGAAGGAAGAAAGGAAAGAAGGAAAGGAAGAAAGTGGTATGCAAAAGAAGAGAGACTGAAAAGGATAGTCAAGATTAAATCCCTGGGAAGGAGCATGAAGAGGGCAGAAGCCAGTGCATGTATGTGAGGAATATTTAAGATTGTTAGAATTGTTGGGAGCAGAGAGGAGAATAGGGGAGAAATGAGGCTTTGAAATAGGCTAGTTGGTCCCGTTTATGGCACAAGTGTTGTAGCATGTGTTATGGGTTGCAAACACTAAAATGATAGGCTTGGTTTTTAAGTTGAGTTTGGATTTTATATGACTACATTGTTGGAATCAAAGATGATTGTTTTAAAGCGTAATTATTGAACTGTTTTTTGGTTTCATTTCAGCAGCTGATGTTAAATAAATGAAAAGAAAAATCCCTCCAAATCCTAGGTCATGCTTTTGTTTCAGTGTAGTCAGAGAGGATATTGGATTTTTAGGTGTAAAATGGAAGAGTGGTCGAAATAGTAGGCAGTGTATTGAAGTTTCAGGAATTCAGGGGAAATTGAGTAAAAACGACTGTAAAAAATCAACTCTGATCAGCAAGTACGTTTAGCTTAATACATGAAAGGCCATAGTCAGGTTTACCTATCACAGAGATACTGTGAATCTTCTGTACCAAAAAGATAACGCTGGTGGGTGCTGCTATGCAGCTCGTGGTTTCACAAGTATCAGGAAGAGGAGATGGTGTATGAGTAACATCCGTGTGACTCCGGGGGGCGTTTTGGGATGCTGGCGAATGGAAGTTGTGACGTTGCCTCTAGATAGTGCTGCGTTTGGTCCTTAGGCCTCAGCCTCTGCCTTAGAGACATGGTAGCGGGGTTCGCCGGCAGTCCTGCGCTCAGCCGCCCGCGGCACGAGAGGAGGCGCTCGGCAGCGCCGCTCCCACCTCCTTCCCTGCCCTTTACCTCAGCCCGGGCGCTCTGGCCTCACGGCCCGTGGGGTGGCTGCTCGCACCCCATTGCGCTGCCGCCTGCACGAGCTCTGGCCGTGGGGCCGGCACTCGGCCGGGGGGCTGCCCCCTCACTGGGGTAGCCGTGTCCTCAGGCTGCCCAGCTGCGCCCGTTGGAGGGGATTTGGGAGCCTTAATGCTGTGATAAACTATGTACAGTTCTGTTATTGACACCGAGAGAATTTGGTCTGCCTAGATAATAATGATCCTTGTGTATAAATAAATGCGTGGGATTCTTTAGGTCGAGTATATTTGTTTTGCAAGTGCCTTTTTTCCATAGCCCAGTAATTAAAATAGAAAATACAGAAAATCTTATGAATATAATAGAAGACTAAAATGTGCTATTAGTTTTATTGAGAATAGTGAGATGTGCAATCATTTAAATAAGTCAGTGATAATGCTTGGATCCTAGGAATGAATGATGATCATAGGTTTCAAAGTATTTTAACCATTAGGACGCAGAGACAAGGTACCATTCGATGCTGAACACCACAATTAGAGATGCATGACTGAAGTTTGGAAGTAGTGTATTGGTAGTATTGTATGAGACAGTCACATGAAAAAGATCATGAGGTTGTGAAACGGATTATGATCATGCTTTAGTCATGAATTTCCTGGTAGAGGTTGGTGGGTTTTTTTTTGTTTTTTTTTTTTTAGTTTCAGCTCTGCTTTTGAAAAGCTGAGGAATTGCTTGTTCTTGGTTATATTACTAGTGTTTTGCAAGGGGGGAGCAAAAGTGTCCTACCTGTAAATTAGTATCATTTGTGTAACCCATTTTTACTTGGAGTGCTCTTTTTCAATGCTGGGAAACCGAAAATGTACTTACCTGCTGCCTCTGTCCTCTTTGCAAGCATATGTCCACTCATCCTTCTTCCAGCGCCTCCGTCTCTCTTGTGTGACAACAACACCCATAACTGCTTGTTGCAGATCTTCAACGTGATATTCATGTTGAGTAACGTTCAACGCTGTAAATCCCCAGTTGATGTAAATCAACATATTCCAGTAGAAATGCGGAGCTCTGCTCATCCACCATCTTCTGTACACCTGAGTCCAGCACCTTTGCTCACTGCCAGAGGGTCAGTGCTTCGTGGGATCATGCACATTAGAGAGTCCAGGTTTTGAACCTGTGTGAAAAAGAGCCTGTTCCCTATTTACAGGTTATGCGGTGGAGTCCCAGGCAGTCACATGAGGGTTGATGCAGTCCAAGGACTCTTGGATAAAGCTTTGCAACCTCTTCTTCATCTATTAATGACTCCTTGTGTCCTTTCCCTCTAGGCGGGGGAAAAAAAAAAAACTTGTAGAAGTTGCTTTGAGACTCTTTGTGTATTAATCCCAGTGTTGTGTTTATAAGAACATTAAAGATGCTTTAAATAGTCCGTGTGAGTAAAAAAAAAAAAATACTGAAAATCATCTCCCTGTAAATTTTGGGGGTGAACTTACCATACGAAATGTTTTGAAAAGGTCTGTCACAGCCCCTAAATTGATATCCAGAGTATATGGGGACTTGAACTAGTGATAGACTGTACAGTCATTTCAGACAGATGATGGAGCAGTTGTTCATAAAAATAAAACAGTAGCATATAGTGGTTTCCCCCTGACCTATCCACTATTCCTGGAATCTGTTATCATACAGATGCCTCGAGTACAATCCTTTCTGATCGTACATTGTAGATAGGTCAGTATTGAAAAAGAGACTTTGTTTTGTTTTGTTGTTTTTAAAAAAAAAATCTGGATGAGAGAAGGTGGTTGTGAGCTTTGCTTTGGTAGGAAGGCCTTATTATCTGCTGTGTGAATGGGGCCGAACTGCTGTAAGCATTTTGTTTTGCCTCGTACCAAACGGAATACGTGAAGTGTTGCCACAAAGCCGTGGCAGTGCTCGGGTGAATTTATTCATACATTTTAGCGGATATCCTCTACCCAAAATAAGTCTGTAGAAAACAGAAGTTACAAAATGCAGTTCTTGGCTTATTTTTAGCTTTTTAGTTGGCATTATTTTTACATAAAGTTGATTTTTTTTTATTCTTGAAGTTTCTTTTATAACATTGGTCTTATATATATAGCTCTTTTTTGCTCTTTTAACATTAAGACTGCATACTGTGTCTTAGTATCTTAAAGATAATAGTCAACTTCTTGTCAATACTAAATTGAAAACTCTCTTATCTAGGTGATGTAGTTGGTGAACATCAGTACAAATTTTATCATTTAGGGCATGTCCATCTAACAGTATTTCCTGAGTTGCATTAGAGAGAGGTGTTTTCTGTATAACCTGACTTTTAAATGAATGTCTATAAAGATCTTAGGGATCAGTATACCTATGTAAATAAGTATTAAAAATGCGACTAAAATCTGTTTGACCAGGATGTTGAAGTTTGTTAATGTTAACTTATTTTTTAAATTGTATTACTACTAAAGAGTGGGAATTAGGCTACACTTGTGTGTAGCAGCAGATGAGGGAAGAAGCAAGGTTTGCATTTCAACTATATTTTATGTCCCCTCATCCCCACAAATAAGAAAATATAATACAATTTCTTCAACAGATTTTTATTCCTAACTTGTCTTTTAACTTGTCTTGTAATTTGTCATAGTCTTAAGTGTATCTGGAAACAAACACAAACTTTTTTTGTTATGGGAGTCTTTAAATGCTGAAAGTATGGCATGTAAGAATGCACCTCACTAAAATGCACAGAGCCAATCTTAACAGTGGGATGGAAAAGTATATTAGTAGAATTTTTGTATTAAAAAATACTGCATTTTTTAGTCTGCAAATGCTAATATTAAAAAAAAAAAAATGAGTCATGCAATTGAGGCAAACATGTATCGGAATAAGTATAGTAGAAATGTTGAGAGAGCTTTTGAACTTAAGTGCTTTTTCTTGTGTCTCCTGTAGGAAACAGAGATGAAGGTACACGCGCACACAAAATTTTGCATCATCTGTTTGCTGACATTTATCTTTCATCAGTGCAATCACTGCCGTGAAGAGGGACACAACCATGGTCCTGAAGAGGAACACGTGCACCGCCATAACGACTATCAGATCTCAGAGGAATCCTATTTCCAGAATGGAGGAACAGAATCTGTGCCGAGTAAATTTTCAGCGTTGGAAGCTGAAAATGAACAAAAATACTACATTGAAAAGATTTTTGATCGATATGGTGAAAATGGAAGGCTATCTTTTTTTGGTCTGGAAAAACTCTTACTAAGCCTTGGTTTAGGAGAGGTAAAAGTAGTGATGATAAATCATGATGATATTGGCCATGATCATGTTTCCCACTTATATGCTTTAGAAGTACAGGAAGGAAAGCATGCTCACTCTCACAACCATCCTCATTTTCATAGTCACTCAGATTCTGAAAACCAAACCACGACTGCCATGGCTGCAAAGAGAAATCATAAATGTGACTTTGAGAGAGACACAACTGTGTCATCAGTAAAACCTGAGGGTAAACACATTCATGACCAGAGCCGCCGTCACCATCACCATCACCCTCATCTACATCATCATCTGGACCATAATGCTACATATCATTCTCATAATGATTCTGTGAGTCATAGTGACCATGGAGAACAGAACCATGAACCTTCAACAGAAACAAATGCCACACAGGATCAGCCTGAAAGAAAACAACGTAAACAGAAGAAGAGACGAAAGAAAATCAGTGGGACTTCAGTAGATACTGCACAAGATTATGCTCCAGATCATGATCAAGGTGATCAGTATGAGCACAATCATGTTCATAAACACGATCATGTACATGAGACATCTCACTTGCATGTACACCTTCATGAACATGGCAATGATCATTCCACCAGTCATGGACATCAAGATTCCAGCGTAGGTAATGAGGATGGACGTCATCACACCAGCAAGCGAGAGGCAACGCACAAGCAGATTAATGTAAGAAAACATGCAATTTTTTCAACGCGTAGTCACAAGGATCATAATGAAGATGAACGTGATCGTGAGGAGGTGAGTAGGAAAAGGAGCGTTCCTGCTGCGTAGTAAGGGCAGCTGCCTTCTCCCCAGTGAAGCGGGAGCAAATGTTGGCACTGGTTGCATAATATAGGCAGCAGAGTGAATGCTCTAGGAGGCTGCAGTTCTGAATTTACTTTGTTGATCTTCATTTATATCTACCCCTCATCCATCTCTTCAGGGAATATCCTGCCCCTTTATCTCTCTATAAGGGAGTTACTTCAAGATTTCTAAAGTCTGCTCGCAAGCATTTTCTCCCTTTCCCAAACCTTTTTCCCTGCTTTTTTTTTTCACTTGAACTTAAGGCTTTAATGGCTTTAATGGTTTTGGAAAGTGCTGAACTCTTTCCTAAAACAAACACAGACATCTTTTCAACATAATTCTAATTTCTTTGTCTTAAACAACTGTGAAAGCCAGCTAGGTGTAACTTCTGTAGTACTGTGCTCCATGTAGGTCTGCTCTTCCTTTTCTCCCTTCAGCATTCCTTATTTCTGTCAGAACTCCTTATTTTCCTTTCCCACTCAAAATTAACTCTACAAGTAGCATGGTTTGAATGTTTTTTTAAGTAGTAGAATAAGAAGAGTATTGAGTGAGTGCTGAGTTTGGATTTTTAAGACTAAATTTAAAATTGATTCAAAATTCAAAATGCACAAACCACATAGGTAAAGAGAAAAATTTAAAAATCTACTTTGGATTTATGCTTTTCCATTCCTTTGTTTTGTTTATCCTTTTTTTTTTTTTTTCATTGCTTGTCTTCTGTAGTGCTGAGGAATGTGCAACTTCTTCATTGACCTTTATCAAAAGCTATAGAGCTCTTTGGAGTCTGGGCAGCAGATATTTTCTCCCTTTTCCCTCCTTGAAAACCACTTAGATCAACTGAGATGTATTTCAGCTTTGATGAAATGTTATGCATCAGAATTTCTCTCCTCTACATGTTCTCAAATCATACACTAACTTTTCCATAGCTCATTTTTAATCAAGTAATTGCTTTTGTATTTAATTTGTTTGTACCATTTGTTTGCAGTGCTTAAATGTTACCCAGCTGTTACGATATTACGGTCTGGAAACCAGCTCTCCAATATCTCCTGAGTTGTTTGTATATATGTGTCCCGCTCTGCTCTACCAGATTGAGAGGAGGCTTTGTATTGTACATTATGAGGAGCTTGAAGATTTAATGAAAAATAAAAGTGCATCGATTGAAAATAAAAATACAACAGGTGCTTCAGGTAACTGTGTAATATTCTTGGAAATTATTTTTGCATTATAAATATTAACTTGAGAGTTTGAAATGCCGTACAGCTTAGCATTGATGGTAAAGGACTAGTTTGGGTTTTTTATGTTTCGTATTTTTTTATTTTCTGTCAGTGACACCCAGCAGTTGTGTCCTAACCATTTTGGCCTTGATTCACTCCATCTACCTTTAGACATTTGACTTTCTTGTAGTGGGACCGTAGGCAGCTCTAGGGGATGAGCAAGGCCACGTGCACTTGGCCTTTTTTCCATCATTTAAAATACTTAGTCTTTTTCTCTTAGTGCGACTGAGGTGTAGTACATTTGCCTATAGGCTGAAAGAATGTAGATCAACTTTGACACAAATTTTCATAATAAATTTGTCCCAAATATATTCATTTATAAAGAGAACAGTGCCTTCATTGCAGTTCATGCATTGGAAAATAGTATGCTCTCCAGTTTTATATTCTAGCAGTGATGCAACTTTGTAGAACTGACAGAATTTTAGGATGCTTTAGGAAATGTAAGGATTCAAAATCATTTAACTTACAGTTAACATTTAAATTGCCATTTCTGGTAATAATTCACTTTTCTGACTTTCATTATCATCTTTTCTTTCTTTTTTTCCTTTTTTAACTATTTTTAAAGCAGATACTTTGAAGGTAGAATCCATTGATTTGATTTCATAACTGATACTTTTTAAAATTGTATTTAAAACAGCTATCAGACACAAATGTAATAGAACTCTTGAGAGATGTTTTTACAGGCTGACAGGTTTGTCTGTGATGTGAAACTATTAAAACCTAGAATATTTTTTGGAAGAGGCCTTTGTTTAAAAACCCAAAGTAGTTATAGTTGCAAATATTGATTAGTGTGTACATGCTTATTGGCAGCCTCAGAAATCACACTTTAAGCTCAGAAATCACACTTTAAGTAAGTACATTCTGGTGGATATTAATACCTGTTGGAAGGACTGCATTGCTGGTAATTATTTTTAATGACTGCAGCATCATTAAGAAAGATTAACTTGTTGCACATAAATTTCCCTTAGTGATAACAGCTACTGCCTCACTGTCTGCTCAAAGGTTGCTGTTAACTAAATACCCTCTACATGGCAGCAAATCCTTTGCCTTGTTGAGCAGCCTCCTTTTTAGTCAGAGTTGACCCTTCCCTTATTAGCAACAGGATTTGCAGAAAGGCCCTAAGCATTTTCTGCCAATTAAAACATTGAAACGTGTAGAAAATGGTCATGCTGTGCATGCTTTGAAGCAGTTTAATTAGAAGTTTCCACAGATGAGCACTTTCCTGAAAGAATGCGTTCACTTTCTCTGTAATGAAGTTGATGAATAACTAAACTTGAAGACCTTTAACATTTTAAGAGATGTAATTTGCAAAATAAGTGGCGCTTATTGCGGGACATCCAACATGCTTTATGGCATCTGATATCTTCAGTACGTGTAACACATTTGCCAGTTAATTGTAAAAATTCAAATTTTGTTCATTTTGCTCTGAAAACAAGGTGTAATCCATCACCTCTAAAACGGGTCTCCTTGGCTAGAGTGATAAGTCATTCTTCATTAAAAAATCATGGTTACTGTGGTATTAAGTAGAGTGAGACCTCAGTTGATATAACAAATGTCTAAGTGAAGTAGTGAATCACAAAATAACAAATCTTAACTGGCACTTGGGGATTTCAGGAGGTGTAGGACTAACATCAGTCTGCGAGTAAATATTAACCAGCTACTGTAGTAGCTGCTTGTGGGGTTCTGGTAGAATGAAACTCTGCTTGCCCAGGCTAGTGTGAAGCATTCTTGAGTGGAAATACTGCTCAAAGTCAGGAGAATGAGAGACGTTTTTAAAACGCTTGCTTTATTTCTGTGTAGTTCTTCCACTTTAATGCTTTCAAACAACATTCTAGACCCGTGCTCTTCTGTTGTCACTTAGTAGCTTCTAAGGTTTTTTCATTAAATCTTTTTTTTTTAAAGCCAAGTAAATTAATTAATTGATGACCAAGAACTCATAAAACCATCTTGGAATTTGTAGCACCTTTAATGGAGGATTTCCAAGGATGCTTTTTCTCTCGCAGTATTTTTGTGTAGTCAGCTGAGTTGCCACAGGGTACCTTTAAAAGAGGTGGCATTATCATCACTGACAGCTCCTGACAACGCCCAAGGAGCTGGAAACCCTTGTGTGCATCAGGCAGCTCTCCTGTGCTCCCTGCACCTCCTGGTACTCAGCAGAGGAGCAGGCAGGGGATTTGTAGTAGTTCACCATTTATGTGAATACTATAATGTGCCAAACTGGAAAGAGTCTCTCAGTTTTATTGTGTTATGGACCTGCAGAGTAAATCCATGCATGCAACTCGGAGAAACAAGGAAACAGAGAGAACTAATACAAGTAAAGAACAATTTGTTGTTGTTTTCCAAGGCAGGGACCATTTAGAGCTGTTGCTTGAAAGCATTTCAGATCAGGTATATCTTGTAAATCAGTAAATGTGCGTGTGCGGGCTCCTGCGCTCCTTGCGGCTCATCCTTCCCAGCCCCAGGAAGGCTTTGGCTCCCACAACCTTTGTATGGGCTTGCTGGCCACCTAAAGCCTGCAGGTGGTTGCCCTTTCCTGGCCTCCCCGCAAACCCACATCAGCAGCCTTTGTTTTGACTGACAAATAACTTTGCAAATCGGCTGTTTGCTAGATGCTGTTTGAACAGAGGTCCCTAACTGAAGGAACTATTGGGTCACTTGGTTCCTGCTTTTTCCACACAAATAACTTATAATCCAGTAGGAATAACTTCACCTGCTTGAGCAAACCTCATTCCTAGGACACTACACACCAACTTCTGATAGTTAAGAGCTCTTTCAGTGTTCATAATGTGGCGAGTTGGTTCTGCTTGCGTGTTGTAGAGGTTTGAATTCTCCAGATGTCTGAAGCTCTATGCTAAAATGTTGTTGGCAGTGTTGTCGGATGTCTTCCTTGGTAGCCCTTTTATACCATGGGGAAGTAACTTTATCACAGTCTATGCTTTTGCATATAATATATTCCTTGTCCTTAGGCTCAACAGCAACCTTTTGCTGGTAATTGCGGTTCCGTAGCATTTTAAATAATTCTGGTTACATGAGAGTTGGGAGTTGGAACAGGAAAAGATAGAAGCTGGAGGCCACAGCTTGAGAGATGAGCTCTGCAGATTACTCATTACTCATACTACTTAATCATAGCTCCAACTTTAGGTACTGGTTCATCTGTCAGAGTGCCTAAGTCCTTCAGAGATGCCTTTGCCAAAACTGTGCTATGATATATGAAACTTCAGCTAATCTGTATAATCTCCTTTCCATTTTTGGTCGTTTAACCTGGACCGTAGTGTCATAATATTCATGTCCAGAATGGAGAACCAGCGTGCTGTCAGATGGCCCCGCAGCTTTAATTTGGGCTGCTTTGGAGGCACGTTGTGCTGCCATATTACGTTACATGCCCATGTGTGCTGTTTCTTTCAGCACATGACTGAACTGCTCTGGGCATGAATCAGAGGTGGGTAGTGCCAGTTGTTTGATCTGCAGGGTCCTGCTTCCAGTCTAGACCTATTTTTGTATTCATGTTTCTCAGTTTCTACTTTTGGTTCCTTATCCAGTCGTTTTTGGTCTGCCACCAATTCCCTATTTTCTTCATGCCCTTCCAAAGTTTTTTTTCCAGTCAGTCCCTCTTGCAGCGTGTGCTATGGTACCCTTTGCATTTGAATTAGATGGTTTCATTTCATGCACTTCGGCAGACTGAGAGACAACCTTAGTAGGAAAGAATTTACCATGTTAAACATCAGATGTTTCACATGGAAATCATAAATAACAAAGCAGCATCAGTTGTGGTGGGGACCCTGGCCTGGCCGGCAGCAACTACAGTTCTCATTGTGAAGCAAATCTTGTCAAAGCTGCTCTGTAGTATTTCAGCACAAATAGAAATCTGAAAATCGTGGGGTTGACAGCTAAAGCATGGAGGTGGCTGGATGGGTTATGCTCTCCTAGGGGCGCCAGTTCCCTCCCCTCAGCACGTCAGCGAAACGCGGGGAGCGCGAGGGATCCCGCGGCAAAGTGCTCGCGACCTGCCAAGGTGCTGCCTTGTGGGGATGCAGGGGAAAAATGGAAATGCCTGAAACATTTAGGCTAAACATTAAAAAAAAATACTTCAGGTAGTCATGTACTTGACAGCCTAAATAGTTAGTGTAATGAAAATTATTGGATAAGGGCTTTGCAGTGAGTGGTGTAGTGAGTGCAGACAGAGGAAATGTGAATAAATGTGAATTAGGTTAATAATTTCCCTGTGTAAGTCTGTAATTTTGTCATAAGTATGTTTCTGTCTTCAGCATATTGCTGTGATGTTTTTGCAAAGAGCCTGATCAGATTAGAAGAGTCAGATTTCTGGCCTCTAGCAGTTCCCGTCTTTGGGACTGTGGGCCACGTGAACTGTGCTAGCGCAGTTAGACGGGTTTTGTGTCCTGTTCTCTTGGAAAGAAGTTCTTGTGATGGGAATTTAAAAGGGAAGCGCCAGAGAAGCCTTAGTAAGGAGCTTAAAAAGTAGAAGGGAAATCACGTTATTGGTGTAAGATGCTGATTCCAAGAGGCCTAATCCATTGCTCATGGTATCTATTTCTTGTGCAGTTCTATATTGTATAGAAATGCAGGCATTTTTGCTAATTGATGGCATTACCCGGAGCATCGTTTATCCCATTATCACTTTTTATTATAAGGGGACAATGCAGAGGTCCTCAGAAACATGTGTGTTGTTTTTCTATTGCTACCAAGTTGCTTTTGAGTTTTATTGCTACCAGGTTACTTAGTTCTTTTTTGTGTGTGTTTTATTTTTAAGGCTCCTCTATTAAAGTCTGAGCCCTATTTTTTTCTCCAAGCTAAGATGCTATGTTTCAAAACTCCAAGTGAAGAGCATTGCCTAGCTCTGCATACTATTCTTATCAAAGGGGAGAAGTATTTATTTTTTCCAGTTGAGTAAAGTAAGTGCCACTAGAGCTCTAGTAAGGTGAGATGAGTAGGAGAGAGCATCCTGCTTTGGCCCGGAATCTTCTGCTTTTCCCCTTCACCAGGGGGCTGCAGGGTGAGCCTGGCCCTCGGAATCGGGAAGGGTCATTCCCTTGCTGAGTATCTTTAAGGTCTCGGGGGGTACTGCGCTGGGAATGGGCCTGGGAGAACTTGAGAACTGCTTACATTTCAGCCTGTTTTAAATGAATGCATAGTTAGGTCAAGGCAAATTCATCTAAAGAGATAGTGTAAATCAATGTGCAAGCTTTGCCAAGTATTGTTCTGATAACCCTTCTGTGTTCGTTTCTTCCCACAGCCTGGTTTTGTGGTATCATCTCTATCACCGTCATTAGCCTGCTTTCCTTGCTAGGGGTGATCTTGATTCCCATCATTAACCAATGGTGCTTCAAATTTCTTCTAACTTTCTTGGTAGCTCTGGCTGTAGGAACAATGAGTGGAGACGCCCTGCTCCATCTGTTGCCACACGTGAGTATTCCAGACCTCTAACTTAAGGGTGCGGAGTGTAGAAACAGCTCTTCAGCAAAGGCCAGTATGCAAGGACATGAAAGACCAGTGCCTAAAATCAGTATTGCAGACTTTGGTAATAACAAAGGAAGTGTGCTTTTCTAAAGAAATATAGTTGTATTTTTATAGTTGCTTGAAGAGGTTTCACTGCTTGAGGAGACCAACAAGAGCATTTAAATTTATAAATTTAGCAGGTATCACAATCCCTTGTCTCCTGGTACTCATGTATGAGTATTTCAGGGTGTTCAGCTTCCTGATTACTATTTTTTTTTCCTTTTAAGCTAGAACCATATTTTGTTCTCTTTGTAAACTACTCATTTTGTTTGAATGTACATGTATTAGAATTTCTCCAAATTACATTCTTCTCATACATTTAATTGAGAAGTTATCTAAGTTGCTAGGAAGGTAAGCAGGTTTTAATTTTTGTCAGTATACTGGAATTCTTACAGAGGGCAAGAAGGGAAAATGTTTTCGTTGTGTAAGCTTTAATCTTGAGAGGAGGGATAGAACCTCAGTATTTCAGACTGTAATTGATAGTAATAGCGAAAGAGCTCGTGAATTTGATTGCTAGTGGGAGTATGTAGTAATTTTGTGTGATGTTTTGCAGTGCTGGTCTCGTTATCTTTTATAGCATAGTGAGATAAAGAGACAGAAGGCTGATTTTCATCTTTTATTTTTCCTCCAAAAATTACCCAGTAAAATACTTTGTATTGATTAGGGGAAATTTCCCAGGTAAAATGCATTTGTATAAAAAAGTATTTTCTTAAATGTATTTGGGAGTACTATTCTGGCAAGGCTCTGGGGAGTTGGTTGGTTGGTTTTTGTACATCCAAGCCTGGAGCCGTTTCAGTCCTCCTGAAAGCACCAGGCCCCACGCTGTGTTACTGTTTTTTTCCTAATAGTCCCATGGAGGCCACAACCACAGCCACCACCATGGACAAGGTCACGTTCATGAACACAAGCGCTCTCACCGACATGCCCATGGACACGGAATAGGGGCTGAGGGCTTTCTGGAAGAAAATGACCCAGTGCTGAAAGGTCTCGTTGCACTTGGAGGCATTTATGTTTTGTTCATCATTGAACATTGTATAAGAATGTACAAGCATTACAATAAACAAAAGGTACGTGGTGAAAGTTCTTGCTATTTAAAAACAAACATGGTAATTGAACTTCTCAGTGCTTTCTCTCTGCTGGTTGGTTGTTTGTATTCACACCAGGAGAGAACCTGAGAGGGGATGTGATAGTAGGTGAATCCCCCTGTCCATTAAACAGTCCTTCCAAAGAACCATTTGGCATCTGTTTGTCTTCATCAGTTGATTTTTGAGAAGAAAATTTTGACAAATAGGAAACAGGAGGAGCGAGAAAAGATGTCCATTTTTCTGGTCTCACATCAGACTTGCTGACTTCAGCTGGACAGCAGCAAAAGATTTTCTGTGTTAGAGGTTGTGTTTAGGTCTTCTTATAGAGATAAAAGTGGTCATGTTGGGTATATTTTCTTTAAGGAGTTAATTAAATCCCCTACATTTCCATGGCAACTGCAGACAAGAAAATAGCAAGCTCTTCTCTGAAGAAAATATGAGGAAATTATAGGCATATAAAACTTAACTAAAAATGGACAAAATAGAAGAGCTGTCCTTGCTTAATGAGCAAAAGAGGCAAACACAGTAACTGTGGGCAATAGTGCTTGTCATGAAGTTCTCTGTTAATGAAGTGGTATTTCTGTGCGCACATGTGCATTTCTGTGGCAGGTACCTAAGAATTCCCAGTGAGATGTAGATGTGACTGACAAGTCTTAGTTGACATGTACTTCTGCTGGACAGATTAAGAGAGAATAACTTGCTCTCTTTTAAAAAGAGATTTGTGACAACATTTCAGTTTATCTTTCATTTCTGTTAGTGTCACCCTACAAGTGAGATGTTAACTTTGTGTCCTGCTGCAGAGTAAACAGAAATGGTGCAAGAAGAAACAGACTGAAGAATCGCCAATTGGAAGGAAACTTTCAGACCACAAATTAAATAACAGACCAGATGCTGACTGGCTTCAGCTCAAACCACTTGCAGGTAAACGTTTATTTTCAGGATTCGCTGATGATGCCACTTGGAGCGATCATGGCTTACACCCTTTGGTGTGCAGCATGGAACCTCTTGTACAGATGCGCTGCTGCTATGCAAATCTTTGTTAATAAGACTTGCTAGGCTTTCCCTGTGCTGTTTATTTAGTTTCCCTTAGATCTGAGAGTACTTTGAACATTTCCTAGTACGCCATGCAATTAGTTCTCAGCTCTCTGAAGCAGTTTGGGTGGTGGTCGTTCTTGGCTGGGGGCGATGGGTGTTTGTTAAACTGTTCCTGATTAGCTCAGCTTGGCAAGGACTTGGAAAAAAAAATGAACACGCACAACTGAGAGGAAAGTCGCATTGAACATTATGGTCTCGGATGGATTTCAGTTGGGCTGAGAAGGTTTTAAAAAACCCCTGATTTCTTCTCGTAAACACAAGCACTTCTCAGGTATCCAAGACAGTTTTCAAATGCCGCTCTCCATCATAATCGGAGTGCTCGTGAAGCCTGAGCCAGGGGAAGTGCCTGCTCACTCACTGCTTGAGGGCGGAAGGCGGGAAAGGGCTTTGCTCTCGGAGCTTCCCTTTCTGTTGCCACCTGCAGGCAGTGCTCACAGAAGAGCAATTCTGGTCATCTGAAGGGTTTGTGGGAGAGAGGACGTTAGGGGCATTCGACATGAAACAGTGGGTGTTGACACAGAACAAGAAGAGAGAGGCACTTCCAGCTGTGACTCTGGCGGTACCCATGTTCTTTCAATGGGTGATGAGAGAAATGGCTTTAGTGGCACAGAATACCCTCCTTAGGTAACCAGGTCTGTGACACTGCTCCTCTGAAAGCAAACGGCCAAACAGGAAATAATTCATGTTAAAGGCTACTCAAGCCTGTGCTGATTATGAGTTTTGAATGCTGTGCCACTGATCTGAATGGCCCTTCCATTTCTCATTAAACAGCCTCTCGATGAAGTTAGGAAGCCTCTTTATCTAGAAAGAGTTTGCTGCTGAATATTTTATGCCTTTTTTAATTAATTCTACCTAGTATTTGCATATTTTTTAGTCTGAAATATTTTTGCTTAATTGTTTTAATAATGTCCAGAACTGCTGTTTTTTCCCCACAGCTCTTTGTTTCCTGGAGCGTAGTTTGCCAATTTTGATTATTTATGAACACATTAGAAGTATCGATAGACTTAAAATTTATGCCCTTTTGCCTTCTACGTTGTTTCCATTTTGCCTCCCATTGCAAAAAGGGCACTGTGGGACTGGCAGAGTAACGAGCTGCTCTGGGGGATTCCAGTGCATGGCCCCCGCGTGCGAAGCAGTGGCACGTGCAGCAGCGGATCCGGGCGGGCTCCAGGGAAGGTTAAATAGTGACTTGTGTGTGCATGCGCACAGAGTAACCAGTTTGCCCAGCAGTTTGAGTTCCACCTGCAGCATGAGACGTGTTACAGTTCTTTTTTAGTAGCTTTTTTATAGTTTTTTTATGCTTTTTATTTTTTTTTTCCAGTGTTGAACCAAAAATATTGTCAGCAGCAAAGTAACAGGTACGAGCCTCCGTCAGGCTAAGACTGACTGTGTGCTATGAGTACAGAGCCGTTGCCTTGTAACGGAGACTTCTGAATGCTCTACTTGCAAATCACAGAGAAATAATGCAACGAGAGAGATCTTCTGGGGCTGAGTGTTGACAACAGCTTTTAGATTGGGTTGTGCTAAAATACTTCACATTTTTGCTTTTGAAAAGCAGTTACAATACTTGCCCAATCATAGAGTAGTTGCGAGTGGCACTTTAAAAATGAATTAATGCCCTGTCTCTCAACTGCCCTCACTGCAGGAGCAGATGACTCCGTTTTATCTGAAGACCGACTAAACGAAACAGAACTGACCGATTTAGACGGCCAGCTGGAATCTCCTCCCAAGAACTTCTTGTCTCTAGAAGAGGACCACACCACACATCGCTCCCACAACGATGTCTCGCGCACTGCGCAGGAGCACGATCTCCGGGACTCCGAGTATGACGGCCACGGCGAAGAGAAAATGATAGCTAGAAAACACAGCCACCACTGGCATCCCAAGCATTCCCATCATTCCCATGGCCACTGTCATTCTGGAAAAGACCTCAAAGATACTGGGATAGCTAATATTGCTTGGATGGTAATTATGGGAGATGGCATTCACAACTTCAGTGATGGGTTAGCAATAGGTAAGAAAGGGCAGTAGGTATTTCTCAAGGGTTCCTTCTTGACTTGCACAGTTTTGTGATGCTTTCCTTGTCAGCGATTGTGGGTCAGGCTGCAAATTAGCTCCAGGGCTTACTTGAGCCAAGGCAGTGTTTACCCTCCTTCAGAACAGGAGTAAAAAAAACCATCACCTGCTGTAGTCTGCACTTTGCTGATATTCTGTGCTTATTTCCACCAAGAGAATTGTGCAGATATTGGCAATGGTAGTAGGTTTTTTGCCAAATAAGTAGAGGTGCTGGCAGGACTGCTCATGAATTTTGGTGTACCTGCAATACTGCAATATACCTTTGTTTGGGTCTCGGTATTTGCCTTTGAGTAAAAAGCAGTAAGTTCCTTTCTCTCTTATTTATAATAATATTTATGATGTTCTAATGATGATGTAATATCTATTAGTAATAACATCTACAATACTGCATAATTTACAACTAATAAATGTTCTAAAAGTCAAGTTTTCACAAAATTAAGAAAGAATAGTACGCTGGATACTTTGTTTGAACACAATTAAGTTACTCTTTTGGTTTATCGTTGTTTTAGATTGATTTCTATCCAAACGGAGAGGAAGTAAAACTAGCAGATAAACTGGAACCATTACCATTTTGATTATTATTATGTCAACCTTTATGTCATTTGAACTGTAGAGGGTGTTAATTGGGGTCTGTGTCATAGGAGTAAAAATGGTGTGCCTTGTCTTTTTGCAATGAACTCCAACTTGCGCAAACTGGTGTTATTTTGGGTATGAACTTAAAATTGTTTAACTAGCTCTTACAGAAATTGTAAGTGTTTACACAGGAGTCATTTGAAGAACGTCAGCTTGTTGCAGGTGCATCTGCTTTTTTCCCCTTGGCTCAGTTCTCCTTTCAGAACGTTTCTCTAGGGATGAACTGAGTAATAAAGCAGTAGTAATGCGCATCCAGGAGACTTCCAGCATTTCCAGTTTATACAGAGACAAAACACAGACATAGTGAAACAATTTTAGAGCGTACATTCTAAGGAAAGGTGTAATCTCAAAGAGTTTGTTGATTAAATTTGCTGACTTAAAAATCATAAAATATAATTTGAATCTTATTTTTCTAGGAGCAGCTTTTAGTGCTGGGCTGACGGGAGGAATTAGTACATCTATAGCAGTGTTTTGTCACGAGCTTCCCCATGAACTAGGTAATAAGCTTGATCGGTTCAATCTCTATGTTCTGTTTGAAATGTGTATCTGATGTGATGCTTGTCCTGATAAGCCTGATGCAATGCAGATCCTACTGGGACGACCAGAACTTCAGAGAGTATTGCAGTGTATATAATGAGAATATTAACACAGGATTATTTTAGCAAGAATGTAGCTGTATCTATTTGTGAAGATGTAAGTGTTCTTAGGAACATGCAGTTACATTTTAGTCTTATGACTCTGTGTTTTGTGTACAGGGTTTCAGACTAGGGTGTGCAACACTGTCTTTAAAAATGTTGCACATCCTGTGGCACACTGCAAAAAATTAAATAAGCAGAAGATTTTTCTGGACTCTTCAGAATATGCTTAGTATCACACAGTCACAAAAACAGGAGAAATTGATATTTATCTAGATAAAGCTGCAGACATTCTTGCTGGCACCATCAACTTGACCCCCTGTGGTGAAGCGTTTCTCTTGGGGATTAATTAACTGGGATGCAACCATTGCCATCCTGTGGGCCATGTGTCCCATGAAACACTAGGGCTGTGTCAGACTCCTGAGACAATCCCTGGGAAGGGAAGGAGTCTTTCTTTTAGCAGTAACCTGGATTTTTGCCAGATTAAACTGTATGCAGTCAAAGTTTGCTTGTTTGCCAAGTCCCTAAATGTGCCATGGTGAAGTCAAACAAGTATGGCAAAAGCCCTCCAGAGATAACGGCTGAAAAGCATTTTATATAGATAGTAAGTACAAGGGAAGTACAAATGGGGCATGATAGAGAAAATCATGACGGTTGGACGATGGCGCTGTATATAGTTCAGTACTGGAGTGTATAGAGGATCATCACATATATTGCTGTGTGATGATTTTTTTAGTTGGTTAAAAAGATGAAGGTTTAGGTCTTTACAGAATATGTGGCTCAATCAGCAGTTGTACTAGAGGTGGCCTGAGTTCAAAATACAGGTTAACTTGCCACATCTCCAGCTGTGATTCAGCATGAGTGTAGAATCCCTCCTTTTGAATGAAACTCTTCCTTTCCCTAGTTCTGTGTTTCTCAAATGAATTGGCACTTTCTCCTGGCACTAATGGCTCCAGGATACTCCTCTGTGATCAGTAAAATGAGGTATATTTGGACAGGAGGAATCATCGCAGGTGTGGGGCAAGACTGACTCTGAAGTCTGTAAGTGCAGGTGTCCTCTCAGGACTTCTCTGCTTATCCTTACCAACCAGTTGCCTTTCCATCAGTCAGCATCGTGAAGGAGCACCCTCATATCATATCCTAATCAAGGTCATGCAAGGAGCAGGTAGTTAGAAGACTTAAGAGCTGTCATAGCTTGTTGCCCTTGCTTGCTTACAGCCTCTCCAGCCCATTTTACTTGACAGTGCCTCGGTTTGGTGAGGCAGTACCTGTATCTGTTGGCGTGTGTCTTTGCTCTCTGAGGGCCGTTGATGCCAACTCCCTGTGTTTTCTGCCCGTTTTAGGTGACTTTGCGGTGCTGCTCAAGGCAGGTATGACAGTCAAGCAGGCCATCGTGTACAACGTCCTGTCTGCCATGATGGCTTACATAGGCATGCTCATCGGCACCGCCGTGGGACAGTATGCCAATAACATCACCCTGTGGATCTTTGCAATCACCGCAGGCATGTTCCTCTACGTGGCATTGGTGGATATGGTAAGATTATGATGACTTATGTCATTCTTGCGTTGGGTGCAGAAAGCCTAGGCCTTGAAATTGCACCTGCTCTGGATTTTTTGCTGTTCTTACGACACCAAATGAAGTGTATGTAGACAGTAGAGAGCTGTTTCTGTTCTACGTCTTTTGAGAAGGCTGCAAATACTGTGAGAGATGTAGCAAACTCCTGTAGTCACTTGCCTGTGTGGGTTTCCACTATGGAGATCTGCCTCTAATTTATATTAAAATACAAAAACTCCAATGGGGCTAGGAAAGACGTTCACGTTTCCCACTAATAAACATGAGATGATCATCTATTTTATGGACATAAAAGAGAATGACACTGGAGTTCAATCCACTACTCTAGACTGACTCACCAGTAAAATTTAAGGTTCATGCATTCAGTCTTAGAAGGATTAGTTTTAGCCTTCCGGAAGAGCAGTTGGTAAAACATTGCTTTGCATTGATTTTAAAACTTACTTGCTCGAATGCATGTTGTTTATTCAAGGATTAACTTATGTGTATGTTGTATTTAGCGAGCATACGCCATACATCCAGATCCTTCGAGCAGTAAGGTGGTTCTGCACATGTTATCAGTCTGTACTTAATCCTCATTTCTCTTCTGAAGAGCTTCAGAGTCGCACTTAAATAAGTCAATTTGCATTAATACAATGATGATGAGATCAGTTTTCACTTCCTGGATACTCTGTAATGTCACTCCAGCTGAAAAATATATATAAAAAAAGGATAGCTCAAGCCATTTCCCTGGATTGTAAAGACAAATCTTGTATTAGCTGTATCAGAAACTTCAGTTCCCAAGTGTTCAGGCAGCTCTTGTTGCTTCCCTCAGAAATGAGAACATTTCTGCAGTTACTGAAGTGCTTCCCTGGATTTCCATCTCTTTCTTTACAAATTGCTCTTTCCTAGTACAGGCATCTGAAGCAAAGGCAAGCTTTGGTAGCTGTTATTTCTGTACTTGGATAGACTGTGATCATTAGATTGTTACTTGGATCACCAGGTAGGGCTACGTATGCTTTATGCAAAAGGACTTGCCCATAACTGGAGTTCAGGTCTCTGCTTGGTGGCAGCACGCGGAGCTGTGGGGCAGTCTGCACTAGTGCCAAGTCTGACTTCGTTTAGCCCTTGTTTTGCTGTAGTGTTTGTAGTTAGGCTGTCTTGTCTACTCTATGTTTTTCAGACAAGTACGTTTTTAGTAGAGATTTAAATTCTCAACAAGTCAAATTGGCAGCTTTTGGTTTCTTTCTGAAACATAGTAATGTAAGACCACATGGGTCCTTATACTTGTCCTTTGGGCAGATTTGATGGTGTGATGATGTGTCACATCATCATGTCACACTTTTAAATCTTCCAAGTCTGCTGTTTGTTTTCTGCTGCCATCGGTGCTATTGGACTTTCCTTCACAGGTGAGGAAGTCTTCCAAAAACCCAGAACTATCAGAATTTTTAAGGGGTTTACACAGAATCTTCTTCAATTGTTCCTCACATACAGATTGCTTCCTATTATTTCCATACTTACAAAGGAAATAGATATGAATATGTGTTAGTGTACAACAGCAAATGAATGGCTGAGTTATTTACACTGGTCTTTATATGCATTGTGATATAAGGGTATATTTATAGCAATGCAGCTATAATTAAAGCTTCTACTTATGTTTATTTGAGCATGACTTGGTTTTAATTGAGGAAGAGAACATGAAAGAGCAGAGCTCAAAGAAAGCTGGGCTGGCTCTTATCCTGAGGAATGTGAAGTTCAAATACAAGCTAAAAAAAAAATGCCCAAGGGAAAGGCTGTGGCATAGTTCACTTTGTTTTGTAAATATGTGATTTGTTTGAGACCGTGTTTTAATAACATGTAATGACGGGGTAGAGTTTTAACTGTTTCTTAATGGACTGTTCTTAACTGAATCCTGCAATGTTTTTCTGCATCAGCATTACCTTATCAACTTGTCTGTATATAAATGGAAGTGGAACGACTCCAAAACATTTTCTGTTTTAGCTGCCAGAAATGCTTCACGGCGATGGAGATGATGAAGAGCATGGGTACTGTCCTGTGGGGCAGTTCGTGCTTCAGAACCTAGGTCTGCTGCTTGGATTTGCCATCATGCTGGTGATTGCCCTCTACGAAGATAAAATTGTGCTTGACATCCAGTTTTGACCATCTCTGGTAATCTCTGGTTACACTGATGTTACTGTCTGGCTTTGAGTCTGCTCTGCTTTACTGTATGCACAGTGCTCAGAGGAAAAGCAGTGCCTTGCACTATTTACACTACTACAGAGTCTTCATTTGGGTGTAGATTAACTTCTGCTTTTATCCAATTAAAATTGGATACGATGACCCAGTGCATCTTCTAAACTCAAGTGACAGACAGAAATACTGAAAAGGAGAAGTGGGTTCAGTGTGCTGTAGAGAAAGCACTGTTTGCTTGCTTAAGAAAATAAAAAGTACAGTGAAGGATCTACTCTTCAGGAAAGTATCTTTCCATACTACATTTGAACAGAACCCCAAAAATCTTAAAGCTGAAATTCACCCCTCTGCAAAGAACCAGAGTAAGCTTCTAGTGCCACGTAAGGCTTAAGTAGCACACATAATTTTATATATATATATATAATATGTTCTGTGCTGATTCCTCTGCATAGTAGCAAGAAGTATTGAATCTTAAAACAACACGTGACTGGATACCACTGTGATGGTTTAAATTAAAAATAAAATCCTAAAAACTATTTAAATATTTTAGCTCCACGTTAAGCTGCACTCCCTCCTTACAAACTTCATGTGTAAGAAGACAGGCTGTTGCAATATGCACTGCAGAGAGCTGTGTTCCTTGAGGATCAGTTTTACAGTGTTTTCCTGACTCAGATTTATTTGATGTCTATTCCTTGATATTAGTAGGAAAATGCAAAATGCAGTAGAATTAGTGTTAGCTTGGGGTAATCCCTGATATCAGAGTTACTGAGGTATTTCTGGTTCTTTTTGACAAATGCTAAACATGTAGTGTGCCACTGTGTGCCACTTGCAACCTAAACTACTGAAGAATTGTGGCTGTGAATTTGTGCAAACTCTCTTTTAACAGAGAATCCATATGGGAATTTCTCATTTTTTTTAACAGTTATTTTGGGATGTTTTCTTCTTTTATGTTAAAGCAGTCTAAAGTGCAAGTTGCTAGTTACTGAACCTGGGCACAAAGGTTAAATTATGCTCTTGTGTATGTAGCTCTGGTGGGATATTTATGATGCTGTAGTATCAGATCACATCTGTTCTGCAGTGCCTTGATATCAGACATTGTAGCACTGGCCATTTCTGGCATTAGACAATATGCAGGAAGATTCCTACTTCCAGCATAAAGCAATTCATTTCTACTTTTTTTTTTTCTTTTTTTTTTTCCTTTTTTTTTTTTTTTTTTTTTTTTTTTTTTTTTTTTTTTTTTTTTTTTTTTTTTTTTTTTTTTACTATTTTTGGTATTTAAATTATATTATTTAAAAAAAAAAAAACAGATGTAATAGATCTATGGTGTGTGTAATTCAGGAGGTCGAATGGGAAATTTGGGCCTTAACTTGCTGGTTATCAGCTCTCCTGGACTGCAGCGTGCCGAGCTGCTCGTATTGCCAGACATGAGTTAGTTTTTCTTGTACCCATCTCCCTTACAAACAGTGAGTTTGCGAGGCGCGCCAGTTGATGCTGTAGTAGCAGTCCAAGCATGGTAGTAGCCTTTTTTAAAACATTGGGTTTGTCTTTTTATGTGTGTGCCAGGGAAGCTGTGCTTTGACTCCGTGCCATTTTGTTTGAGTCTGCTTGGCGCCAGTGTAGCTACTACAAACGGCCGGATCCGAACGCCTCGGCAGGAGCCACTCGGGATCTTCATTCCATTTCAAGTTCATGCCTGTTTCCTGCGGCCCTTTGCTTTTGGAAGCTTCCCTTGATCATTTAAGAGCAGCTCGTGTATTTTAAAGGTGTCGGGTGGTTCTTGCCAGTATTTCTTCCAACCACAGTATCACGGAACAGTATTAAGGGTCCATTTCAAAGAAGGCTACAGCTTCTTCAGTGAAGAAGCCCAAAGCCCAGGGGCCAGTTATGCAGTTGTCTGATGCTCTGAACCTAGTGTGCGTGGGGGGACTTGTTGTTTCTTGTGTTTTGTTTTTTTAAACAGGTGGATTATTGGGCTATAAATAGCAAATACACTGTTGCTGTTTCAGGTGAATTCCTCCAGTGTGAAGATCCCGGGTGACATTTTTTCCTAGAACCCAGGTTAGATCCCTGAGTACAATTTTCAGAGACTTAAGTAACTGGATACCTGCCGGAGGTCTGAGCTGAAATAGCCTGTGTTGCTTATGTGTTAGCACAACCTTTAATTTTAATGTCGTTAATTCCGTCATGTATAAGGGGCTCATTATGTGGTTGAATTGAGTTTTTGTCAAATCATTTTTTTAAAAAAATTGTCTTTAATTCTCTTCAAATGAAGATGTCACTGTTTCAAGTAGTAGGTTTACTTTTGTATTAGTTCAAATGTGGTTATAGCTCAATACGCTGCCTTTGTAGAAAAGAGTTAACTTCCTTCCAAGACCATCTTCAGGCAAGGGAAAAACATGGTTAGGTAGGTACTGCATTTTTCATATTAAATATGGGTTTTTCCCATTTATTTTCTAATATTTATTACAGGCTATGAAGAGCAGTGTAGCAGCTGTGGCTTCTAGAAGTTTCCACCAGTATTGAATTCCAGGTCATTTTAATATACAATTTTAGGGTCATGTTACAATCTGAATTCCACTGCGTTTCTAGTTGGCTTCAACATTCCATTCTGCTTGAATCCAGAGTCTCATTTAACTTGTATCTGTTGGAGGGCATAAATGTTACTTGTATATTACAATGCTGTCACTGTGTGACATCCCATATGAATTTTGATGTAGATCACATTGCATTCAATCAGCTGTGATTATGCTTAGAAAATATTGTAGTAGCTAGATGCAGTGTGACTATTCCCTCCCTCCCCTCCACCCCTCCTTAGCAATTGAGTCTACGGTTTTAAAATGTGATTATGGTCCTATAAGATACTTGCTGAGCTATGAGTCTTTTTGTTATAACTAAATTCTTTTTTTTTTAATTTTATAAAGCTGGAAATGATCAAATGCTGTTTTGTTCACTGTCAACAGTGTTGTGTTCATTTTATGTATGTTCCTTATTTATAAGGAGCCTTCAGAAAATAAAATTATTCAAGGAGCAAATATTCTTGTTGGCTTTTATAAGGTTTTGTTGTACACATTTATATCTTAGTACTCATCTTCATGTTTCAGTGCTTATGAGAGGCGCAAAATGCAAAACTGTGAACAAATTCCTTTTATATGTTGATTTTCCTTTTTAAGAGACATTTAAGGCTTGACATGCCTCCTCTGTAAGTGAAGTGGGAAATGAGCCTCCAGTCAGGCGTGGTGAAGTCATGAGTTCAGCTGGCACAGGAGAGCCACCCCCCGGCCGATCCAGTGCTCCTCCGGCTGGTCCGAAGGCAGGATCATGGCGATGACGAAGTTGGTGGAATGGCCTGTAGTTGACAGGACCCCTCTTCTCTCGCTGGTCTTGTACAGAGGAGCCAGGTAACTTGGTCGCTGCGGAATCTCCATCTTCTTGCAGGGCTTTAGCCATATCTGCGGGAAAGAATAACATCATCTTTAAAATCAAAAATGTTGGGAAACCCTTAGCTTGTTGAAGGTGTTTGGCAGTGGTTCCTTTCTGCTTGTGTTTGCTTTTATACAGCTAGCCCTGAAAACCTGCTTGCTATTTCCTCTTCGTTGGCAGTTTGATCTCCCCCAGCTTCAGCGACCGCAGCCCTCCGGCGGCAGCAGCAACAGGGCTCCCCACTCTCCTCGGGAGCGTAACTTCTAATGCAACACTAAATGTTTTCCACTCAGTTTAAGGAGCTTTTACCATACTACTTTCTTTAGGACTAGAGCTTAGGGTATGGATCCCATCATGTTTATCATTAGTTGCTACGAGAAGATGTCATCAAATGAAAGATACTGACCACAGGCACTGTGTCATAGAGGATTTTGGGATGAGATTCTCCTAGCTTCTTAGTTTGTCTGTCCCAGCGTGCTCCATCCAAGAACAATCCTCGAATATAGACCCCTGAATCGGTTGTAAAAGACACTGTATTAGGCAAACACGGAGAATGTCTTCTGGCTGAGGGCTGCAGCGCAGGCGAGGCTCCCTTTGCTGGCTTGGGGTATATAACAACCATATTCTGTGTTACTGTTTATTCCCATCAGCATTATATAAAGCTACAGTGTCCAACAATACCAAATCTCTCCAACCTTTTCTGAATGCTAGACTAAAAGCTATTCCAAAGTACAAGATACCTGTCACCGTTTTACAAATTCACAGTTGTCATTTTTATAAAGTCTTGTTTACAATATACAGTTTATATAAACTTGGATATGGATATAAACTTGGAGGTCTGATCATATGAAGAGTCTTCAAATTGTTTTACTGCTTATGTTTCAATTTACCATTTTTATGCCTTTCTGAAACAGTTGTTTGAAGGAGTTGAATGTTTAAAAATATAAACCACAAATACCCTATGACAGCTGTCCTCCCATCAACTCTAACTGGAGAAGAAAATGAGAAATCAACACCTGTTTATTCATCAGACTTGCACCTTCTTCCTGAGTTGACTGAAAACTGGAACTTCTAAAACAAGAAATAAACCTGCCCCAACAGAAAAAAGAGTTGAAAATGATGATTTGCAAGGCAACCTGCCAAGCCCTTCCTTAGACAACTTCCAGTCAAACTGGTCCTCAGAAAAACACTGAAAAGACTAGGAGGAGCTGTTTAGTTTAACTCTCCTTGTTCTGAGGAGACGCAGGCTCAGGAAAGCATTTGCAGCTGCAGCATAAGGAAAGCAACCTGTAAGACTGTACATTATTTTCCCCTTAAAGCAAGTCCCCTACTGCACCTAGTGATCTTATCAGTAGAACTGTGTTTTTTCTATGGATAACAGAACTAGGACATCCAAAGCAAGACTCGGTGTCTTGCTTTCATTGGCTTATGGAAATACTGTGTATCTCAGGTGCATGCATTGTGGAGTGAAATAATGGAAAGGAAAATGCAGGTCAGCTATTATTTAGAAATTTACTCTCACTTGGAAAAAAATGGGCTAAAAAGTGTCTTTTGGTGTTATTTTATAGCTGTAGGCCAATCTAGGAAGTTCACTAATGTTAGCGATTTCTTAAACAGTATTTTGCTGCATCACTCTTAGTGCATCTCTTGGGGAATATTAATGGTACAGTAGTAGATATTTTTCAACTAAATTCATTAAATAAATTGCATACTTCTGAGTGCAAATTTGTGTTAACCTCCGAGTACTTCAGCATCGGCAGGTAACTGTGTCACCCATGTACTTGCCATCCTCAGGAGCATTCCTGTATTCCTCATCGTCCAGCACTTCGTAGTCAAAGTCTAGGAGGTCTATTGGTATAGTGTATTTTCTGGCATAGTTCTGCTGAGCACCTGTTAGGAAGGCTTGTGTGAAGAAGAACCCCGAAATCCAGAAGACTGGTGGGGTGCCGTTTTCATACCACTCCTGCAGCAAGAGAAGGAGGAGCAGAAAAGAAATAAGTTGGATTTGGTTTATGATAGTGTCTAGGAAAGCATCAAAAGTAATTTTTTTTTGCCTTTGTCGTCGTCTTTCAGAAAGCAGCAGTATTTTGAATGGCTGCCCTGCTGTGTCTTTTTAACAAAGTTGCTTAAAATGTCACAAACTTGAAAAAAAACCACTGTTGCTCAGAAATAGTTAATTTATGTGAATGTATTACTGTGTTGTGGAAGTTCAGCAAATGACTCCCTTGTTTTCTCTTTCTCCTCCCTTATCAGAGGCTGTTGAGTTTTCATCTTGGTTTGCCTGTGCGGGTGGGAGATCCCTAGCCATATCCTTGCAGGCTGTTTTTAAAACTGTCCCGTTTTCCTTCCAAGGCCAAAGTCACATATCTAAAGTATGTGACAAACAAGTTGAACACGAGGAGAACATGATTTCTGACCTGGATGAAGGCACAGAGTGCTCCCTCAGCAGGTTTGCTGATGGCACAAAACTGGGAGGAGTAGCCGATACCCCAGAGGGCTGCGCTGCCATCCAGAGGGACCTGGGCAGACTGGACAACTGGGCGGTGAAAAAAACTCATGAAATTCAACAAGGCCAAGTGCAAGGTCCTGCATCTGGGGAGGAATAACCCCAGACACCAGTACAGGCTGGGGACCGACCTTCTGGAGAGCAGCTCTGCAGAGAGGGACCTGGGTGTCATGGTGGACAACAAGGGACCATGAGGCAGCAGTGTGCCCTCGTGGCCAAGAAGGCCAATGGGATCCTGGGAAAAAAGCAGGGCTACAAGGATGATCAGGGGCCTGGAACATCTGCCCTATGAGGAGAGGCTGAGGGGGCTGGGCCTGTTCAGCCTGGAGAAGAGAAGGCTGAGAGGGGACCTGAGCAGTGTCTAGAAGTACCTCAAGGGAGGCAGTGAGGAGGATGGTGCTGGCTTCTTTGCACTGGTGGCCACCGACAGAACTAGAGGAAATGGCCACAAACTGAAGCACCAAAAGCTCCACAGGAACTTCAGGAAAAAATTCTTAACAGTGAGGGTGCCAGAGCACTGGAACAGGCTGCCCAGAGAGGTTGTGGAGTCTCCTTCTCTGGAGATCTTCAAACCCACTTGGACGCAGTCCTGTGCCACGTGCTCTAGGTGACCCTGCGTGTGCAGGGGGTTGGACTAGATGATCTCTAGAGGCCCCTTCCAACCTTGAGCATTCTATGATTCTATTCTACGATTTCCCTCCTTGTCATGAAAAAGGGGACCTATTTAAACCTCCAGTGATTTGAACAGAAGTTCTTTTCATAGCGTATGTCATGGGGGCTTCTGTAAAAATGCTAAAATAATGCCAGAATTCATTGATTTTGGTTGTAATGCATGTGAGGTCTATAGCAAGTATCAGTGATTACTGCATGCAAGAAGACATTTTTCTGATGGTTGCAACTGTAAATTTTTGAGACTAATAATTTCAGAAAAAATCAATTTTTGTTACCATTATCTGTTACAGAGAATTGCAGTAGTTACTAAGCCAGTTGTCTCATCACTAGTGGTCTCCCCAAAGGAAATAATAATCCTTCTTTTAGGTCCTGGCAAATCCACCCTTGTACAAGCTGAACCTGGGCTCTGTTCTAGCAATGGCATTTTGGTTTTCTTTACCTACTGCTGTCAGGCTTGTTACAGGTGATGGTGGAAGTTACCTGGTATTTAACATACCTACATATGCAAAGTTGTTGTGCTAAGGAGGGTGCCGTGTGTTCTCTGAGTAACTGCAAATGCAAAATTTGCAAATATTTTTCTCTACCTGAAAGCTAGATGCATCTAGCTGCATTCTGCATCTGTGGGGTTTTTGTTGTTTTTTTTTTTTTTTCTAATTTACCTAAATTTTGATGCTGGAACTTTTGTCCATCTTAACATCTCCTTTTGTAACAGCATCTGTGTTTTTATGAGGAAGGCTACCTGGTAGGAATTACGTATTTCTGCGTAAATCAGTTCAGTCTTTAGTGTCAAAGGCATCTATTGGTCTTAACCAATTCATGTGCTGTCACTAAGGCACTTAGTTAAAGTAAGTTCTGTGAATCTGCAACCTTGGAGGTTATGGGCCCCGTTGAGTCTCCCTAACTCATTCGGCCTCCTTCCACCGCACCCAGCGCAAAGCTTAGAATTTGACCCTAGTTAATGTAAAAGATCCACTGTTAAAATATTTTTTGTAATTTAAACTTGATCATTGGACACTTAGCAGTATCTTCCTATGTTCTGCATTTCTTGCCTACACTGCCACTGCAGAGATGTGTATGGAATCTGGGAGCCACTTAGTGACACGCTTGGAAAGCCGCAAGGGTGGCGGGTGTCGTAGCGGCGCGCGGACGGAGCGCGCCCCGCGGGGCGGCGTGGGGCTCCCTGCCAAAGCCTGGCGCTTCCTTGGGGGCTCGGCGAGGCTGCTGCTCCCCCACCTGCACGCCAGCCATTCCGAGGAAGTACACGCGTGTGTGTGTGTGTGTGTGTGTGCGCGCATTTGTGAACTGTCATCATAGTCAGCAATGAGCAGACCCATACAAACAGCATGTCTGTTCTCACCTGTAAGAACTTCAGTCTACTAAGGAAGTCGTTCACATAGCTGCCAAGAGGCTTGAGGCTTGGGTAAGACTTACTCATCCATAATCCTGGAATTTTGCCTTTCAAAATGCTGTTTACCACTTCCTCCAGTTCAGCAGACATCACTACTAGTCCCTGAAAGAAATATGGAAAAGATGATGTCTAAATACTTTGTTTTGCTTATAACAGTGAATTGTTAAAGCCTCCCTTTAAGAGTTAAAAATAAAAACAACACTTTTTCCAACAGAATTAACCAGCCTTTTGCTAAATGGTACTGGAGCCACCCTGAAAACAAGTGACAGTAGTAAAAAATCAGTAGTCTGATACAGCAGTCAGTTGTCATATGGGTCAATAAGGTCCATAGACCCTTTTAGAAAAAAATACTGAAAAAAAAAAATGCCCTCAGAAAAGGCAAATTCTTCAGAAACATGTTATTTCCAGAGTGCTTCTGAGTTTTACTGATTACAAATGCTTACTTAGCTGTTTTCCCCCAGCTGTTTTGTAATAATTCTGCAAGGGTCTCTTGCAGTGACTCTTGTGACTTCTAATAGAAGCGACTTCTCTATTAGTCTAAATTGGCAGATTTCTCAGTTTATGTTTTGGCTTGAGAGGGAGAAGTGGTTGGGGCTTGAGGAGCCCCAGTTTGTATCTCTGTTTTGTCAGTGTACGTTGGGACAAGGTCAGTTAAGCCTTATCCAGCCTTAGGGTTAAGTAGGAGAAAAAAAAAATGGCCCCAAAACACTTTTCTCTGCTCTTCTGCATTTTGCATAACTGTAGGTTTGGATTTATACTGAAAACAAGGACCAGTTTCTTACTGTGGTGTCTTTGGAGATTGCTGCCTCTGAGGATTCCAGCTACTTGAGGTGTTGAGAGCTGCAACTGTCAGAAATTGTGTGAGGGGCTTCCATCTTTCAAAGCCATAAGGCTTAAAAAAAAAAAAAAAGTGTACCTAGTTACTTCACATCTTATTTGCTAGCAGACACGAGTAGCTGAAACAACCTTGTGTTCTGGCTTTTCTGCAATATTTTTACATTCCATTGCACTCCTGTCAATTTTAAGATGAAGGTAAATAAATCAGCTTGAAGTTTGGACTCCTAAAATTGACTGACCTGCATCAGATTTTAGGGTGAGTTCTCTAGGCTACTTGTACTGATAGTTAGAGATAGAGGCCAGGTTCCAGTTATGCGCCCTTAAGGGTTATTTCTCCACTCACTTTTATTGCTTTCTGGATGTTGGCACAGGAGTCGCGTATTGTCTGCAGTAACTTGTTAAAGCGGCCCATCTCCTGGACAAGCACCGTGTTCATGCTCTGAGTGTAAGTGGTTGGATATCTTCTCATTGCTGCTTCAGTGTCAAAGTTGGAAGGAAGCTTGCTCAGGATGTCTCCTGCAACCTCATAAACAATTTCATCCGTGGATTTTGCACCAGCGCCAGATGCTCGAGACTAAAGACAGACAAAAAAATGGGATTTTTTTTTTTTGGTGGTGAAAGAAAAGAAAGACGTGGGAAAGTGAATAGTTCAAGTACAGCACAGCACAGCTGTTTCATGGGCACTGTTTAAAAGACTGCAGTTCCAGCCCTCTTCCACTCTAACCACCCACTCTGGTCACTACTACAGTCAATTTACCCCAAAAGCATTAATGTCATTAATTAGTGAAATGTGTGACAGCTACACAGAAATCAGATTCTAGGCTACTCCTGGCCCCACAGCTGGCCGAGCCGCCCAGTCTGTGCTGCATTTGGGCGTTCGGCAGCTCCATCTGCTCCCTTCCCTCGGGCGAGCGGTGCCACACGCGCTCGGGCGGCCCCAGCCGCGGGGACGGCAGCTCCCGCGGGAGCCGGGCACGGCCGGGCCCTTGGCAGCCACAACCGCCACCAACCGCCCTGAGGCCCTTCCTGGGGCGCCGCCTCCCAGCCGCGCGAGGCGGCCACCCCACGGCTGGGTCAGGACAGAGGTGCTCGCAGCAGCGCTGTAGCTTTAGTAATGGTATCAACTGTGCTTCCTAAATAAAAAGGGAAATCACTGTGTCTGAAATTAATTGGTTTCATAATTTCAAATACTATCGCATCAGGTTGTCTGTTAGCCACAGAGCTAACAAAAGCTGATTTCCTACAGATTTGTGTCCTTTTCGTTGCTTTTGCCTAAATCCAGCTTTCCCTGTAAACTACACTCTGCCAGGCACAGAAAATACTAACTATGCCTTAAAAGATTTCTAAAGTGGACAGTAATTTCATCAGAATGGAGATGGAAACCAAATTAGGCTACAGCAAAAACTGGAAAAAAAAAAGCTAAACTTAGTAATGTATAGATGGAGTAGGGGGTTATGGGAAGATTTGTAGTCTTACATACCTGTGTAAGAAGAATGTTATCAAATAACAGTTGTGTTTCTGACTGATCCTTTGTAATGTCAGCGTTGGCATTCATTCCAAATACCTCCGGGGAGGGATTCAGCGGAAGGGTCTTTGTATATTCAATATAGCTTTGGTACTGAAAAAAACAGCAAAAGGGGGAAGAACAGAATTGTAATGAGATGCAAAAGTGGCCAAACAGACAGAACCGGCCTCAAACTCCGTCTCAAGGAAAATGCTACAAATGTTCCTACTGTTAAACATACATACAGGGAAAATGCAGGCACCACGTACATTTCTCTTGTCCATCCTCTTACCCTGAAGAGAGGATTAGTGTTGCTTAAATCACTGCTGGAAAGTCTCTTGGAGAGCAAGATATCAGCACGGGCGGCTGCAGCCCCTTCTGCCTGCGAGGGCTGTCTCTGATGCTTAACCTAACAGCTCTCCTCTCTCCTGAGAGAGGATATAAATTCAATGGCCTGTCCGCCTCCAGCAGATACTAACAGATTATTGACTCTTACGCCCGTTTTATTACATTTTTAACTCAAGCGAGCTGGGTTTCTCCTGTACTGCCCTCTCAGGGTGCTGACTCACACAGAGCAAAATCAGCTTAATAGGGTTTTTTTGTTCGCCTTTTTTTTTTTTTTTTTTGTGGAGGGATGGAGTTCAATCATTGAAACAAGTCAAACAGAATGTGGGACTGAGCCTCAACAGTGCGCAATGACAGCAGGAAGTGTGAAGGCACATATCAATAGAGCTAAGCGTGATTGCTCTGCTTTTTAAAAAGCCCTTATCCTCAGATACTTACGTCTCCTTCAGGAGGTGCAAAGTAAAGGCCACTGGGGTCAAATTTATACTCCACGTTGGTAATGATTTCTGCAGAGTAGAACTTGTTCAGGATGCTCCGGAGCGTGCGCCGGTCCCAGTCGTCAGTGACTCTCCCGCCATAGTTGCACTCTCCCGTCATGTAGCGAAGGGCGTCGAAGGGCAGCTCCTGCGGGGCAGCGAGGCCGGCGCTGAGGCACTGGGCTTGTGTCCCTGCTCTCCTGGCCTGCAGTCCTGCTCGCCCGCACAGGCAGCATAAGCTCCACCACCAAAAATCTCCACAGCGATGTCCATGAATGCCCTGCCCGCCCCCGAGCCTTGAGTCGGGAAAAACTTCCCAAATTATTGGAACTTGTTTGGCCAGCCGTGCTTTTTGGGCAGCTGCAGGACTGTAACTGCACCCAGTCCTCAGGCCCGCACAGAGCAGGTAACCAGGGCTGCGGTGTCTGCAGCGGGCCCCAGGGCCAAGGCACAGGTGAAGGAGACAGGAGAAACCCTTGGCTGGTTGCTCAAGGGTGAGACAAGCTAGGCTTGGAAGCACGGATTATGGATTCCACGAGATAAAGTCTCTACGGGAAATGAGGGCAAGAGCTGGTGATATGCTGAGGATTGGTTAATGGTTCCGTATACCAAATAAATCGGAGAAGAACAAAGCGGTAACTCTCTCTACCACATACAAATCATTAAAACTCTCAAGGAAAAAAGCATCCCTACTGACTAGGCAATATGAAAATATTAAATAAATAAAATCTGAACTATGTAGAAAGTTAGTTTGTGAATGACTGATTATGTACCCATAAATGCAATGTAAACAAATTTCACAGCAATACTAGCTGGATTTCCATTTTTTTTTAAAGACATTTTGAAGAATATATTATTCTATTATTTCTAGTTCACCGTTTAAGAAACTGAAAAACAAATTCCAGCAATCCTGCTGATGCCCTGGCTAACTTTGCAAACCAGTGATCTGCCAAACATACACAAATACATCAAGGTCAACTGATCTGCTCATGGTCTTATCCCTAGCATCAAGTAAATCACAGTTATACAATATAGTGAGTGTTCCATATATCACAACTTAAGAATAGACCATGGATTTCCAGGAGATCCTGGAGATCCACAGTCTTTAGCCAGGGAATTTCAGGGGATAGATGACAGTATGGAGCAAGCTGTGAATGAGGTGAGTTCCTACAACGTGGTTCTAGCGTTCCTCGCCTCGGCCGCGCGCTGCCGGCTGCAGTGACCCATGGGAGCGCGAATGCAAGAGCCCAGCGCTGGGCACGTGCCCCGGGGCGCTGCGCGGTACCTCGTACTGGTTGAGGAAGAGCTGCAGCTGCTGCACGCTGATGCGCAGGTCCGTCTCGTTGAACTCGTAGGCGATGTTCCAGCCGAGCGGCCCGAACTTGCGCCGTTCCTGCACCAGGGCGTGGAAGAAGCAGAGGCCGTAGAGCAGGGTCTTGAACTCGGCCTGGAAACCAAGTACAACAGCAAGAGGAACTCACTGCGACTGATGAGGTGGTCCTGCCGTGGCACAGCCGCGGGGCGCTGCCCTGCCGCTGTCAGCGTCCTGCTGCTAATGCCCGTGGAGCTCGTCTCAATACACTACAGCCCCTGGCAGGAGGCCATCAGTGGGTCACAAGCATTAATTTTGAATGGTCTCTTAAACCAGTAAAAACCCTCAAAATAGTTCTATTTTAAAAATAGTGGCAGTCATATATACCCATGTGTGTAAGAGACTATGTTCCCATTAATTTTTTTACACCCTCTTATTGTAAAATAGTTAACACTATACTATTTAGTTATGTAAAATGAAAATTATGAAAAATAATGTAATTTTTTCATCAGATATGACTGCATACCTAAATCCAATTATGACAAGACACTGCTTCCCCAGGCTTACTTAAAAATGTGGGGGGAAGCATTTACTTTGTCAGTCCTGTAAGCCATGTTATGCCATCACTTGACTGTCTCAATTCTGCAATGGAAATATTTTTATGTCATAGATCAAATACACACCAGAACAGCATGCAGGTCAGGGAGTATTCCACAACAGGAGTTCCCAGTCCTGCACATTTGTCATGGGAAATACATGTTGTTTTACTTCTTTAACTAGAAAGCTGTATCATTAGTGTCATACTACAAACTCTCAGATGAAGACAACTTGTGGTAAACTGAAACTTAAATATTAATAAAGTGCTTCGCTGCCAGCAGTAGCAAACAGCATTTCAGTGAGTGGAAGACAATGGTGAGGCTTGAAGGTAGCTCTTCCCCGGGCAGCCAGGCACGAGCAGCAGAGCCTCCTGCGGCTGTTCCACATGAGCGCGTTACCGGTGTCAGCGCAACGGCACTAGGCACTAACCGGCTTCCTGCAGCTTTAGAAAAAGTCGGGATCGGAAATTGGATCCATCAGGTAGGAACGAATTATATTCGCCCGTAAACCTTTTGGTGCTTCGTTAGTCATTTTCACCCCGTTCTGAAGCACAGACACGGGGAAATTCGGAGATGGGTAACTGGTGAGCCAGATTCGGAAATCGGGATGGGTCGTATCAGGATTCAACTCCTACAACACAAATAAAACAAGGAATTGGAAGACAGGAATATACACCTCAACTTTTCATCTTAAAGGAGGCTTTTTTTTTTTTTTTTTTTAAGAGGGAATATATACCAGTATGACCTGTGGTTGTACAAGTGTAAAATTCCTCACAGTAGCAGTTTCTACAGTAGCAGACCAATGAAGAAAGCCTTTGGCCTGAAGAGCTGCTGCAGTGGCTGGGAATTTCACCAAACAATGGACCAGACCCACAATGTTCGTGAGTGTTTTTCACTCCAGTAGACGGAAGGAAAAAGAACCAAGATGTGATGATGCCCTTTGTACAATCATGGGTATGTTGAGCTGTTTTTTTTTAGTTGCCTGCTGGCTTAGACATATGTTCAGCAGTGTTTGTAAGAAGATATTATTTTTACCTCACAGACTCTTTCCAGTATTGGCATCCATGATGTTGCCAGATGGCAGTTTTGCAGAACTATCCACGTCCCTTCTTTTACTGCCTTCTCTATCATTTTCATGGCTATTGGGCCTTGGCCTTGACCAAGCGAGAGGGAGCTGAGCTTTGCACCACCGTATCCCTGCACATATAAAGCATGTTAGAAGTAAGACTAGTGCACATCAAAGCTTCTGGTACAAGAGTTCAAATCTAAGTGTGCCGTATATTTTAAATCACAGAGCAAATCTCTCTTTCATGTCAGTCCAGTTGACTGCCAAGGGAAAACTCCAAGTCCGTATCCACTTAATTCTGAACTGTACAACTCTATTTCACAAGACTCCTCAGAACTTACTATAAAATGCAGAACACATTTACTACCCAGAGGTTGGAGACTTCAAGTCTGCCTGTCACTCTCAACTGCACAGAACAATGAGAGAATAGTCAAGAAACGCAATAAATTTTCTATTAAAAAAAAAAGCAACCTTCTAGCAACCTTCTACTACTTACACTAACCTTTTACATAAGAATTGATCGCAGTTGTTGGGATCTCTTTTTGTTCGATTTTAAATGATCGCCAAAACTACACTTGAATCCCGCAGTGTCCATGCCACCCAAGATCCTGTGGTCTATGTATTACTACATTGTTTTGTAATTAAATCACATTATATGCAGTAGAAAAAAACCTTTTCCAGTAAGATTTCGTTGCGTCCCACGGATGTACGCGCACACACACACACACACACACCTCATGCAGCTTAGAAAGTCTTGGCGATGTTATTAAAATACCTGATCGTCAGCGAACTTGAGGAGCGCAGCCATGGGGTCTGCCCCAGGAGACAGCACGAATATCAGGGGAGCACAGGAGTGACTATCGGCAAATGCTTTGGACAGGTCGAACGGAGGCGGCTCGATGAACGGACGACCCAGGTTGTGAATGATAAATTCCTGCACCATTGGTATTATCTAAAAAAAAAGGAAAAATAGAATTAAAATATCCCATTTTACAAGAGCATTAGAACATAATACTCTGAACGTTTTAATATATAAATGTCAAGAATCCTCTTCCTGCATATAAAATTAGGAACAAGTACAGGCCCAGAGTAATCAATGATTTAGCATGGGTAAACCTGAGCAAAAGTAGCTGCTGTAATGGAAGATGCTCTAAAAAGGTTGACGAGAGACATTCTAGTCAAATGATCCTTAATCTCCTTTCTGTCAGTACATCTGGCCTGACGGGTTGGTGTAAGAAGATAGAATTTCTCCTGCACGTGATCCATCTGTTTTATGGAGAGGATTTCAGGTTTGGCAATCAAGCAACTGCCTTTCAGAGGTGCTAAAAGATCTTAGGTTAGAGAACTTGTGTGTTCAGCAGCTCCTGTGCACTGGTGGCTTCCTACTGAAGCAAAATGAGAGACAATTTATAAGGAGACAGCTTAAAGTTTGGGGTCTACAAATATTTATGCGTATCTTTCTCCTCAATATTGCTAGTTATTCTGTCTCTGAACTCTCGGAATTTAAAACACACTCTAGAATATTTTATATATTTTATTACTATTCATTATATTTATTTATTATTTACTATCCTAATAATTTTATCTATTCTCCCCACCCCCTTTAAAGAAATGCAGGAATTCAGGAAATGCTGAAGTGTTGAAACAGTAATGATATCTTGATCACAACCAGAGTAACATACTTACAGCACCCGGAAAGGTACAATCCATGAAAGATTGCTAAATTCATGTTAAATATGTAACTTTAAACCCTTGCGTTCTAACAATCCATAGTTCCCATGTGGCGTTAGTTGGCAAACACCAGCTGTGGTCGATGCCTCCGGCGCCGGCTCCCAGGTGCGACGCGTCCCCGCTCCGGCGGGGCTTTAAGCCTGCAGGAAGCTGGGAGCAGCTGTGGCCTTGGAAGGATGGAGGTGCTGCTGGAGGAGCTTGCTGCATCCTCCAAGCTTCTGACTGACTTCAAAGAGATGTATGAGTATGAGAACCGCCTTAAAACCTTCACCAAGTGGCCTTTTGTGGACAACTGTAAATGTTCTCCAGAGAATGTAAGTCTGGAAAAGGATAATTTTGGCTTTTTTTCTTTTTTTAAAAAATCTACTGTGGTTGTATTTGGAGTTGCTGTTAAATATGTTCATGTTCAAGAGTTGCTATGAGCTTCTGATAAGCCACATTCATTAAAAAAAAAAAAAAGTATTCCTCCTTTCTTCTATTTTCTGCTTTGAGATACTGCAGCAGAATGAGTAGTTTCTATATGTCCAGGTCACTAGCCTTCCTATAACACTGAGTAGAGTTACTTTTCTTTTTTTTGTCTTTGTTCATGCACAGTTAGCTTTGTGTATTATGCTTTTTTTTTTTTTTTTTTTTTCCTTGCAACTTCCAGTTTAGAAACCTGCTTACATGGGGGGATGCCAGGACTCCCTGAACAGAAAGGCCAGCATGTCAGAATGATTATTACTTAAAATTCAGAAACAAAGGTTACATAAAATTTTAGATAAGTTAATATTTATGTCTCTAGGCTCTGACTTGAGTCTGATTTTGATCCACCTATCAAACCTTCAGGTCGTTATCTCAGATGAATGATGGTGTTAAAATTACCTGAGGAGATGTGAATTAGTATAATTGAAATTGTGATTTGGGGTAGTTTCTCCCTGCCTTTTTTAAGGTTTTTGACTACATGCAATATTCTTGAGCTATCTCTAGAAATCAATAAAAGTATCAGGAAAATGTAGAAGTTACAGTATAACTTATATCTGCATAACTTATGTTGAAGAGTTTTCTGTGGCTCTTAGGCTGTTTGTCCCCCCTGGGAGCAGTCCAGCAGCCCTGGCTGCTGCAGACGCAGTGCCTTGACAGGGAGGGCTTGTGTAAATGCTGCTTGCTGAATACAGGGACTAGAACAAAGCTACTGCGGCAGCCTGTGGATACTGCAGCTACACAAAACTGTTTGCTACTTGTAGCTCTTTCTTGTCCTCTACCAGATGCTTCTTTACCAGCTTACAGCTGCCACGGTTAAGCCCCCTTTTGCAGCGCGCGTGGGGTGGCCCCAGTGCCTGCTCTCGGGAGCAGGGCGTTAGCGAGGCCCTGAGCTCGTGCACTGTCCCCTGCAGATGGCCAAGGCGGGTTTTGTCCACTGTCCAAGTGCCAGCGAACCTGATGTGGCCAAGTGCTTCTTCTGCTTGATAGAACTGGAGGGCTGGGAGCCAAATGACGACCCGTGGTAAGTACAGGAGAACAACATCCAATTCCTGTGACTACATCCCCTACTGATTATACAACAACTAATTTTTCCACAGCAGTTTGCAAAACAGGTCTAAGGAAATCTTAACCTTACCCATTCACCTTGAAATACATCAGAACTTATTAAATATACTCTATATAGAATTTTGAGGTTGGCCTTGCCTTTGCAGAGAATGCCTTGCTTCAACAGATCAGGAAAGTTTCCTATAGCAGCACTACAGACTCCATCTTCCTTGTACCTTTTCTAGATCACAACTAATACAACTAGTTACCATAGGAGATACACAAGTGTTCTCTGCATAATACCTTTTCTACTGACAGACTGTAGAAGTACTGAACAGTCCTGTTTATCTCTTTAAATGTACATGGATGTACATAGATACATGTTCTTAATCTGAGTTTATGCTGCAGGATGGAACACTCCAAACGCCAGCAATGTGGTTTTTTATCCCTTACCAAGCCCTTTGACGACCTGACAGTGGAGGAGTTCTACATGCTGGAGATGTCACGGCTCAGAACCTTCCTTGTGAGTGTTGACTGAATAAATGTAGTGTCACATTCTAGTCTCGCATCTAACTGGGGGCTTCCTGCCCTGGTTTCTGTGCATCAGAAATAAGTGATGGGGAAAGGCTAGAAGATTCTGAAATCCAGATTCATGTGCTAAAAATTCTGCACCTAGCATTTGTGAACAGCTAGTCTATTGCCTAGCTTCTGAAAGAAAACCTAGTCCCAGTGACTTGTTACAGAAGAAAAATATCAGGGAAAAGATATCCAGGCATCTTCCCCATCCTCCCAGCCCCAGAAGGGCACCAATATGTGAATGCAACAAAATCAGACCAGACTAAACTTAGCCATTAGTCCAACTTTTATTGCTTCATGTGTCCCAAGCCTTACATATAAATACCTGTTTAATTAAGCTGTCAAACTTTTCAGCCCATTTACAATGTTTAACAGCTCTCCAGCTGTACCTCTCTCTACTTGGGGGATTTCATGCATGATATGTACTGGTGACATCCATGAGCCCACACCTGAGCTGCTTCAACTAGTCTTCTATGATATTTGACCTCTAATCCTAATAATAGCAATTGTGAGAATGGGGTGCTCCAGGCAGGAGCCCCTGATGGGGCTCAGATCAATCTGCATCTTAGTTCTCAGTTCCACATCTTAGCTCCTGAGTGGCTTTCCACAAATGGGGTCTCATTTTGCTGGTAATGTTTGGGTAGAAATGTCCACCTCCTGGCTGTATGTCAAGGTTAACTATTTAAGGTCCTTATAGAACATACTTAATATCTATAAAGGGAACCACATCCCATAGTGGAAGCAGCATAATTTCTTTCAGGGTGAACTGAGGAATAAGAAGGTGATCATGTTTACTCATATATCAGATCAGTGAGTGATTTAGAGCAGGTATAAGAGGATTCTAGCAGGTATAAGAGGGGCCTGGACTAGAAACATTCCTTTAAGTAGAGAATTAAGAGACCTTGAAATGACAGCTTCCCCTTTCCTGACCCAAGGATGTCCATAGCTTAGAGGGCTAGGACAGATCCAGAACATGCTGCTACCTGGAGCACCCATGTCCTAATGCATTCTCCTGAGAAGTGAGATCAAGCATCTGCACACAAAAGGAAATAAAACTCCCTCTCCCTTATTAGGTTTAAAATGCAGATAAGGAATAATGTCACAATTTAGAAATGAAAGCCCCAAAATGGTCACTGACCAGAATGCAGGAGGTAGTTAGAAGATCTTCTCAATGGAGCTCATGTATGATGGCCAAAGGGCTAGGCAGCATTTGGACTGGAATTGCTGGCCATAGTCAGGGGCAGCCCTCTAAACCAGGGTTAAAGGCAGATCAAAAGGTCTTTGAAGATCTAAGTTCTGCACATACTCCAATCTTGCAGTAAAAATGTTCAATTGACAGTCTCAATCTTTTTGCTTTAAGTGGAAGACTGGCAGAAGCATAATCGCCTCTTTTGAAGAAGAAGTTGCTGCAACTAGGAAGCGTCTTGTGGATAACTTTGTCTCCAAACATCAATATCTATCACAGATGCCAACAGATTTCCATGCTGATCCACCTGCCCAATCTTCTGAAAGTTCTTGTTATCAGCCAAAAAATCCAGAAGTGTGAAGTCTGACTCTAAAGCCTTATCTTTATATGGTAAAAGTATTTATATTTTTATCTGAGTACCAATACAAAGCTAAAAAGCTGTCTAAGGATTTCTTTTTCTAGATAATTTTATAGGCTGCCTGTAACAGAGGACATAACTTACACTACTCTTACCTATCACAGTGTGTGTTGTTGTTATGGGACTGCTATTAGCCTCTAAATTCTGACTATGTGAAAATGTCTAATGAAAATTTTTCTTGTTTTATAGTTCTTCCCCTGAATAAAGACTTGCAATAACTGTAACCATTCAGTGTGGCCTTCCTTGTCTTCAAGGTTTGGAGCTAGACAGGCTCAAATCAAAACAATTCTGCTTCAAAGCCCTTTCAGTAAAAGTAAAATACTTGTTACTGTAAGTACCTATATTGGCCATTAAATTATCTTCCTGGACAAGTCACATGCTATCATAGACAGTAAAGTGTTTAAAAAAAAAAAAAAAAAACAATAGCAGCTGCAGAGGAGAAGTTAGAAGGAGTAAAAAGCAGTCCTTAAGAACAAGAGCTCTGGGGACTTCTGTGAATACAAGGAAAAAAAAAACCCTCAAGGCCTACCCTTTCATTTAAAACTAAATGCTCTTTACTTATTACCTGATAGCAGCATCCCTCAAGTAACCATAGAAAAAAATCACTGAAAAACCTTTATTAAAAAGGTGCAATATTCTTCTGCTTGTGTTCATAAGGGTGTTCATAACACTTAATATTTTTAATTCTAGTTTTTTCCCACTACAGTAAAATGACAAGAGACAGCTGAATAAATGCATACTTACAAATTCATTTGGCTTCTAAGAAAGGCAGCAAGAGCTGGGAAGTAGGGAAGTTTTGTACGTACTTTGTCAGACCTCAGGCAGCGAATGATGAGCATCCTCTGGAATTCCCCCAACTTTTGCCACTCCCCAGGAAAATCTTCATGCGGAGGATCCTAAAAAATACATGACTTTAGCTTTATTTAAAGCATTTGTGAATTATTTAGGGTAGGAGAGCAGCTGGTTATGTAATAACATGAGAAGGCATTCTCCAAGTAAGGTGAAAAATGCACAGACTGATAAAGCACAGGGGTTATAAGTTTAGCAAGTTTCCACTATCACCTTGTGGGTTTTTTTTTTTTTTTTTTCCTTGAAAATTCAAGTTGTTATTCAGGAGTCACCTGAAAATATTGGCAATTATCTACCACTACACATCCTTTGTTTAACTCTTTACATTAATATATGCAGTAAATGACAACTCTTTCTTTTTCTCTGAATAAGTATTTGGATGCACTATGCATTAACTAACTTACGACTGCAGGAATGTTAACATACCAAGCTGTCATACACCAATTTCCATCCATCCTTCAGTTGCATGAAATCCTTACGAATGTTTTTGAAATGTTGCAAATCTTCCAGGCGGCAAATTTCATCCCATGACTTTGAAGGAAGCCAGGTGCAGGGATTGGAAAAGGGATTATCCAAACCAATCCCACCAGTCAACAGAAATTTCCACTCATTCTCATCAATCTACAAAGAAAGACACCCCTCTCAAGATTAAATAAATAAAATCTGGTGCTTTTGGTAGGAAATTGATACTTTATCTACATTCTTAAATTTACTGAAAAAGCTTTTATACAAATACTAAATTCCAAAATATTTAGTGTCTGCTTTTCAGTTAAGCATTAACTTATGCAACTGAAAAAACAGTCATGAGTGAATTTTAAAATTCATCCTTGTCCCTAAATTGAGTCATGAACAATTTTAGCTAGATTTTTTAGATAAACCTTCTTCTGTCTAGAGATGAAAAAATGTATCAAGCCATAACAGTTCTAATTTGTTCCTCAATGGCAAATGAATTTTTTTCTCAATTTTATCTCAAAATTTCTTTGATGACTTGAATTTGTAAATCCAAATCCCTGGAATTAGGGAACTAGAATGTCCAACAACTATTATTGTCAGCTCTAAAATTATTCACTTCTATGGATTCCCCAATGAAATAATATCAATAATGCTAACAATATACGTTAAATACAAGAGAAACAATCCCACTATGACTAGAAATACTGTTCAGGAGACCATAGATATGGTTAACATGGATATATTTCAGATTCATTAAAAAAAAAATTCATAGTAAGGTATTCTTAGAATTCAGTTGGTACGAGTGTTAGATTTTGAGCAATTCTGTGTAAAAATAAATATGTTTACTATATGTGAAAAAGATTAGTAGTTTCTTCAATCAAGTAGTTTCTTAAGTACACTACATTTTGGTAAGCTCTTAGATCTCAGAATATATTACAACAAAAAAATGAAAAATGATGACAGTATGTTTAGAATTGTCTAATGTTCAGATAAACTATTATCATCATCTAGTATAGTTTCACCAGTCCTGTTTTTTTTATATTTATTATAAAAAATCTCTTTCATTGCTTATAAGTTCTCATTAAAATGAAAATTAAATACCATAGAATTACAGCTTAAAATATGTTATAGATAAGTTTATTTTTCTTATCCTATGCATTCTTATTAGTGATAGCTTGGATATGCCATCTAATGTTTATGTACAGATTGTTGTTTTCTTACTGACCAATCTTTCATATTTCAGGAGATTCACAGTTAGACAAAAAGAGAAGAGCAGCTTGTCCTTTTCAAAGAGTGAGCGACAGACATTGACATAAAGCGAGTAAGTAAAATGATCCTTGAGAATCTTCAACCTACAGGTGTCAAAACACAAACTTATATTAATAACACTCTAAAGTCTGTACACTTAGGAAACCTATTGCAAACCATTTAGATCTTCCTGGTTAAGAAAAAAATGTAAATTTCCCAGAACATTTTATTAGAAAGTGACTGATTAGTGGAGATAGCCCAAGATAAACAGTCCTAGGTGAATTATTCCTTCCTGGGGAAATTTTCTGTGCCCTGTTGGGTGTGTCTTCCTCTGCTTTCAGTGGGCAAAACTATCAAAACAGGCTTATACCAATCATTCCCTGGCAACACATACTGTCAGCTGAGATTAAGATATTAAGACAATATCTTTATACAGCTGCTGACAGAAAGTTTTAATTTTAAAATGAGATGAAAATCTTTTTTTTTTATTATTTACAATTTATTTTGATTAAGGCACAGGGCTGTGCAGGGTTTTTAAGAGAAATTAAAAATAAGATTTTAAGTCAGAGTGAGGTTATATATTATTATCTTATTGGTAAAAATTAACTTGAATTTATAAGAACTCAGTTATTAAGCTCAAAATATTAAGCTCAGACATAAATATTTAGTAGTAATATTTTTGATAAAATAATTATGGTAGACTTAGATTGCACAGAGCTTGACTGAATTTGAATGAAAAAATAGCTATCAGATTCTGTCATTAAACTACATGCATTAAGTGTAGTTACACTGTACTACAATTAACTTGTACTTAAAGAAAACATGAACAGGTAAGTGAGCAATTAACTAAAAATGGGGAACGAAATTTCTTTCTCCTCTTCTGTTCTTTTGTTGAAGATGCAGTAGTTAAACACTTGCTTGTTCACATGCTTAACTTTACTGGGTGAGTAACCCCAGTAAAATTAATTTTTACACAAGCAAATATTTAAATACTTTGCTGAATCAGGCCATTAATGAGTGACAAATTCCCAGGTTTAACCACTAAGTGAGAGGAAAATATGACCAAAAATACCCGATCTTTTGCAGCTAGTTCAGCAGTAGCATCATTAGCTTGCACGAATGCATTTGCAATTAGGTGAGCAAACAAGATCGTTAATGATTGCAAAGTTCCTCCTGTTCTCATGAACAAGCAGGAACACCCTAGCTACAAGACAGTGATCAAACTGAATCCATAAGCCGTTTGGGTAAAAATACTGCCTTGCCATTTCTAGGTACAGGCAAGAGTCTTTGTCCAAAAACTTCCTCCTATCACACCTGAAATATGAGGAAATGAACACTACCTGCTTTTTGAAGACATACAAAGTCAATAGATGAAATGCAGTATGAAAATCAAGGGACTGGACCATTTTTATCTATGTAGTATTTTGTAATTTCACACAGAACTTGAGATAGCAATAGCTAAATAGAAATGGTGGAATATATTGCACTTGTAATACATTGTATCATTTTGCTTCTGTGATTAAACAGCATTTCAGCAAATATCTCACAGACTTGTGTACAGAAAGAATATTTCAAAATGCAAAGCTTGGGACAACACATTAGGACACATGTCAGTAAACAATACACATCATTAAGGGCAAATGGAGAGTTATCATTCTTACCTGGTTTGTAAAACTTCAGATTTCTCTGAATTATCTATAGACATGACAAAAAGGTTAATAAACCACATCAGTGAATACTGGTACATAGGCTCAATGTTGGCTAGATCAGCAATAGAGAAGAACAAGATAGACGAATGGACAGCGATGGGGCGATAGCCCAAGCGTGTAGCGTCAATCTTCTTCTCTGTCTCTTCAGCTACAGCTTGCTTTTCAGAAATCTCATTAGCCAGAGCTTTAGAGGAAGACAATATCTTAATAGCAGTTTCATCCTCCAAAATATTTCCTTCTGAAGCTGAAAGAACTTCTAAAATCTTGTCTTCTATTTCTTTTAGCTGTCTAAAAGAATAAACAAGATGTTTCACATGTGAATATTGCAGATGTTTTCTGTTGGTATCCATAAATGACCACAATACAGTAAATTCTATTCAGGTTATGAAACTGTCATAAGCCTTTCTTATTAAAAAAAAAAATTAAACTTTTTGAAAAATTTAGCCAGTTTCAGGCATTATGCTGAAGATGGAAAGTGTTCATCTAAATGCAAAGGAATAAAGTGCTAAACCACATCTAGTACAGCATATTTCATGCATTCGCCTGTGGGAAAAGTTGCCTTTTGCATATACAGTCAATGCAAATTTGGCACAAAATGAAGACTTTTTAAAACACATCCATTAGTCTCTAATCAAAACTTGTGAAAACAGCAAGTCACATGAGATCAACATAATGAAAGGGATGAATAAGGGCAGAGAATGGGATCGATATGTTTTGCAAGCCTCAAATTCTGCTCTTTAAGAGTTTTCTAATACTTTCAGAATTGAGAAACCAGGTCAAAGGGAAAAAAAGCCAAAAAGAGTAGGATATGAATAGGAACATGCACCCAAAAATCAGTCTTTATCACCCTAAATAGCTGCCTAGGTTTGGGCTCTCAAAAATAAGTGTCTTTAATATGTTATAAAATACAATATTCACTATATTTCCAAAAAATAGTTAGTTAAAGTCTCTGAAATGTATTTCCTGTGATTTATTCATTAACTTAAATCCAATTTTATCACTAGCAAGGATAGTTATTTTGATACCTTTTATTCTCAGCCCCTTGTAAGATGAGAGCTTGTTTCTCTTCTTCAAGATCTGGCCTTTCTCTTGCAACTACAATTCCAAGCAGCTGATCCTGCATTCCTTCTGGAGTTATCATGAAATTCAGTAACGTCACCTGACAGAAAAAAAAAGTTTTGAAAGACAACACAATTATGACAAGAGTCAATTAAATGTTTTCTTCATTTCCAAGACAGGAAGGATTGTATAGTATCATGTGAAATATTCAACCAAAATTTGAGAGAAAATGAATGAAGGTACTATACATGCATTTAAGATCGTGTATTGGGAAGCTAATTCCAGGATTAACCAAAAACGTTAACTATATGATGTTAAAAAGCCCTTTCAAACAGAGAATGCACAGTATTTCACCCTTTTGCTCAAAATTACTGTAAAAATCTACATGTAATATCAATTCTTAGAGTGATTAGTCCATAAAATGCCTAGTAGTAATTTTACATATAGAAGATGGACTTTTTAATTTGGTATCTGTAGGCACCTTCACAGTGAGAGCAGCAAAACCTTTCTATGAAAGAAAGATCTACAGAATCTGTAAATAAATTTTGTTTTGTTTGCTTTCCAGAATTGTTGCATCTACTGAAAATGGGATGCTGACACACTATTATAGAAGAATATGGATACAGATCAAATAGATCACTTTTTATGGTATTTATAAACTTTTCACCTATAAAAGTTTTGCTGTTCTCATAAAATAAGTGGTAGTAAGTAATAATATTATTGCCTCTGCCACATATATTGTGTCCCTTTAATGGCCTTGCTCACATGCAATTTATGTTGTTGTTATTACCAGGATATTTGTATTCAACTGGGTAGCATCATGTTTTCTTTTTTTTCGTAAGAAAATAACAGTGACTGAAAAAAGGCTTTAGTATTTAAAATGGCATGCCATGCCCATGCCATGATAGAGTATGTGTAACTGATCCAGAAAATACCAAAAGGTCTAGTTGAGCAAAAACACACAGTATTTTACATGAGTAAAGGAAGGAAGACATTGGCTGCAGAAGGTAGAAAGTAGTTTGATGAATGTAGTTCATAAGGGAAGAAATATCATTTTTACAAGTTGACTAAGCAATACTGACTGGAAATTTGGGTGATTTTGGGGTGCACAGATGTCCATTGACTTGCTTTTCAAATGAAATTCACCTTGAGCGTAGTGCTCAGTTAAGAGTACAAAGTGCATTTGTCCTGATGACAGTGATGAAAATATTGAATCTAAACTCCTAATGTAGAGTCTGCATGTGAGGTAGCTGTTATATTAATTATATATATATATATATATAAAAGTGACTCAATAGCGTCAGGAGGTACAGACTGGGAAGGGTATGAAAATTTGAAAAGTAAGTTTTAAATATCTACAGTACAAGTGAACGACATTATTGCAAGGTGAAATGTATGCCTTGAAAACACCAGCACTCCCAGATGACACCAGTTTTCCACGCTGCATCAAAAGGAGAACAACATGGGCAGGGAAGTGCCAAGAAGCTCCTCTCGGCTGAGTGGAGGAATGGTTTTAAAATTAAAGCAGAGTTGCACTCACCTTAACCGAAGTTTCAGGGAGGTAGTGTGGATTTCTCAGCTTGGTGGTGATGTAGAAGCGGAAGTCCAGGGCGTACTCGATGGTGGAGTCCCCGAGGCGGATGCACACGCTGCCCGACTGCTTGAACGTCTGCTTGAGCAGAAGGGGCTCCAGGATAGGATCCAGCTCTTCGCCAACATTCTCCAGGAGCACTTGCATATGACAGTGAGATTCAGGACCATTTGCTTTGTGTGTATATTACTTTTACCCACATGTGTGTATAGTGCAAACTATACAAACACTGATCTACAAGTATCTAGAATTAAGGCTAGAGTTTCTTATTCAATTGAAACGAATCAGAGAAATGCAACTTTAAATCCTTTTTTTCCTGATAGTATATCAAGTTGCAACCATGCAAAGAGAACTGCCATTATTAATATGGATATAGAACAGCAATTTTAAGCTATTTTTTTTTTTTTACAAGAGACCTAATAGCAAATTAAATACCATCTGCCATAGAAATCATTTTGGGTGCCTAAGCCTAATTTTTATTTTCACTGTAAGCCTATGAGATTCTCAAAATTGTGAGAGAAATAATGCAGAATAAATAATAAGCCATTAAATAAATAATCAATTAGTCTTTACTTGTGTTCCAGTTATCCAAAGAAGAATTGTAACTATATACTTCCATTAACTTATGCGTTTTTGTGAGTTCTGCAAGACTTGCCAAAAGACTACCATACTGAATAAAAGAATCATCAAATAATCACAGTCTAGCAGTCTCCTGATTTATACACATCTTGAAAATCCAAATTAAAATAACATTACTTTTTAGGAAAAAAAAATATAACATTAAAACAGAATAGGATTAGAAAATAGAATTTGAGGCAAGCCTCAAATAACAATTGAAAGATACAAATTAAATTGGAGATTACAATTAGATTGTGCTGTGAAGGATCTTATAACTTGGGGTGAGGACTAGAGTTCTAATTTGACTAGAAAAGAAAGAAACAATGTTCTGTTTTCCTCAGTTACAAGAATATTTCACATTCACTGGAGCTTCATCGTTTTTTAGCTAATTGTGCCCTCTCCAGGTTCTTCTGTATCTTACGTTTCATAATTTAATAACTTACCAGGAGTGCCAAACTGAATGCAGTTTTCCAGTGTTCTTACAAATTCAGGGTCGCTGAGTTTGATGATATGCAAGCTATTGGCTTTTTCCATATTCTTTATCCATTTATTTGCTTGTCCCTGGGAATCTATCATCAGAGGCCATCTTCTTGCATTACTGAAGGGAAAAAATGATTACAAATTTCAAAACTGAAATTTAATTTCTTCAAATGTATACGCCAAAGGAGTAAAATGATTTATTTCCTTTTGTAATTAATAATAAGTCAAGTAAATATGAAATCCCAGTAGAAACATCCTTGGAATTCCTTGTTGAATTTGCCCGAAGATATAATGACAAAATATGACATTATTCTTTCAAAGAAGGTACTCAGAATAATACTTTTAAGCTCCTAGCAGTTTAATGTCATTTCATTTTACAACTTCAAAATAAAAGTACACTTTTTTCATTTGGAAATTTTGAGCATCTTTAATACAGACATAATAGACTTGCATTTTATAGCAAATTAATGGATTTTCCTACTAAAGACAGATTTTAAGTTCTGTATAAGGAAAATATTTAAGCAGATTCAGAAGCATCTACTTTTTAATCCCTGATTTTAAGCAGCAGCACACACATAGAACATTGGAATTTTATTTTAATCGAGCTTAACTCTCTCTCAGATTTTTTTTTACAGTATTTTTATACTGTATATAGTTACACTATCAAAATATCTACGACCAGTGACACAAAGTGTCAATTACGATTACAACAATAATCGCTTCTAAACAAGCTTCTCAGCAGGCAGTTGTGAGAATTCCAAAATGAATTCAGTTCTAAAAGTCTGGACCAAGGGAAGAGTCAAATCCCAAGCATCTAAGACAGCCAATCTAGTATTCTTAGAAAAACAACATGTCTTTTTAGTAGGTATCCAAGAAAAAATTTTCGTTGTGGAAAAAAATAAAAAATACTTACGAGGTAATGATGCCATTATCGATAGAAAACGTGTCAGAGGGTAATCCAGCAATATTCCAAGCTCTGATTTTCACTGCTTCTCCCAAGGTATGGGTTAAGGAAAAATCATCCGAACAAGGAATGTCTTTTGTCTTACATAGTAATGCCCACTCTTTAGTTTGCATCTAGGTAAGAAGTTAACATTAACTGAGTTCTGTTTATAAAGAACTTTTCCAAAACCATGAAAAATATATTTTTCAATTTCCTATTGCAAGGTTGCTTTCCTATGTAGCAACTAATTGCTGCATGTAAGTTCATTATATGCTCAGATGCCAGTAACTCATGCTTATGTATAAGAAGATTAAACTGTCTGCAAATATCTTTGCATGCGATTTCCATATATATGAAAACAGCTTATTGTTCAGAGCCTTAGTTTGAGCTTAGTGGGCTTTTCATTACTATTCTTCTCTATTAGAAAAATATATAGAATACATATTCTAATAAAAAAATATATATTCTTCATATTCAACTAGAATGTCATCCAAAAATGAGCACTGGTTAGGACCTAGCCAAATGTAACAAAAGTTGCTTTTCACTATTCTCCAGATCATCCTCAGGGTCGTGTGAACTACTCAAGGTGCATGATTCTAAAATGAAGATGGACACCTTTAAATATGTAATCCAAATAGCACTTTCCACAAGAAAAAAAATCTATCTGAAGAAGGAAAATGTAAGGCTCGAGCCTGTATGAAAACTGCACATAAGATTAAAGGAGTATCTTGGGTATGGGGAGCTGAAGGAAAGTAATCATTAGAGCATGAGGAATGAGGAGGCCCACAGAAGCAGTTAAGCCATCCAGCAGTTCCTACGAGACAGATGCCTAGCCAGTAGCCCAATAATAACAATTGGCATCCAGTAGCCCATAGCTACAGTTAAACTATAGAAAAAAAATCTACAATTAATTGCCATTTTAAAGTTCTTTTCTATATGGAACTTCCATTTGTTTTCATCAATTGCTACAGGCACAAACTTGCTAGGATTTCAGCCAGTTGCATCTTTGGTCTCTTCTTATATAGAATTACTGAGCTTTGAAAACTTGCTTATTTTTGCTGCTGCAGAAACAGATACTAATTCTATATTATTTGAAGGAAAATTTAGCCACTGAATAGCACAGGATCAAGTATAGCCATGGTGTGTAAAGTCACTGGCAATTACATTAGAGACAAGAAGAGCAACCAAAGCACTCTATGCTTTACATAGTAATAAGTACTTTACAGTAATATGAGGGGAAAATTTCCTTCAGGATTCTTGCAAACAAAACTCAAAATGCTGAAGTACAACTTCATGAGAGTTCTGTTAAAAAGTAATTTTAAAAATATAAACTTTACAACAGAAGAAAAACAACATTTAGACTGTTACAAAACATGGGGACAAAATTACATCTTACTTGTCTATAGCTGGATGTGAAGGCTCCTAGGTAAGCCACAATTCCTGATGAAATCAGGATATCTCCAGTCAAATTGATGTACTGCCTGCCCAGATCCAAAGCAGTCTCACTCCAGCGAGTTTTCTCACCTCCAAGGCCTCCAATCAATTGTTCTGCTCGCTCTAGTTTTTTGCTGCATAAGTCAACCTTGGGAGAAAAAAATATATACGGTATGTGATCACTTATTATCTGAATTTATTATGTGATTACTTTTTTGACATTTTACAAATATTAAAAGCATTCCAAATTATTTTCCTGTGCAACTGTTTTTTTCCATAAATTCATCAAAGAAACATCTTTTCATTATATCTGAAGAAGGAAACAATCTATGTGACATAGTATCTCTACAGCACAGTAAAAATCCATGAAATTTCAAAGTTTTGTTTTCATCAGAACAAAGTAAGAAGATCAGTATAAAACATACAATTCATAATAGTTCATTACATGATATGGAAAACATTAATAGTCAAGGAAGTGACCTACAAGTCATAAGATTAACACTACCTTAAAAAGATTACTGTTCCATTAAAGTTGGTATTTTTTTTTCCTTCCCCCCCAACCTTTTTATTTTCTTTAAGCATCTTATGAATACATAGTCTCCATTTCTGTTGTGGTGGTAGTTTTTATTTAAGCAGTCTTTCCAAATATATTTGTAACTTGGAGAAAAATAAAGAAAACAGACAAACAAACAAACAAAAGAAAATCACAAAAAACACCCCCAAAGATTTAACAATAATGTAATCAGGCTCTGCTAGAATTCCTTAAGGAATCCAGGCCTCATTTTAAAGACTTCTGTTTTTGTAACGAAACAGCAAGATATACAGCAGATCTGTCTTCTAAATGCTGCATCTTTCTATATGTATATTACCTGTTTAGCAGACAGCAGTGGCCACACCAAAGCATCAGAAGGCTTAAACAAACTTTGTGAACCCTAACCATGCTCACCTGCAAGGTCATGATGATTAAAAATATTAGAGCACTCACTGAAAATTTGTTATCTCACAACAAAGGAGATGTAGGTAAAAATAAGGAGGAGTGCTATTACGAGGGGGAAAAAATCACAGCATCTATATTTTTTATTACTTTGAAGCATCCTTTGCTCATCCATATCTTCAAGATCGTTGCAGTGAAATAAAGAGTTTGTAAGCCTTTTTATTAATAATTAACTCTTTATTAATAGGGCTCATTTTACAACTGGCCGTGCTGAAAGTCAAAGGGAAAAATACCATTTGGAAAAAAAAAAAAAAAAAAAAGATTTTACCTGATTTTCCAAGTCAGCTTTCTCCTGTTTCTTGGATTCCAGCGCCTGCTGGAGTGCAGCCAGTTTGTCCTGAACCTCCTTCAGTGCTGCTTGCTTCTTTCTTAGGCCGTCCATAGCAATCTTTAATTTTCCTTCAGCTTGATTCAACTTTAGCTTTTTGGGTGCAACATTTTTTATCACTCTAAATAATCCAAAAGAATAAATTTAATATCTGAAAGGCACACCCTCAGTCCACAGTTACTATTAAAAAAGTTAACATAAGAAAGATAAAGGGAAACCTCACCAACTCAGCGGTCATGCAATGCGGTTCCATAATCTGATAATACCTGAAGGCCATTGGTATTTATTTCATTACCTGTTTCTATGCTGAAACTAATTTAAGCAATTTCTGCACTACTTTCTGTAGGAACAGGTATTGAATAAAAGTGCAGGGTTACTACATGAGCTCAGGGCATTATGCTTCCAAACTGTGTCCCATTTGATCACTTTTTTAAATCCATTATGGATTTGCACTCTTCAGAGTACACACATCTGTTTAATTATACTCATGGTAACCATGCAGATACAAATAGTTTATCAGAAACATTCTCACAAGTCTAATTTCAAAAAACACATGCATATACATATATACATATATATATATATATAAAAAATAATTTGTATTCAAGGATCTGTATAACAGAACAGAGGATTTCAATACTTTGCACAGATACTTTTGTAAGCAGAAAACTGTGGGTAACATTTACCTGAAAACATTTCCCAATTATTTTTCGTAAAAAGCAAGAAAACATGTTAGGATGTTCCTACATGCATTTCACCAGTATTAGCTTCACAGCTCTCCTCCCCCCTTACTGGTATAAGTTGCATACTCCTTTTGAAATCCACTTTTCAGTTAATTTTCCCTCTGATAATGGTATTTATAATATTAAAAGTTGTTCTCAATTCTAATTCAAGCATACATTTTCTACTGTTTTTAGTCCAGTAACAAAATAACTTTCCAGTGAAGATATGCCTCTTACCATGATTCGAATTTCAAACAGTTGGTTAATCTTAGGCACCTGGTGCCAATCTGTGGTTAAATTTGGGTTCTAGGTATCTTGAGAAAAAAAAAAACTTCACCAAAAGTAAGCACACGTTTTCCCATGGGTCAAATACCACGTATAACAAAAAACATCCTTGGGGTTTGTGCAGTTGTCAAAAACTTCCAAAGACATTTCATTAATGCCTCTATTGTTAGTAAGCTAACTTTTTTTAAGCAGCAAGCTATATATGCAGTATATTATATTCAATATGCAGGGTTCAATATTGCTCCTGAACATTCTCAAAAAAATCCAGAACTGAAAATCAGGCTTGTAACTTAATATCAGCTGTCCCATAGTAATCTTTAAGACTGTTTCTATGCACATGTTTCAGAGGTCACATGTTTCATTCTTACAGTAAGAATAATTCTAAATCTTTTTTGGTATCCCAGTATAGCAATCTCTTTACTCAAATTTGTTTCCTTTTAACATTTTTTAATACATACTTACGTATCATAAAACTCCATGGCTATGACCCATTTGCACAGACCCTCTGCTGCCGTGGAAGCGTTCCGGATCTTCTCTGGAACAAACTCAGGATTTGTAAGATACTGCTTTCTTATGACAGCCATGTAAGCTGGAGGAATGTTATCTTTGTCATATTCATGAAGAGACTGAAGAAATCTTATATCACCCAGAAGTCTCTTAGCTGGACCCCAGAAATCCTCAATTTTCTTTCCAGTACCTGTCGGATCTGGAATTTTATCTGCTTTGATGCCTTTAAGGATGCATATAGCTTCCATTACAAGCTTGACGCCAGCAGGAGGACTCTTCATGGACTTAACCACTGTAATATCCTTAAAACAAACAAACAAAAATACCCTTAAAGCTCTGAGCATAGGTTTGAATTAATTTTTCTATGATAATAGGAAAAAAAAAATCTTTCTTTTTACATGAAGATACCATTTTTCCAAGCCCATTTCCTATTCCCATTCTTTATATATTAAAGTAAACTATGATCCCTGATACATCACAGAAGTGCATACATATCTCATTTTCTTTTTAAATACTTGTATTTCAAACTTTCCATCCTTTCTACTCCTTTCTTAAGATGTTATGCAGGTTAAACTAACACTGATATCTGCACTCAAAAAATAACAAAAAGAAATTGAAATCAGTCAACAATTAGTTCAGAGAAGAAGAAAATTCCTATCCATCATTTATTTTTTCAACAGGACTTGTTCTGTTCTGTAATCAGTAGTGAGCATTGCAGCTCAGTTATGATATTTAGATGTCCCAGTGTGATGCCCTGCTCTTCAGTTCAAAGTGTTAATGCAGCACTTCCAAGTTTGCAGGATCACTTCAGTACTGAAGCAGTAAATTTAAAATAATATAAAAACTACCCTGAACAAAACTATATATTTAAACCTTCAGTATAAAAACAAATCAATTAGCATTCTGGTCCATTATTATGCTCCAAAAGTGAGCTGAACGAGGGAAGAAACAGCTAAGGAAAGAAAATCAATCATTTGGTAAACATTTATTTCATCCTGTTACACAGTTGCATTCATTACTAATAACAAGTATTGATAATATAAGAAGTAGCAGGAAATGAGTAAGCAAAGATTTAACTGCTACTATAGAATAAGAATATAAAAGAATGAAGCAGCTGTAGTTGCATGTGCACTACTATATTAAGCAGGTTTGTAAACTAAAGAGTTGCGTAAAATCACTCTTTCTGAAGAAGACCTCTCTATGGAAACTAAAGTGTTCTCAGGAAATGCTCACTGTTTCTCCAATATATTTAAGGATTTCCAGATAATCACATTTATTTTACCAACTGGAGTTAAGATTTTCACAGCTTGCCCACCGTTTCTTTGAGATCTAGTACCTTGGCACTTTGGATAAAAAAATGCATCTTTTTAGTTTTGGGAATGCTCATTTATCCATAAAAATGGCTTTCTCGCACACACAGGCCTTTTGTGCTCACCACGCACTTGAAAAAAAACTCTTCTTTTCCCCTTGGGAGTTCCTACTCCAGATTTATTTCTCCTGTACTCTGTGTATGTTATATTCCTGGATATGGCAGGCACTGTAACGGGATTGCCATTCATCTCAGAAGTCAGGCCAATCATTTCAATAAGAGTCTGAAATTTCTGACACCAAACCATCATACTAGTAAACAGAAAACCACCTGCTATTTAAGAGGTTTTCCTTAATGTGTTGCTATTTAAGAGGTTTTCGTTAATGTGTATTTGCAAATCTATCAGTAGCAATAGGTGAATAACACAGTCCATCCTCACTGCTGCAATCTGGGAGACTTCCTTTCATCTCACCATAAGCAAATCATCTTCTAGCACTGAACACTGGAACATCAATAAAGCCAGAGGTGGGAGCCAACACTGTCGTATTTTTATGAAAAGTGGTCCCTCAAAGCAGGGAGGATCACAGAATTTCAGTCTCAATTTCTAGACTCTGAAACACTGGCTATAAAGATATTGGTTAGCATGCTTGCAGTTTCTGAGTAAGAAGTGCAAGAGCATAATGTTTCTAATTCCACAGTTAATGATTCAGAGTATTTTTATAGCTATCTGTTTTGAAATGTGTAGAAAAAATAAATATTTGATGTCTTAGTCCATAAAATCTTAATTATAGCTTTTTCAGTAGGAAGTAAAGACAGAATAAGAATTTTGTTTTTAAAACCGAAAGTTTTCAGGAAGTTACTAAACTACACCCATAGTGTGTCCATCCAGTGCACACCTGAAAAGGCCTAGGTTTCATGGTGCTATCTGTCTGGAAACCTCTCCAGCGTGTCACTATGTAGCATTAGCCATACCTGCGCAGTGAGAGTGTCAAGGGCAGCCAGAGCACTTTCTAAGCAGGGCATGGCTTGAGCCAAGTCAGCATCACATTCATCTTTGATGGCTTTTGCAGCCATGGCTTGCTCATTTGCCACCATTTCATCAGCTTTAACATTTTTTTCAGTTTTGGCTACTTCCAAGGATTCTTTTTCAATAACCACCATCATCTCATCAACCTGCTTGCTAGCTTCCTGCAACTGAGGATGCAGAGCTCCCAGCTCAGATTGCATCAAGGCTACTTGAGATGCTGCAGAGTCCAGTTTCTCCAAGCCAACTTCGTATCTTCTTTTCATTTTCATCACCTCACTGAAAATAAAGGGCATTTAATTATAAAGATATTTGATACTATTCTCAATATTCAATATTCTGCCAAACTTGTTTTGTTTGCCCAAAAAGCAAACACAGCAGGGATTCCTTGAGTCATAATGTTTAACTGTTCACCCTGTATATTCACAAAATAGGAAACAGAAAAACAAGTGTCAGGAACAGCTCTGTTGGCAGAAGCAACACAGTGTGTTGCAGACGAGAAAAGCAGAGAGAGGAGACAGTGATAGATAAGTGAAAAAGATTAGTTAAGCAGTTGGAGTCGATTAATATCCTTGGGAAAAAACATTTCAGCAGCCAATTGTGACTCTCAAGAAATTGCAAAGGCTTTGGGTCACTATTTTCAAGATTATATTTCTTTATTTCCTGACCAATATGCCCTGCTCCCTTTTGGGTTTCTCGATGCACACAATAATTCACATAGCCCATTGGTTACACTGAGCATCTGTTATAATTCACGTGGCACTGCCCTACCGGGGGCAGGAGAGGACTAAAGCAGGGGAATGCCCCCTCCCTTGGTGTGGGAGCAGAGCAGAGGTGGATGTGGGGACGGAGGGGAAGCCGGCGGCACCAGGCGACTCGGGAAGCTCGTGGCACACGCAGTGTGGTCCCAAACGGAGCCACACAGGCAGCTGGCTGCATTAACTACTCTTACTGCAGGTCGAAAAAATGATACTTTGGGTGAACTTTGGTTCCTCTAGAAAAGTCCATATTAAAAATACTCACGCGCGCTTCTTCTCGAGGAGAATTTTGAAAGTGGAGATCAGTTCCAAGTATGAGGTAGGTGTAACATAGTTGTGTCGTTGAAGCTCTGCATGGTATAAGTCAGATAAAGCAATGGTAGATGTATGAAAGCTTTTGCACATATCGATACAGCCACTCCGAGTTTCTTCTGACATCTCAATATCTTGCAAGAAGCGAGAGGCAACAGCTTCTAACGCATCTTCTGGCCATGTCTAAAACAAATGCACAAATACTTCTCTCAAACTCAGAATTTCACATTCATAAAGCCTCAAAACACTTTCCAAAAAATCTATCTTTACCCTATTTCATAGACGAAGACATTAACGCAAAGAGAAGTAATTTGATCCAAAATCACCGAAGAGGACAAGAATAGAACTAGAAAAGAACCCCGTTATCTAGGTGTTCAATTCAAGCACACTATTTAACTTCATCTAGTAGGAATACTCTTATTAAAAGGAAAACTTTGCATTCTCAGCATTTCAGTATTTCTGTAACTATCTCCTATTCAAAGTATGATTTACAGTTCCAGTAATACATTTCAAAACTTCAAGAACTTTCCTCAATTTTTTTTGTATAATTAAATTCTACATCTTGAATACTGTGTGCAAGGTCTATTGCATATAATAGTAAGATAGAATTAAGTTTTACATCAGAGTAGTGAAAGAAAAATTCTGGATTTCTGCATCAAGAGGTGTCTGTATTTTCGATGGTATTTCACATTCAAATTCCTTTGCAACCTACATTCCGATAGCCTTGACAGTGGAAGATATCACTACAAATATATTTCAGTAATGACTACGGTACTATGTTTGTTCAGTCTCATTCGTAAAACAGAATCAGACAGTTGCTTCCTTACTGATTTTGCATTCTGCCTACACTGACCTTCATCAAAATTGGATGGTTCTAATAGTTTAAGTAAGTTAGAACACGACACAAAGAAAAATAGAGACAGTTTTCACCGTTGTTTTGACTAAAGAGAATTACTTGCTACAAAAAAATAGTGAAAGTCACGTTTGTAAAGCACTTTCATGAGAACAACAAGCACAACCGTTCTTACCTGGAACCAGTCTAGTGTGCAGCAATTGACAAGAGCTGGGAATTTTCTAAGACGATTACGGAAAGCGTCTCCAATGGGACTCACTGCCAATACTACGTGAAGCTGATCTCTGCAGCGATCAGTGAACATGTTGAAGAGAGCTATAGGACTGCCATCAGTCTGCTTGGTCCTGTCTCGCTGGCGATCGATTTGGCGCATTCGTTCACAAATTTCTTGCTTCTCATCTACTGCAAAGAGGTTGGGAACTTCACCTGCATTTAGTAAGTTGTTAATGTCTTCCAAGAAGGATTCCTTTTTTATCTGTGTATCTGTGAACAGGAAGACTCCCTGCATTTCCCCCTCAGTAGATTTTCTTAGTATGATTTTTATGTCTTCATGCCACTCACTGGTACCGTAGCTTTTACTTATTTCCACCTGGAAGAGGGTGTAATCTGCCATGTGGGCTGCTAATCGAGTAAGAGATTGTCGACCGCTGCCTCCGACGCCAACAAGGAGGGCATGGCTTCGAGGCTGTTTCAGGATGCGCGAGATTCTACAGATGTGCTCTATAGCAAACCGAAACAGAACAAGCTGCATTGGTTTTTTGCTCATGTTATTAAACTCTTCCAGGTGACTCTCGACGACCAGTCTCAGTTGATCCACATTATTAATCTCCCTGTAGTTAGTGTCATCTCTCTTAGGGTCATGAAAATCACAAAACATAAGGCTACGTAAGTCATCTTCTTCCACTCTTCCATCATGATTGAAGTCTAGATTATGGAAAAGTTTATGGAAGTCTTCATGTAAATAACTTTTCACTACTTCTTGGATAAATCCAACAAGCCAGGCCCGATCAGGACCATCCACCAAACGATCATAATATACTCTAAGAACCTGTATAAGAAAAAAATAATCCTTTCAATAGTTGCTTCTACTCTTTCTTTAAACTACACTTGTTTTAATTAAGATGAAAGAAATAGAAATCTGAAAAAGGTTTCAAAGTACAAACTATTTTAAACTTCACTACACAGAAAAAATAAATAGGTGCTTAGAATTTGAACAATTTTTGATAACAGTAGTATTCATTCTGAATTAACGTGAAAATTCATATGTAAATACACACATGCTTTTAATCTGGGTGACTGTGTGCTTTATTCTTCTCATTTCTAAAAGAAGTGATTCATTTACATTCATCTAGTTTTTCTATTTTGTTATGACAGAAAGACAATACTTGCTGAGGACAGAAAACTCATGAGTTTCTTCTAAAGGGAGTTCTGAAGGAAAAAAAAAAAAAAAGAAAGAAAGTAGGGTCCAAAATATGGATGTCTTACATTTCCAGTGACCCTGGATTACTTGCTACTCTTCTCACTGTTGATTTGTGGCATGGGAGGAAGGAGAGAAGAAATAGAAAGGAACGTACAGTCATTCAGAGCAGCAGAGACTACATAATTATGTGAAAGTGAAGGAACTCACAGACAATATCTCTAAGATATGATCCATACTTTGAAAGAGTCTGTTTTCCTCTGCCTGTACACTATCCATAATTAAAATCTTAGTTAATAAACTGAATAAAGGAATATTAATTCATAGTTACTACTTAATAGTATATTGTTAAAATACTAATACAGCCCTGAGAAAAAACTCTTTTTATTTATTAAAAAATATTATTCCTTGTTTTTTTGGAGTAGATTTACCTCATGAACCCAGAGACGCTTTATCATTCCTACAGAGTCTGTTGTTTCAGGCCTCGACAGGCAAACTCCTTGAATAACACGTGAAAAATCACGGAGGTTGAACAAATAGTGAGATTTGGCAGGGGTAGGAAGCAGGTTCTTCATAGCTTCTTTATACAAAGACATAGTTCCATTAATCAGTTGTGGTGTCAAGTCTACATACTCTGATGGAAAGTTATAACTGATTTAAAAAGTTTAAAAAAGTGGTAAAAATAGAATGATTAGAATTCCATCATATCTATATGTGAAAAAACAAAAAATATATAAGAACACTGATTTGTTTCTGAGTTTTTAAGTTCTGTGCCAGTTTTCAAGTTCTGTGATTATACTTCCTCATAGACAGTTTTACAAATCTTAGTTCTCCCACTGGTTTAACAGATTAACTCAGTCTATGATTCAAATCTAGTGACTGTGGGACTTGCTGGCAACAATACTGGAGAAGATGGGACAAACAACCCTTCCTCTCTTCTGGAATATCTCTCCCTCAAAGGTTGAGAAGCTGTCAAAACACAAACCTGCTCTAGAAACAGGATATAATAATCTTTTGGGATTTATCAGTCAGAATGGATAGAATAATTGAATCTGAAGTAATAAAACTATAAAAATTCCTAATAACAGAACTAAAATATATATAATGGTGAAAGGCCAAGAAGAGATTCCATTTTTATAGCCTTCTCAAACAACAAGAAATCTAAAAGCACTTTCCAATTCTATTTTTAAGAGTAGTGACTAAATCATTTTTTTTTAAATATATGTCAAAGAATAGTGTTACAGATATATCTCAACTAACTGAAGTGGCCTCAACTGATCTAAGTCTTTGTTAGAGACTTCAAAACAAAAAACTTCTCCACAGGAGCTTAATATGAGCCCTAATTCTGTGGAGTGATGAACACCTCAAAAGGCATAGGGTACCACAGAGGGTTATAGGGACCTAGGAACACGTATCAGAGACTTTCTATGAGCATAATTTAAATACTCTAATTTCTCAAAATATGCAGAAGTCACTTACCATGTAGTCAGATGCCAGTTTAAGATTCTAGAAAAGATTGTATACATCGATTTATCATCAAACTCATTAATAGTAACTGTATTGAAGTGTCGCAAGAATCGTGGCGTTATTGGGTTTCGACCACCACCTACAAATTAGAAAGCATAAATACCGCACACCATGCACACCAATGACGGCCCTAATGAATTCAATGAGACCAAACAAAATATTCAGAGTATATTTGTTCTCCTGTAAAACATAGCAGTCTGTAAAACACAGGCAGAAATGGCCAAGATTACGTATGTGTGGAGAGTTGACACTATTTCAACACAAAAGCTAGGACCATCACCTTGTTTATTTGATCAGTTTGTTTTGTACTGTTAAAGCAGAAGAGTGCTGGAACAAACCTGGCTACAGATCTCTCCCGGGAAAGAAAATTCTACTCATTTTCAAAGTAACTTAGTAATTTCCAAATTATTACCCTGAGAGAGGAATGTAACATGCTGGAAGGTTCACAGCAAAAGCATGTCGGAGACTTGGCAGGTGTCAAAGCAGACCTGTGCAATTAGGCTATGCCAGAAGCTGTACAATTCATGACTTCAAGTAAGGGTGACTTAATGATTTTCACAGTTCCCTTCTGCTCAGCTCTTGCACCGACTGACCCTCAGATACAGTGCTTTGAATTGTACAGGGATGCTGCCGTTGGTTTTAAATCACTGTAAGAAGCAATCTTGCTTCTTTAGGAAGTCAACTAGGGGCACAAATGATGGGCTCTGTCCTCCGCGCTGCCACACATCGCTGCTCAGGCTAGGAGCAAGGGACATGGCTGGCTGCTGTCCCCACGCACGCACATCAGTGCGTGGGCGCATGTTTGCGTGCACGCGTGTGCCTAAAACCATTTCTGTAAGAGAAAAATGGAAAAGTCAGCGAAGCCCAAAGGTAGAACAGAAGGAAAAACACCAGTCACAGCCTGATTTAATAAATGTTGTATTCGTAACAGCTTTAACAGAAACTTGATATACCGCTTATCAGGGACAGGGATATGAACAATTCTGCTTAAAGAAATCCTGCTACATGAGTCTTGCTGCAGTGAAGGAGAGGGAATGTATAAATTCATTTAAAACAAAGATTTCAAAGAAACGCTAATTCCTCCTTTGAACTGTTACAAATGTGCAAAATTAAAGTAAAATATACAGCTCAGAAATGACAGCAGTAGAGTAAATCAATACTTTATCTATATATTATCAGTATGGAAACAGTCTATCAATCAGAAATATAATTACCTTTTTATGTCATATAGTTTACTTTTTTTTATTTTTTTTTTTCAAATAAAGGCAAGGCTTTTCTGTCTGAAATCTCCACCTAGCACCACTGAAGAAAAGCTTAAAAGAAGAATAAATTTGAAGGCCAACAGAGGGTCTCTTTAAACCAAAGGAATTTCAAAACTCCTATATCAAAACATTCCTGTCAAGTCAAGATACAAGTCAGTCTTGCTGGCAGGCTTGGGTAGCTCCTTTGCTGCCCCTCAGCCATGCTTCCTGTTCACATTTCCTACAAGCAATGGGTTAAATCCTACCCTTTCCCACAGACATCCAAACCGTAAAAGCAAAGAAACAGAAAAGCGCACATAATCCACATGATTTACCTGGGGGTCCCATGGCACAGATGATCTGAATATCCACCAGCTTAATCACTGAGGAGTCTTTAAGGTCATACCAGTTCCAGTGATCTAACCACTGACGTAGCAACTCAACAGGAGGTTGAGCACCATAGACCTCTCGGGCTGGCATATTAACATCATCTACAAACACAACCTGAAAAGGAAAACATAAATTATCATTTATTTAACTGAATGTATGCCTCGATTCCAAAAATCCTACACATCAATTTACTCCCACTGAAATAAATGCAAGTAACATTTGTAAGTATCTGTTTTTGAAAAGTAGCCCTACTGCTGAGGCAAATAATAATTAAACTTTTGATGTAACCATGTCCGCCTAAAGCTGTTCCAAAACATACCTAGAGTGGAGAGAAAAAGGGCATTTGTCTTCTTATTTTGGAGTGTGTTTAGTAAAAAAAGGGCCACCTAGCACTTGCTTTTTAAACTATAGTGCCCTACTCACATGTCTGGAGTTCCGCTTTTTGGAAACAAAAATATTTTAAATCTATTAAATATATTTTAAATCTATTAAATACAGTTTTTTTCTTGGTCATTCCTATAAAGCCCAAAGAAGTTCTTATCAGAAAGAATAATCTAATGTGACCAGTGCATGTTCTCGACACACTCTTATTCCCTTTTTTCTCATTCTTTACATGACAGAGCAGAAATCTGGTCTAAATTTGAACAGTTCATATCATGGTCCTTGTGACCTATTTAGCCTTTTAACATGGGCAACATAATAAGATACTCTCAGGAGTACCTCTTCGTTCTGCAACTTCTAATAGATTTTGCACTTCACAATGAGCAATTATTAAATAATATCTAGGAATTACTGAAAAGAAGAAGAAAAAACAAACATCATGGAGTCATATTTTAAAGTCATCAAATGCAACAGCAGAAGTCACTGTTCAAAAATACAAGAAGTTGATAGCAATCCTAAAAGTAGCATTTTTTAAATGAGCACATCTTCCCCACTACTTCAACTATAATAATTTAAGTTTTCTTTAGAGCCTAAATTTTTCTCTAATCTGGTTTAGAAAACATAATGGAAACTCATGAGCTTTCAATTTTCATTCTTATTACTACTCCTCTAGACAGAGGAGAAAAGGTCTCGTTCACTACAGGGGAAAAAAAAAGAAGACAAAAGAAAATGAACTACATCCTAATATCCTCCTCAAGCTTCCCACCACTCAGGAGCTCCGCACTGATCTTGAAAACTTTGCCAGGAGTCAGTGATAATGACATAAAATATTCCCATCTCTTTAATACTCCAAGATCATAGATTTATGCAGGTAGGATGTATCCAGGATCCAGGTTTCAATGTATCATTATTTGCTCTTTTTCCTGTCAGGCACACCAATGAAGAGCATCTACACACTTACTTATGTACATAAACATATGTATATTGGTTACCATTCTTTTCCCAACAGGAGGTCCAAAAACTCTTTTTCTCCTTTTATCCAGCTTTGACATGATAATATTCTGTGTCTGAGCTGCTGTAGTTTGTGCTGAAAAGTTAATGAGGAGTGGCTTGTAGACTTCTTTATTCAAATTATTTAGAAGAAAATTCTGGAAATATAGTGAAGAGGAGACAGTTAAGCTACATATGCAGTCAACACAAATTCTTTAGCACTTCAGCGAATAGCAATCAATCTAAACAGATATTTTTCATCATTTTTATGTCACCTAAAATAAAATTTAAAAATGTAATTTATCTCCAACGTAATTCTTTAACAATGGTATTTCATCAGATAAATCTATTTTCTTGGATAATTCAAAACATAATAAATTTAATTTGAGAGGGAAAAATTTCTACCTCCCAATACAGATATGTCCACATTTTCTTAAAAAGGTCTACCTAGTATATTATGTATATTTAGTATGTTATTATTTTGTATAAGGATATCACTGCGCAACAGCAATTACAACTGCTTAGATTCATATTGCCTTACAAATCCACACTCAAGTTTGCACAGGTGTCCACAAAACAAATATTTATGTCTACTTTTGATGAGTCTCCAGAAATGTTTCTTTCCAAGAGCATAGCAAGAACATGTAAAGATAAGCTTTGCTCTCACGATTAGTGGTGCTTTGGTGCTTTTGGAAGAACTGAAAAAGCAGTAATTTTGACTTCTGATTCAAATACCTGAAGTCCCATTGCTTATTACAAGTGCCTTATTTCCTTTTGATTAGAGTTTCATGAGCTCTGAAAACTATATTGTATTTGGCTGTAATAAGTTGTTGCTGAACTTAAAAGTCTTTATTACTACCATGTATTACTACTATGAGTGTTACTATAATTAGGCATGTATACACTCAAACCTAATATATCTTAACTCTGTTTTTTCTGTTCAGTGCTCATCCTATCTACCCGGTGTGCTCAGTGCTCATCTCATTTACTGAGCAGAATCCTATTCAAAGGCAAAATTAGAAAACAAGCTTTTCTATGCCACAGGCCACTACAGGGACACGGAAAGGTCACAGGCAAAATATTATGCAGTATTCTAATTTCACATACCAACAACTTGATTTTTAAAGAACACAAATTGCTCATGATCTAATCATCACTCTAACAATTTAAATCACAGCACTTCAGCACTTCAAATCAAAAAGCATGGATTCAAACCAGTCATCAAAAAGACAAGGAGCACAATAACTGCCTATGAAAAGCTTAAGTGACTTTTTTACTATTACAGAGGTCACCTCTATCAGCCTCAGGGACAGCATTCATCCCCCAAAGTGGCTTTTTGCTGCAATTACAATGAACTTCTCAACTTCTGCAAGGGAAGTAGAGGTTCTACATACAACAGCTAACAGGGCTATGTCTTTTTTTCTTCTTCTTTTTTTTTGTCTTCTCCTCAATAGTCAAATTATCAACTTTAAAAGTCACGGAAGTAGATCAAGAATTAGCATTTCACCGAGAATGTTTTGTTTCAGAAATAGCAGCAGTCGTGCACTGCCATTTAAACTGAAACTTAAAGCTCCAGTCAGATTACATCATATCTCTTATTTGGGGTTCTTTTACATTTTCTCTCAAAGACAAGGATAAGATACATAGTAAAGGATATTTGGCATTTTGTAAAACAGGACACACAATTGTTTTGATTTAAAACTACTTTATCTTGGAAATGGGCGGCTGTTGTATTTCCTTTTATTGACCTGATATATCTAAATTTTATCTTGAAGAAAACTGCCTGGGAAGGTCTTGTCTAGCCATTTCCCCTCACCACTACAGTCAAATTCTATAAGGAATTCTTTAAGAATATTGCTTTTAATTTGTTGGCTTTCTATTTCTTTCAGTGACAAAATTCTTGTTCTTTGCCGATTACTGAATGCAACTGCCATAGTAGCATCTGACTAGAAAAGAATACCATTTCTTCCTGATTTTTTTTCAGCAGCACTAACAGCACACACTGCTGCTGCTTCTAATACAAAGAATATATGTGTTTTCCTGTTTCGAGCAATCCTGACTGGATGCCTTATGGAATCGTTGTCCTTTGGGCACTGGGTTTTGTGTAGACTATCCCAAGTATACATTGCCTGTTATTTCCATGAAACGAAAATCAATATAGGAACAAAACTGAAGAGTTCTGTTTCAACTGTATTTGACTCTTTTTAAGAATTTTATTTGGAAATACAGGGCAAAACCAAAACTAAACAACCTTTACTTTTTACTACGCGACTGCATGTTGTAGTGGCACAAAACTAAAGCGATCCATAATTTCATTTCATAATATGTAACAATTAATATTTCTGCTTGCTTTTATTAAAAAAATTCCTCGTCTTACACTTTTGTCAAGCTATAACATTAGTATTAAAAGCACTTACAATAATATAGGTACTCTTTCCAGTTCCTGTTGGCCCCACAAATATGGAAGGCTTTTGATGCACTGTCAACAATTCCATCAATGCCATATATCGAACAGTATCCAGAGTTGGTACAATTATTTCATTAAACATCATATCTCGTGGTATAGGAGGAGCTGACTTTAGTGTTTCCACCCAGGGTTCCCAAATTCCTGCTCCCTATTTGAATTTATAGAAAAGTAAATCATTTAAAATAGATAGTAAAATCAATGAAGAATCAATGCAGATAGAAAATCAGAAGTTCTGAAATACATGTTTTTTATTGAACATCTTCTAGAATTATTAAAAAATAAATCTCATAGGTTTAGTTCAGCAATATAACTGAAACATATTGAACTTTATACAATGGTTTTTATAATACTTTTTTTTCATTTCAAAGGCTAAGAAACATAGTGCCCATGCATCAAGAGTGCAGTGATTGAAAGGTAAGAACTTTGCTTAATCTTTTACATAATCATAGACATATAATGTATATAGTTGAAAAATGCATTTAAGTATATATACATCATGTAAGCATGTAAATAAAATACAGAGCTACTGTTTAAATTTATCACTAAAGAAAACATCATTCTTGTCACAGTCTTTCCTCATTCTTAATATCTACAGAAGAGGTATCGAGACAGATCATTTTTAGTGCTGCAGCTCCATAGCAAAGCTTTCTCCTCTAGTTCAAACCATTAGACGAATTTTTTAAAGGTGCAGAAAGTCTCCTACAATCTGTTATTAGCAAAAGGATGAAACAAAAAAAAACAAACAACTGAATGTGCCACTGAATCCCCCAATACTTCTCTCTTGATATCAAAGTCATAAAACTTCTCAAAATTGCTCCCTCCTGAGGATTCTCTCTTAGAGGGGGCATAGAAAGAGAAAATCCTTTTTAGTGGCAGAACATGGTTTTGTGGATTATGATCAGATGACGCAGAGCCCTTACTGTTGATGGAAGTCTCAGCCACTTTCCTTGGCAAGATGCATGAATCATGCATGAGCCAAAATCTGGACAAATGTAATTCCCAGTGTGCTGCAACAGGACTTTGCAGGAATAACACATTCAAACTTTACTGCAGAGGGGCACAGTGTAAAATTGCCCAGCAGGCTCAGGTTAGGAAGAAGGATTTTGTATTTTATTTGCAAATTCTGAATTTTTGCTAGTTCAAACACTGCATGAAAAAGAGGTGGGTTTGTTTTATCTTGGAGTCCCTGGCGTATACTAGATCCATTGTGTGAAGTTTTCTTCTTCATTGGGAGAGTCATGTTTATATATGCTCATACAATGCTCATCCCAGGGAACAGGAGGAGAGGAGAAGCAGAGGCACAGAAGTTGCCTACCACAGTAATGAAAAGGCTATGGTCTAAAATACATTAACTGCTTCCTCAGCCTATGAAAAGAAATGAAACAAAATAATATTGCAAGAAAAAAATAATGGAACAAAATACTTGGTTAAGATTTTCTGCCTCTGTCACAACAGATGAATATTCTGGTGGCCAAATACATAGACCTTGTTACTGCAATTCCCAGCCAGAGCATTAGACCATTACTAGTTTGTAAGGAGGAATATTTACAGTATAAAAAGCCAGTAGCAGAAATAAATTTAAATACTATTTCTGTAAATAAATTTACGATAGCAATACAAGCTCTGTGCTGTTTATAAAAACAATACTTCAAAATGTAGATCTACACCTTATTTTGCAATCATCACCTTTTTGACAAACCGATAATCATAAATTGTTCCTTCTTTTGGAAACGGGACTGTAAAAGCTTTTGCAGGCTGTTGATCGATGCTACTCAACAATTTATATCTTTCTCTCGTCTCCTCACTAATTGGTCCATGAAGCATTTCTCGCAGAACTTTGTCAAATTTCAGTCTATCATCCTCCTTACAGCTAGCTCCAATAGACCATATGAGGGAAAATATGAAAATACCCTAGAAATGGAGAATAAAAAAAAGAATTATAGCTCCCTTCAGCAGCTGTAGTTCTTATTCACTGAAATCAAAGAATTCTTTGCTACCAGTCAGAACAGAAGCATGCTGGACCTTTTCTTACATAGAAAATATAGCACCCCGTGATGGTAGTAGTAAACAGCATTTACAGTAACTGCGAGCATCTTTTCACCTTTAGTGTGCAGTGAAACATTTGACTTGCTCCATGCAGAGCACTCATTTTGAGAAGGCTCCATCAGAGACTGCTGTTTGAGTAACAGACAGACAAAGTTTTTTGAAATAAAAAGATCTACCAGATCTACCAGAAAAAAGATCTACCCCACCCAATCTGTATGTGGTTGTTAACTGGGCTTCCTTGGATTCTTGGTAGCTTTGAGTTGAGTAGGAATAAACAGAGATACCAGAAACTTGGAGAATCATGTAAAATTTTCTTTCCTGATCTTAAAATTCACTAAACTTGAAATCAAGCCCAACTAAGTATCATTTTTAAAAGTGGCTATTATGTAAATATTATGTAAATAACATTACTTTCCTAAACATTTAGGACAAAACATTTGTCCTAACGACCAAATGCAGATTTTCTCTCTTGTGAATCCTATTCCTGTAAAGTCTAATTTGTGACTCCCTATATTCTATGTTAAGCATATTGCCTACCTCAAGCCAAGAGTAAACATCATGGTCACTCATAGCTTTAATTTTGGCTTCATCAGCAAATTCATCCATCATGCAGTCCATCAGATTCATCAGTGATCGAACTAAGTTTGTATCTGAAGTAGGAGACAATTCCTTAAAAGAAAGGAGAAGTATTTTTTAAACGCAGATTTGGGATTATTTTATTCACTGAAAAGAAACTGCTGCACAGGGGAAATCTTTTCATTTTTGTTTATTTACTAACTGCGAAGATAACAAAAGGACATTTGTGCCTAAGTTAAGTTTTAATGTGCTTCTAAATGTAGTCAGCTATAAAAAATATACATATTTTCAGACTTAATCTGAACAGTTTTCTATAAAGATAAAAAATACAAATCACTGTGGTCCCATTAAAATCATTTGTTCCTTTAGCATGTGAGTGTTAAATCAATTTAGGCTATGACAAAATCTCTCCTTAACCTACCTTCGTGCATTTCCTAATAAACTCAAGAGAAAGTGGAGCCATTCTGTCAAACAGGCCTACTATGAACTCTTTATGCTCAGAGGTTACTCCTGGATGCATGACATTTAGCCAAGACAACAGTAGTGGTCTCCAGCCTAACATGTGGGGCTCCATATAGACCATACCACATCTTGAAACCTAAAAATAAAACAAAACAAAACAAAGACAGACGTGCATTAGCTTACATAGGTACCACATATTTTCCCACTTAAAAGAAACTTAAATAACATTTGGTGTTATAATATATAGGATTACTAGAAGCTGACAAAAATTGTACAAAAAGGCATATAAATAGGCACTTGTCAGATTGTGGTCCTGTGAGCCTTGAGACAGGCCAAATTCAAAACTAGCTTTATTCTCAAGCCAATGGAAAAAATAATGGCAAATACCAGCGATTTTCTTCTTCAGCAGAATTAGATCCCAGCTTTAACAGCATAACAAATAATAAGCTGGTCAGTATTAATAGAGAGTTATACCAGTTTTAAGTCAAAATCCCTTCCTCACATTCTGTTCTGTTTATATCATTACCAGAACCTCTATTCATATTGAAGAAAAATGGTTTGCACTCCACAAAGTAGCAACAGAAAAAAAGAGCCAGTAATCCCATGGCTGCTCATTTTTACCAGAATTTCCCCAGGAGATTAAAGATTCACACGTGATTTTTGTTTTTCTTGTCACATGCTCGCAGGGTCCTAACTCCCTTTTCGGGGAGTAACAATAACAGAGAACATATGTAATATTTCATATCATATTGCTTAAATCTTTCATAATCTTATAAAGTCTAATCCACAATGCTACTTTAACATTGTTAATATCAAAAAAAAAAGTTCATAATTACTGTTCTTACTTAAGAGGAAATCTTCACAGTATGTCTGAATAACAAGTCAGATTTGTAATAGGTTCTTCAAAGACAGGCACTTACAGTAGCAGGAGAAGCAACTTCTAAATCCATTGGTTCAAAAATAAGGCTCATTTGCTGTGACATCTGGATGATCTCTCCACTCATAAGGCACAGCTTTTTGTTATCATCAAGCACAGTATTCATATTTTCAATCCATACTGCATCCACAGGTCCATCAAAAATCAGCCACTTCCTGTCTGGGGTCTGAATTGCAGGAAATTTTTTTTTTATCAGATACTTATATTTTATTATTTTCCACAAATAATAACTGAAAATATTTTAAGTACAAAGTTGCATTCAACAGTAGTTTCTGAAAGCAATCACAATCTTTACTCGAGTTTTGTAACTCCGAAGTGTGTATGTGTAGTTAACTTTGGAAGGTTAATAATATGTTTGACTGGAGTCTTTTCATTATATTTACAGAGCAGGAAATCACTTTAATCAAACTTTAATTTAAATTTAAAATGTAAAAATTATTACTTAGACAAAGGGAGACTTGATACAATGGTTGGACTCGCTCTTGAAGGTCTTTTCCAACCATAATGATTCCAAACTTCGTGAAATGCCTACTCATCTCTAGTACTCGATGATTATCAGGGAAGTCAACAGAACTAATTTAAGGAATATGGCATTATTATAACTATGTACAGAATGAGTTTGGTACTCTACAGCCAAAGCAAAAAATTACAGGTACTCCTCATGTATCACAGGAAAATAAAAAGCAGTTGTGCAGTCCTGCAAATGCTAATAGTGATCATAAACTGCTAACAGTGATCATAAACTTTACACTGATCAACTTCAAAATGTTACTGCTATGTTTAAGTTTATAGGAGGATCAGAATTTGCTAACGCAAACGCTAGCAAAAACTAAGGTGTCTGTGGGATAGATACAACTTCCGTCGTATACAGTAAAAATGGACTTCACTGGAAGCTCGACCATAAGGTACAGTCAGACAGATGTGTCTTCTAAACTAAATGACAAAATCACCATGTACATAAACAGTGTTGATTTCGGCCAAAATCAGAGGAAATAAGGAAAGACAATATGGTAAGAGGATTAAGTATTTATTTATAACATGCACAAATAAAACCTTAATAAATACACAATATTTTTTTCTTGTATAAGGGCTTATGAAATACAAATAATAATTCACCTACATCCAAGAAGCACATTGCAAAGGAGCATGTGAGAACCAAGCCAAATTATACTTTTTTCATTCAAATGATTAGTCCTACAAAGCCTGCAGTTGTTGTGCATACAACACACCACTGAACTCCTAAAAGTAGTTATTGAAAAGCTAGTTCTCAAAATGTTTTAAGCCTGTTGGTACTCACTGGAGAAGAAGCGAATGCTCGGAAGCTCACTGCCAGGATGCCATCTGACCATTCATGTGAGACTGGATCAAACTGTCCATACAGCTGACCCATTGTTATAGACTTCGGATTTAAAACAGTGATCTGAACCTTGTTTTCTTCCATCAGCCCCTAAAAACATAGATGTGATGCAATCTGTTAATACTGGATATGCCATTTATTATGCCATGCTTTATTATAAATCTTAAAACTCTATATTTTTAAATCTTCCAATAATGCATTAGGTTAAAACAGGAAAGATATCTCATATTATATAGTAAAGATAGTCGATAAATTCCTAAATATATTTATCCCATCATTATCATAGATAACTGAAAAACTGAAAGTCTTGAAAGCTCATATTTCTCCTTAATATCCAAGATCTTTAGAGCAGATACTGTGTCTTGTATAAACACTAAAATAGTTTTATAACTTTTTTTTTGAAAATATATTTGTTCAGAAATATCTGTAAAGATGTTTAGTTACCTTCTCACATATGTCCCCCAGTGCTCTTGCCAGAACGCGGTAGGCGCACGTCTTTCCCCCAAAGGGCTCTCCAACTATCATAAAGCCGTGACGCACAATCATCATCTCATATATCTGCAGGATCTTCATAGCAAACACATCGGTCATTTGCAGATTCATAGCGTCGCAGTTTGTTTTGATGGCTTCTAATAAGTCATTGTAGTCTGGTTTTGGTAGCTTCACACCAGGGAACAGATCAGAGGTAATACCCTATATCCAAAGAACGAATTGGAAAGAACGCTTAACGTATTCACAGCCATTTAGGTTGGAGCTCATGCAGCCAACCTTTTGTCCTTTAACACTAGGCACACTAATATATATTTTGAATTAAATAACATATATATGAATTTCAAAAGTCATCCTTGTCTGAGCCAAAGTTCTAGCTTATGTAACTTGCTACTGATCACTGTTTTAACAATAGTCCTTCTTGGTGAAAGCTTCTTTTTCTACACCACAGAGCAGGATCAATGTTATAAACAGACCTATGGATGGGGGGAAAAAAAAAAAAAAAAAAAACCTTTGATACATCTAATGTAATAAACCACTGGGGACTGTTAGTATTAAAGCAAAATTATCTTTTTAGTGTAAAAAAACAAGACAAAAATCTAGACTACCTTTAAATAATTTTAAATAAAGTGAAGTTATCATAGCTTTGAATAAAAACAGGAAAGATAATAAATAAATTGAATGAATGAAGAATAGAATCATATTTTAAATTTTAAACATGTATTATTACTGTTGAAGTTAAGTCTTACGTCTTATTATTATTTCTGTATCTAATAAGGTAGCTTTGTTTGAAGTTTTTGTTTCAGAACTAGGCTAAACTTTTGTTTAGGCTATTCCAATTCCTGCACACTCTTGGCCAAACTTATTGCTGATCCTTAAGCCTGTAATGAGTAACTAATGATAGTGACAATGTGATATGTTCATTTGTTAATTTTTTTTTCCTAGTAATACACATTTCTTCTGTAACAACATTTCCATCTATTTTCATTCTGTTTATGAGTCTTACACCCCTTGGCCTTCTTTTTTTTTGTTCACAAGCCAGCAGTGTGATGCTTCCTTTTTTCAACTTTTAAAATGTTTGCTGTTTTAGCTCTATGACAGCAAGCAAAAGGTATTAGTACCTCACACCCAAAATAATGTGTATGTGTCTATGAAAGTGAAAAATGTACAGGAATTATTACATAAGTATAACTAGAGGTAATTTTTATGTGCTAAATGAAATATATATAGTGCATTTCATGCACTTGAAGACTGAAATTTAGGTGGAAAAATGTGAAGATTCTTCAATTTTCTCAAACAAAATATCTAAGCTTATTTACTTCACAGCTAAAGAAAATATGAAATGTCCATTCATAGTCATGAACATTTTCAGGAAAAGATACATGATTTAGGCACAGCATTAATTAAGTTAGGGTAACACTGTCCAGAGGTATATGTATATGCTAAACCACTACTTTTTCATATTTTGAGGGGGTGAGCCAATTAATATTCTGTGCTTCAGATTTCTACCGCTTTTTTTCTTAAAGCTCCTAATGAAAAAAAGATTCTGTATAATTTTCATGCCTTTATGATTGTTCTCTTCATGATATAAAGCATGGGAGCAAGCTACAGTTAATGATCTCCAGCTTAGTCCCGCACTGAGACTAACTCAGGATAAAAATTATGTGAGGAACTAGATCTTTTTACTGTTCTGCACATGCTTAAACTGAAAATCCATTTTCTGTTATAAAATGGAGACTGCTGGCTCTGATTTCACAAAAATATTAATAAGATACTCTGAAATCCTGAACACAGGATAGATAAAAATAGTTTATCACTTCAAGCAGAAGGCTTTTTAGAAACTTTCACTGATTCAAACCCAAATGCTAGATACATCTGCTAGGGAGGAACAGTTAACACTAACTTTTAAAATAACTATACGCTAAATTAAAAAAAAATCCTTTGCAACATTTCTTTCATAAATCTGTTACATAGTTGTTCATCAATTAGTATTTATAACCATATTTTTACACTACAAAAAAATCTTATGTTTCCTACCTCAAAAAGTGGTAGATCATGAGACAAGAATTTAGGCAGGTTTACATCTATAATGGATCTAAGCAGCAGAATTTCTTCATCTTCCAGTGGATATTTTAGCTGAAAAAAATACGAAATAAAGTTCGTTATTTTTTAAAGTTCCAGAAAAATAATTTTAAATTTGCCTGTTTTCCAGAATAGTTCTTATTATGCATCCGTGTAGTTTTTTTGGGCAGGTTCAGGTCCAATGAAAATAATGCATGCTATTCTGGATGTACCTCTGTGCATTCACATCAGATGTTCACAGTGGGTGTCCACAGTCAGTCCAGTTTCACTTCAGTTATGTCTAACGATAGCTGTTACCATTAATCCAATATAACATTTTCCTAATTGTTGAGTTTTTACTGAGGTATGTTCCTTTCCTTCCAAAGGAGGACAGCTTTCCCTATTTTGAGGTAAAGATTCAGCAGGTAGTAAAGTGGAAATTCTAAAAGATCGTGTACAGGTAACTTTCCCAAGTAATAAAAAAAGAAAATAAAAGGAATATATCTTTTTGCCTCAACACTTTATTGTAATTTTTATTCTTCTGTGGTAGGGTTATAGGTAAAAAGATTGAAATAGAAGAGAATTATCTGTTTTATCTATTATCTATCTAAATAAAAACAATTAAATTATTAAAAAGACACCTTTATTACTTTAATTACATGAGCCAAAACTAAATGTTACATTCTACACAGTCTTCCTTAAGGATAAATGGGAGATCAGCGCCACATATAGCAGCTAATAGATAGAGTGTTATTGGAATGTGTTCCCATGCTAGGGAGCAAAGAGATTTGAAACTGTTAAGGTAGCAAAGCAGTGGCCAATAGGTCAAACACAACTGACCAGGCTTTGTGTCTGACTGGAATTCGTGGAAGACGAGTAACTGGCCAAGCGTCAGGGACAACAGCTGTGGACAATGGCCCAGTAGCTTTATCCCTTCTGGGGTTTTCCTCAGGTTGTGCCTGAGGACACACACTTTTCATTTCCAGGTCTCAACGGATGACATTTTAAACATCTACTTGGCGTTGGGTAGAATGGCACATCTTCCCTTGGGAAAGAGATGTGTCACTGGGTGGCAAAGGAAATTCAAGAATTCGTTCACCTTGAGGTTGCCAGCTGCAGTAAGGACTGACTTCACCGCTCTCATTCCGTAATCGTAGTGGTGCTGAGAGGACAACTGCTCTGAACACAGGCGATACGTGGCTACAATCTTTACAGACAGAGGTCGAGCAGTCACAAAGCCACAAGAATACAGCACTATCTCTGCAATCATGGCATAATCAGGAACCATCATAGCTACTGTTCTGAAGAGAGCCTATTGGACACACGTATGAAAAACCACATTACAAATTGCTGGGCACATAGCAAAAACCATATAGCAAAAATTTCTACCCCATTTTTCTACAATTACATAAAATACTAACATTTTTCGTTATTACATTAATATCAATTAAATTTAGCTATCACTACAACCATGATTATACCATTTTTTTTTTAAGTTTAAAAATACTTAATTTTTCTTCATTACGATTCATGGTGGTAGGTATCTTTACTCAAGATTAATAGCAATAACACATAAAACCTCACAAGCTTAAGCAGGAATAGGGGAGTTGCATGTGACTATCATAAATAAGTTTTGCAGCAGCTGCCGTCAGATTCTCCCCATTACTATTGTTTTACTGCAATTAGTATTGTCTAACTTTTACCATTGTTCCACCAAATTATTAGCGAATACTTTTCAAATAGACAAAATTTTTGCCGCTTTTAATATTCGTCCAGGAGGTTCTTCTCATTATTCTCCTTCATCTATCCAAGGAATGTTTTTGTATCTTGTATTCGCACTATCTGCTAGCAAGTGAACTTCAGTTTTGAGAAAAACTGCATATTATCTACATGTTTTTATTAATTTATTAACACATTCACTCAGATTTCTTTTTCTTGCTATGGGCATAGGAGGAATCTATTGCAGAGGTAAGAGTGGATGTAGGATACAGTCTTTTAAAAGTATAATGAGATTTCTCTCATCTAAGAGATGAGATGAGTCCTGACAAATTACTTTGTTTCCATAACAACTGTCTTCATGTTGCAACAATCATATTTGTGAAACCTTAAGCAAATGAAAACTTATGCGTTGCCCACCAAAACAATCTTATTTTCTAGTTAAAACAAGAAAAAGTGAGTAATGCTCAATAAATGTCAACAGCAAAGCTTCCACTGACATTACTGTGATCAGAATTTCTCACTTGGTTCCCATCATCAGTGGACTACTGCTCATATGCTAAGGAAGATAATGCTTTTCATGCTCTGGAATCAAATTTACTTAAAAATAATAAACAGCACAAAAAAAAATCTGCCACTCAATTAAGTCAAGTAGGCTTAAACAGGACAAACATTTCCTACCCTTATTTTGATCCTGTCAGATCAAACTGAATTTTTTTTCAGAAAGTTATAGAAATTAGTCAAAAAAAAAAAAAGATTTTTTATCAATGGTTAAGTTATTGTTCACAGCTTGAACTCTATAAAGTACATTTTAGTTTTTAAACTTGTCAAGTGTTGACAAGAAATACAGGAAATACAGGAAACTCTCTTAATGTTTATTAAAAATCTGTCAGGATAGGAAAAGGTCTTTAATCCTTCTTGACATTGATTTCTTAAAATCTGTTATTTTATCCCTATTTTTTTTTGCAGTCTAATGACAGTTTTCCTGTTCTTCATATGAGAGGTGCCACCAAAAACTATTTTGAGAAATCGTAGCTTAATGTTATTAAGTATTCTTAATAATTTCTGCGTTTGACAAGAAAGCCGTTTTTTTTTTCCTGACTCTCTGCAGTAGCTGCTGAACACAGTAAAATGACAAGTGTTATTATACCTTAAGATTATCAGGCAGCTCTGAACGCCCAGCGTAACCAGGATTCATGGTAATGAAGACAGCACATGTAGGGTTCAGCTGCAATTCAGTTCCTTCAAACACTATTAATTCTGCACCTGAATTAATGCCTAAGGACAAATAGAAAGTAAAGTCATTGCTGGGGACTTTTGGTTGTGTCTTTTTTTCTTTTGCATATTTAAGAGAAGGATAAGAACAGGTTACCTCTTTGGATGGTAAGAATCTGTTGAGCAACCACAGAGAGTACTTCCAAATCAATCCTGTTGAACTCATCAAAGCAAGCCCATGCTCCACATGACAACAACCCCTAGAAGAGACAAACATTGCATTAGCCCATAGGTGGCTACTTATGTTGGACACAGACCAATGGTGACTGAAACTCTGCGATGGAAGAAGATTTCATGTACTAAGAGAGAACTTACGACCATGATTTCTAATTTCTAATTTCTAATAAATTAATTTCTAATTCTAATAAATTCTAATAAATTAATTTCTAATTCACTAATTTCTAATAAAACTCACTCCAGATAGAAATCTCTTCCAATGGTGTTACGCAATTTTTAAATTTTCGTCAAAAAAAAAAAATCAGGACAAGAAACTTGTAAAAATTTGTCCAAAACCCTATTTTTTCTGCCATATGCAAAGTCCCTAATGCATACATTTTGCATGCTTTGTCTAAGCTAGGAGCTTTAGCTTTGTGCAATACTTGGGTTTTCAGGTTGATAATGAAATGAATGTGCTGGATGTACATATTATAGTTACTTTTCCTAACTTAGTTTATAGACTTAGATTAAACGCCAGCTCCTCTAAACTTCAATCAGCTAAAAGAAGGTACTAATTTAGATGGAATCTATGTTGTCTATGTGAAACAAAATTATTATGGCATATTCCATTTTTAAAGTACAGAATAAATATTTTGATATCTGGGTTGCATTCTTAATTATCCTAAGACCTCTCCCATCTGCACAATGACAGCGTTACGTAGCCTGGAAGTTGTTAAAGTTACATTACTCTACCTTAAGACTACTTCGAGTGTCAAAGAGGTTATAGGGCTTTATTAGAAGAGAGAATATGACCCCCAAGTTTTACCTTAAAGAATTTTCCTAATGCAATGTAATCCAGTCCATCGGAACAATTGAAAACCACACACTGCTTAGCTACAGCCTTCGCTAAATCTTTAGTAGTTTCCGTTTTTCCAGTTCCAGCAGGACCTTCAGGGGCACCTCCAAGATGTAGGTGAAGCGCACCAAATAGGGTTCTGAAAATAAAATAATAGGAAAAAAAAAGAGGAAAAGCAAATCTAATTGTGTCATTTCTTTTGTCATTTTTTTCAGCTGCTCTAGCTTTTATCAGAGATTTCTAAAAAGTGCTGTTTAGGTCTGCCTTTTCATCTGACAGTACTGTTGACTTACTCCTGGCAACTGTAATCGAAAAATTTATGCTAATATACAAAACTTCAAAGCTTACTAGAAGCTCAAAACAGACTGTAGCTCATCAGTTACTTTCTAAATTTCATTCCATTTGTAATTTACCACTAATTACAGCGTCTCAAAAGATCTATTTTATCAAATTTTAAATTAAGATATTTATGCAGGACCAAATCTAATCTACTGAAAGAATTCCAATTATGCCTATTAGAATAACAGAAACAGAATTTTAGGAGTCATCTCTTCTTGTAACAAACTTAATATCTCAAGTAAATAAATTAGTGCTAATATAGCACATCAAGTAATTTATGGTTTTACCTGTAGCATCTGTCTGTAAGTGGAGTAATAACCAGTCTAGGGGTGTTGCCAAGATATTCATATCCATACATCAATCCAGCATTGATCATCTTTGTTTGTAGATGTCCTTCCTGAGGAAGCAGGCATTCATTTTGTAAATTAAATAAATAATAATATAAAAAAACCTCAATAACCATTCCTTAAAATCCTAAATATGCACAAATGTTATCAGAAACATCTGCACAGCAGACCACTGATTGCTCAAGACACCAATTTCAGTGTGGCCCAAGCAAACAAAAATACTGCCATGTAATGAAAAACTGAAGTATCTACACAAGAATAAGACAGGACCTTTTTTTCATTAATTGTTATCCTCCAAAAGATCCTAGCAACCATAATGAAAAGTACAACTTTTTTGCTTGGCTCCTCAGAAAGTAATGGCTTTCTGAAAGGCAAACAACAGAAGTAGTCCTGACCAACATTTGCAGTCATGGTGAATCCAGTGACTCTAATACGCTAAAACATGATATCTCTCTCTCTCTGTCTTCATAATAGACGCAATATCTTATAATTATTATAAGAAATTTCCTTCCAATGAATGTAAATATAGGGTATCTTACTACTATGTAAATATGTTATTTTGCCAAGAAATATTACACACAAATAATATTAACAAAAAATCTGACTAAAACCTCCAACTAAAATCCTGTCATTCCCTGTCCTGCAGAATAAAAAAAGCAAAGCATAGACTTTAAATAAACAAATTTTATCCGCAAACTTCCTGCAGATTCAGCAAATGCAATGAAAATCAACAGTGATAAAAAAAATAGTTTTAATTAAGAAATGCCTATTTATGGTTATTGGCCATTCTAGTTTGCAACCCACACAATGATTGGTTAGGTGAATTCTCTCATCAGCAAAAAAGTCCCCTATTAGTGTATCTATTCCTTGTGTCAGCAGGCAAGCACAAACTGAAAAGCTGTGAATAGAAATTACCTTCTAATAGGACTGAGAGGTATCACTTACCTGCCAGTAGTACCTGAGCTGACTTAACCATTCAAAGTCACTTTCGTCTTTGACTTTCTTGCTTACTAGAGATGCAAGAACATCCCTAGCATGAACATCAAGCACAACAAGTGCTCCTAGAGTCACTCGATTCTGCTTAGACAGCTTTCCTCGTACCAAGGTGACAATGTCCTCAATCTGTTTATTATTCTGTTCCAGAAAATCCTCAAGTGCCTGGAAAAAATGTTAAAAAGTTAGAAAGTCGCATTTCTAATCTGAGGTATTATCTTTTTTATTACCTTTTTTTCTATATATTAAAATGTTCATTCTTATTGTAAAAACAGTACACTCACTAGCAAACTCAGCAATTTTGTTGCTGTTGTTTAGTTTTCTTCTACTTTAAAATAATCCTATTATGATACCTATCTGGAAACAAAAGAGCCTACACTATTCTCTTCTGGGAATACCATAAATAGTTATTTTTATATATTTCACCATGAATTCAATGTATTAAGTGCCTTATTTTCCAATGGTAGAGCTCGTAGATCATCAGTTGGTACCCATTCCGCACGTATATTCGTTCCTTGACAATCATCAGGACAGTGATTAGCTTCTTTCCTAGTCCTGGGCTGTCTTTACAACGAGCATTAAGCATTAATGAAGGTAAGGTGGGCATCTGCAGTGCCCATTCACAGAACCTGAGCATGTCACTGGGTTGCCTGCACTGAAACGCATCCTGTGCTGTCACATAGAGTACACTCCGACACGGTGCCGAAGCCTGGCTGCCTACAGCCAAAAGGGAATACCAGTTTCAAAGGCCTCAAGAATCAGAGTTCACATACTCAAAAGATTATCTAATACACCAAACAGCTATCCACCCCAAAATGATATAAGCAAAGGCCTGGTGTACCAATACATGATACCAGTTTTACATAGTTTATTATTATGCCCTTTAAAATGTTCTTACCGTTTGGCCTTTCTTGATAGACATCTGTACCTGCATTGTCCAGAAAGTCTGGGACACGCAAAGGACGGTTTGTCCAGGCCACTCTCTTACCCAGTTAACACGTGGAGTTTTTGGATAAGCTTCAATTGCATCCCCAATGACCTGTATGTGAGAAAAGCATACCACAAGTAGAAGTGAAAACAGATAATGCTCAGCTCTAGAGTTAATTTAGGTTACACTTCAGTTCTGAGAATTAAAGACTCGGACTGAATTCAATTCTGTAATACTGAAATCTTGCAACAAAACGTCTCAAAAAAGCTCAAAAAAATCATAATATGAACCAGTCAATTACACTAAATTTCTGAGAACTAATATTACGGCACTTTCTAATATGATTCTTGCCATCAGAAGCTTCTAATTTTCAAGGCACAACTACAATTAATTTGAAAACAAGTACGCATTTAGTTGGAAGTGATATCCAAAAGTCATGGTGCTTTTCTCATCAGGTCATTCTAGTATTTACACTTGTATGTAACTTTATTCACTAACAAGAAAATGCTGAACCTGGTTCTAGCATCATTCCAGAAACCCGCATGAAATAAAAACTCACAATGGAGTCCACACCACTGTAACCAGTCCACTCAAACAGAGTTTTTTATTATCAACTCCCTAATAAATTCAGATGTTTCCCTGGAGAGATTTACTTGAATGAAAACCTGTCATTTGTTTTGCAGTTCCAACCCTCTCTATAATGAACAAAATCTATATGCATTATGTCATCCATAAAAATGATACATCCATGAGTAAAAAATACATATTGACATGAAAAATACGAAAAGTTTATATATTTCAGAGCTTTATAACAGTCCTGTAGTTAAGAGTTAATGCAGACAAACAGTGTTTATACATTTCTTACACATAAGCTGTTGCCTTGTATGCATGGAGCAAATAAGGCTATTTCATTTCTTACACACTACTCTAAAACTATCACGACTAAACTGTTGTACACTAAGAGTGCGTCAGGAAAACTGTGTGTACCTTCAATTACCCCACTTGGCATAGAAAGAACTAGAAAAAATAGTAGAAATGGTTAAATATATTATAGGATATTGAGAGAATGAAAACTAGAACAATACAGTCTAGAAAAGAAAAAATAAATAAAAAGAACTATGGTTCTTAATTAAATGCAGTCCTAATTAAGTAGGACATTAAAGACCTGGAAATTTTTGCAATTTAATCTTGTCTATTAATACAAGAATCACTGGAGAACCAATGAATAACTGATATTTTTAGAATTAATAAAAGAAATTCCTCTTTATACACATACTAGTTAGCTTGAGGAAAGACAAGCAGCATACCAGAAGCGTAAAATAGGTTGCATAATTCACTGAACAAATGCATCAGTAAAAGTGCAAGCAACCAAAATAAGAAGAAGGGTGTTTCAGTACTTAAGGACATGTATCAAAGACTGAGAAAGAATCTTAAGCTTTAAATTACTTCATGCTGGGAATGCCCACGAACACTAGGAGGGACTGTTCGGCCTTCAGCTACCTTCAGGACAGTGTTGTACCTCCTGACCGCTCACAGTGCTGGAAATGCAGGAATTTCAGTGCTTCCACTCAAAAGAGCAGTTCTTTGATTTTCCCTAGGTCACCCAAAACTCTATTCTCATAAGATCACAACCACTATTACCTGACTCAGACATTGACTTGTTCAGTATCATAGAAAAATGAAATTGTTTAGGCATCTTGACTGATTTTTCATGTCTCTCAATAGTGGTTCTCACCACACTTTCAACAGTAAGAACAAGTCATTTTCACTAACTGGACTCAAGCAGTTAAGTATTAAGTACAACCGAGAATCATAAAACCCTAAATTACTATGACATAGCTTCCTTCAGTATAAATCTCTTTGCCTTTTAAAAAGATAAAATGAAATTAAAAAATTACTCTGAGAACTGAAAAGGTCTCTATTTCAAACATCAGCGTGTATTTTTAATGAAGTCCCTCTTGCACTAATTCCATGGAGAAAGATTCATGCCCTCCTTTGATGCAAAGGCAGTATAAACTCCTGATTTAAGCACTTCCACGCCCCGTAAGCAACACAAATGTACACAGTAACAACCGTGTCTGATGAAATAACTTGCTTGACTTTAACCATGGGTTTCCAGAGGCTTATACTGCTAAGTCTTCCTCCATCAGGACCAAAATCGCTGGCTTTGTGTCGAATATAACAGACAATGAAATCTCTGCAATTAAATAGTTTGTTTCTTTAACAATTATTAATCAGTGGTCAGTTTTTGCCCCGCTTCAATCAAACAGAAGAGATGAGCATGTGTTACCTTGTGGATAGAACTCAGCATAGCTGCCTCCAGCTCAACCAGCCACTTCTCAACCTGACCTCTAGCTTTAGATGTTGAGATCGTCCCCGTGAGTTGCACAGTCTCCCCTTCACTACTTTTGATGTGTGTAATATCTAGTGTATCAGTAAATTGCACTCTTGCAATTCCTTCAAAACACTTTTTCAAGTGAGGTTGTACTCTAGAAAACAAAACATCTTTGTCAAGGTTTTCCTGCCAATACTAGAAAAGAATATCTAAATGGTTTTATGTTAATTTCCATGTGAAAAACTTACTTAAAAGATCATTTTTAATACTAAAAGTTTATCCTCAGCAATAATTCTTGTATACCACACCCCTGCAAGGTGCCTATCCCATTATTTTTTGAGGTCCAATTTATACATGTAAAACATTACATATGGTTTCTGAAACATAAAAACTAGTAAGTTTTAAACATCCTTTGTTCAGCTACTAACCTTCCTACAGCATATAATATTTCCCTATATGTGCCTTCCCAACAAACAATAATAAACTTTAAGGAATTTGAGTAAAGCAACCAAGTACAACCTTAACAAAATCTTTTGTAAACTTTTGTAAACTTGTAAATCTTTCTGAAAACTCAATGTATGGAAAGTTTACTGGTTTAAAAAGTTAAGCTAAGTTTAATCACCCACATTAAAAATTACCCTGCAATCACTTTTCATAAAATGGAATCTGGTACACACTTCATACTGTAACTGACTGTGAATAAGAGAGTTTGGGGCTTAGAAAAACAATATGACAACCTATTTGCATGCCCCATGAGCAACAAATATTTCTACCAAATATCACTGTACCGGGTAGGATCTTTGGTCTCTGAAAGAATCTCAAGGAGCTCATCATTAGATAAAAAAAAGAATCTGGGGAAATACAAGCGCTTCTTTTCTAGATATTCATTAAGTCCTTTGAGAATTAGCTCCAGAAATTCATTGCATTTTTTCAGTTTTTCCAGCATCTTCTCTATTGTTACAACTGCCAGCACATGTTTGTCCTGCAAAAGAAAATCATTCAATAAATATGTTAAAGTCTTCCCAAGCAATCTGCCACAAGACTGTGCAGAAATCTTGATCGAGATTAATTTTTATGTCAGCTTTGGCTTTACTCAAAGCATTTCTGGAACAGAGTTTAGAAATCTTCTTCATTCTCTGCCTTCACTGGAAAAGTAGTCATGCTTTAAGCAAATTTTTCAAACATCTACCACTACTTTGAAAATAATTTTCAAAACACGGGATCAATATATCAAGTGGTGTAACTCCTATAACTCTGTTGCAGCATTATCAATTTACACAGGCTGTGCAACTGGACTATATAATCAACTAAAATGCACAATCAAGACCATTTATGGATTTTTAAAAGTATGCAACTATGATAACAAGACAAACACTTCAAGTGGTAATCAACTATCAGGCCCCAATGCATAAAAATGATCTTTTCTTCTATTAAAAAACCATGCAAATATATACAGAAGATAAGGAGATTTGACACATGAAAGCTACAGATAGGCAACACTGACATTGTCTATAAAACTTCAATACAAAATTTGACTAACCACGTGATCTACAAAAGGGAATACATTTAACAAGTAAATACATTTTTAAAAAAAAAACTGATAGCAAAATATGAAAAGTTAGACTTGATTTCAAAGTAAATTGTGTTATATTTTTATTTCTTTTTATAATAGCACCTGAATAACACCTGCCAAGACAGATGTTATGGGATATACTTTTGGATAAACATAAAGGATTTTTTATTTATATATGTTGTAGATGGCAAAATATGCATATATGTAGATTTGATTTCCAAATTAAGCTCTTAAATTAAATTAATGTAAATGTTTAGAAAAGGTACTATACTAAATAAATGGTACCTGCATTAATACATTTACAAAAAGAGACTTTGCAAAAGAGCTAAGGGCTGTCAAGCTTACTGGAAGAAATACACAGTTGCCTGCACATTAAGTTTTAGCATTTAATAGGCTAAATTTATAGCTCTGCCAAGGCAAAGAGAAAAAAAGAGTAAGCCATCATTTTTAGTTGTTTGAAACATCATTGTCACTTAATTTATCCATTAGAGAAAAAAAAAACTGTATCAGGAAAACAGTGTGAAAGAAGTGTAGGACAAAATTTTGGAACACCTTGTTAAAAGACCGCCACTAATTCTAGTTTCCATATACCATTTTTAATGTCTCATAGTTTGCGGTATTGGACTTCTTTTCTTTCATTTAATCTTTACTTTCTTCCTAACAAAAACATAAAAACATTCTGGATTTATTTAATGGGAAAGTAAAAATTAAATCACAAGGTAATTTAATCCTCATTAATGCACATTGCTTGAATTAGATATTTAAAATAAATAGTACACTATTATTCAAATTTGTGGTGAAAAGCAAAGCAAATAGACAAAGTATTTGGATTCCTCTCAGCAGTTTTATAATGCAATGGCATATAAATTCAGAAAAGCATAAGGAGACTCAAGTTAGTATTGTGATTTAGAAAGACCATTCATATTCATTGGGGAAGAACATGCTTCTGAACCATAAAAGACAGGCGCTGATTTTATAGAAAAATAGTGCCATCTTCTGGGAAAAAAAATCTTAGTTGTGAAGCCAAAATAAATCTGTGAGTATGGTATATCTAATCACCCTCAGAAAACAAAACCATCTTTTGTTTGTACAGGAAAGCACATATACCAGAATAGAATACTCCGTAATTAGTACGGCAATAACAATCTAAAATCATTTATATTTGATCAACACCAAAATTCTGAACTAGAAGATTTAATTAAAACAGATCACTGAGCATGCATATTTTTCAGAAATACAATATTTGAAAAAAAATCCCCAATTCTTGTGCATTCTATCTCTACACAGTTCTTCTCCAAGATGAGTAGCATTAATTTCACATTAGCCCAATTCAACGCATTCTGATTTTCTTCTAAATAAATAAATACAATTATTTTTAAGAGAGAAAGCAGAATTGCCAGGAAATGAAGTAAATGCTTCCTTTTATATATTGCACGTGTTTTTAATTCATATGTGAATAATATATCCGCAAGCTGAAAAGAGTTTAGACCAAAAGCTGTTCAGTGAGTGCAGGTGTCAGCATTTCTTCTAACAACCTAATGGATCTCAACGGCATGACAGTGATGAAAACAAAACTTGATTTTTTCTTCCAAACAACACTTTACGCCCCTATATAGAGGACCTCGTGAATCTTCATGGGTTTAAGGAATAGCTTAGTAAGACCAGCTGAAACAAAACAAAGCAAAAGGCCTGTGGGAAAAGTCCTTGGTGTTAGGGAACAGACTCAGAATAAGTACAGTCATCCTAATCATTACTGGAATTACCTAAAAGGCTACCAGAACTACAAGGTAACTCACTCTGTCCATGAGGAATAGCAGAACAGACCGTACAAATGTTCTTTATCCTAAGACTGGTTATGTTGATTGCATTTGCCAAGAACTAGAAAAATCTAAATACTGAAGCAAACAACATTTGCACAGTTCTGTGCAGTACGTTCCAGAAAGAGAAAAATAACAAGCAAATCTGTGAGACACTAACATCTTGGATTGTCAGACACGGGAACGTGTTTGACAACTGCTTTATGTACTAATTTATAGTAGATCAGGATAGTGCTTTTGAAGCAAATTAAACATCTACAACTTAGAGTGACAGAGGTACCTCTAGCATTCAATATGCAAATAAACTTTTTTTTTTTTTCCCAAAAGGATTAACCAGGGTAAAACTTCATTAATTCATCTATGAACCTCAAACAAGTTGACTTACAGTGCCAGGATCACCCTTGCTATGTTGCCTTGCTTTATATCCTGCTTCATTTTCCTCATCCGTACAGCACATGGACTAAGAGAAGAGATGGAGAGCACTTGGGTTGTCTAGCTTGGTGCAGAGAAAGTTAAGGGAAGAAGCCAACTGCAGCCAGCAATTCCCCGAAGGGCGCTTGCAAAAGCAACCTTTCCTCAGTAGTGACAGATGGACAACAGGCACCAACCTTAGCCTGGCAGGTTCAGCTTGGACATTAGGAAGAGCAGCACTAGAGCAGATCGTCTCTGAAGGTAATCTCCAAGGAACCTCCGTCCTTGGAGGTTTTCAGGACTTGCCTAAACGAAGACATGGCTGACCTAACCTAGGGCTGGCACTAGTTCTGCTTCGAGCAGGAAGCTGGGCTAGCTGAACTCCGGAGATCCCAAGATTCCTACAATTCTCAGTGAAACGCTTCTACAAAGCATTTTTAAAAGAATCTAAGAAAAGGGGCCAGGAAGAAGCAGATGTTGTCAGAAACAATTTTCTGGTACCTACTACAAATCCTTTCCATATGCTTAAGACAATAGTACTTACCTGCAAAACTGACTTCATGACATCTTTCCATGTTTTATCCACAGTAGTGAATCGTCTACTTTCCTCAGGCATCTGAGCCATGATGTCAGGAGAACTGAAAATTGGCTCCAAATAAAGCCAAGTAGCCTGAACTTTCAGCCATTCATCCAGGATCTCCTGTACCAACATCAGCTTTCCTTCCCATTCCCTATAAAATAACATTAGTTCAAATGCATGGATTGCTGCTTCTAGCAAAACATTTCTCTCATGCTGCTGACATCTTTCTGGAACATTACGTACAACAGCAAGAGCAATGGGAGTAGATTTTAAGCAGAATTCAGCTTCAGCATGTTCAGTAGAATACTGCATTAACCTAGTCTGATCTCCTACGGAATAAAGTCCACACTCATTTCCATAATCCCATTCCCATCATCAGTTTGTGTTTGAACTACATTTTTTTTGTAAATTAATTGCAGAATTTCATAAAATAAGTTAAGCAGATTAACAGTATCAGTGAAGCCTATGGTAACATATCAAAATGTATGCTTGGTAAGAAAGGCTAGAGACTAAAATAAGGCCAGGAAAGTAGCCGGAACTTTCAAAAGAAAAATACACAGCCGTTCTCCCCAGAAGACATTCAGACTTAATTGAAAGACTTTCAGTAACAGAACATTTGCCATATTCCTTACTATAGTCCCATGGCTAATTTAAATCACTATTTAAAGCATCACATCTTAATTTTGACTTCAATTTGAATCGTCATTGTTGAACACAGTTATCTGATGTTTAGAGAGTCCTTCAGTATTATGGTACATCAGTGTGGATTCAAGATATTATAATTCATACCTATTTGGTTATTCCTTTGGATAGCCAAAAATTCAACATTCTTTAATCTATTGTTTTTTCTGAATGTCCTCAAATTTTCAGCATCCTTTTTAAAGTATTAACACCATCACTTGAGGCAACATTTCACTATCTTACCAATACTACATACAGATCAAGTATTATCAGTTCTGTAACTTCCTTGACATTCCTAATTCTCTAACATACACAATTTGCAAAAAAAAAAAAAAAGTGATCAGTGGTATTCAGATTCTCCTTAAGTACAAAAACATTGAGCATGATAATTTGCAACTCATATAACTGGATATTGAAGATGGAAACAGTATAAAAAATACTGTTATTCTGTTAAAATATGTATTGTATTAACAGGCAATATTTTTCTCCAAAAGACCTTGGCTGTACGGATTTCTGCAAAGTGACATGTTTGAAAATATACCTATCTTCATCCTTTATTCCTTTATCTATCTGGACAGTTTCTAAGCAACAAACAACTTTGCTTGGATGCACCATCTCCTGGTACATCCCGAAGTCCCTCTGGACCTGAAGTCCTTTCATTTTTCCAGTGGGACAGGTACAGAGTCTCTGGTGATTTTGCTTCTACTTAGAGGTATAGAAAAATGCATCTTCCTGAAGCGAAAATTAGCCAAGTCAGCTAATTTTCTTATACAAAAAAAAATATATATATACACACACAAGAAAACAATGCATTTGGATCATCCCTGGGAGAAGCCAGCATAAGCTTTGCTGCCTTTTTGAAAAAGGAAGTGCTGTGTAGTCACCTAGATCTCCAAGATCTAAAGCCTATCTTGTCAGATTCCAAATGCTGCCAGCCACCTGAAAGCTGAGACAAAATTATCGCAGACAATAATTTAATCTGAGCCTTCCAGTGACTAACAGTATTTGTAATAGTACAGTTTTCCCTTTGATAAATATAATTAAAATTTATCTGGCAAAACCTACTCTTTAGCTTGAAAGGAAATATTGAATAATGTAGCAGTAATTACAGAATTAATATTTATTGATATGTGGGTGCATGTATATATGTGTATCTGCAAGTATGCACTTGGATTTATGGAACATATGTGTGAAACATTAAATAGTATTTTTTCATATTAATAGCAGTTTTGATGCACTCATTTAGCAAGTTAATTATGCCCAAAGTTTAGCTGAAAGATTTTCAAGTTCTTCCCCAATATGGCTCTATTTAGAGGATTTAAGAAGCAAGTAATGTGTTTTTTGAGGAAATAAACAGAATCAAATTAACCTATGCTCAAGGATGAAACTATATAATTTTTAACATGTTAACACTAAGCTTTGGAACTGAATTTTCTGCATTAGGAAAAAAATATTTTCTCACTTCCCTGGAATTTGTCTTGTTTTCATTTTCTTCGTCTCCCTAATTTAAAATGTAACATTTTTAAGCATTGAAAAGCTAAATAAAATAAATTATCAAGTTACTGATTTTTAGGTAAAAAAGTTAGTTTCTGTGCTTAGTTCACAAGCTTTCCTTCAATACCACAAGTATACACTAAAGTAAAGATAATGTTATGATGCACCTGGTATCTTCAATTGCAGGGAAGATTTTAAAACGGCTTTGCAACCTGTCAAGAGCTCTCTATCGTCTGGTTATACCTTTGGGTAATATCACTGGTGGCTGTTATTAGAAAAAGAAATTACCTTATTCTTGTCTCATAGTGTTTAATGAATGGAGATCCTCTCATAGTCTGAGTTTTGACAATGTGATCATCCAGTAACATCTGAATATCATCTACAGATGACAAAATATGAGTTCCTGTTTCTCTATAGGCAAGAACAGAGAATTCCATTTGATCCCATTCAGAAATCATCTTCACTAAAGCTTTCTCAAGTGAATGTTCTTTGCTGGCTGTTTCGCTGATGGTCTCAAACTTTTCTAAGAATGGTTCAAGATGCAAATTAATATATGACAAGACATTTGAGTATTCAGAAGGAGATAGTGAGAAACCAGCAATTTTTGACATCTCTTCCCAGTGCCTTTCTTGCAAACCAGGATTGCAAATCACCTGGATAAGAGGAATGTGGTTTTTGAATTCTTCTACTTTAGTTTTAATTTTTGTTGTTATTGATAATGCATTCGGGGAATCATGGAAGGTTCTTTCCAGTTTATATAGTCCACGCCAGTAGTTTCCTACATCTGACTCTACTTCATCGGGATTCACTTTCGTAAGTGAACCCTCCGTCCAGTCTTGGTGTTTTCTGTTGAATTCCACAGTCATATCGTAAAGACGAAGATACGGAGCGAGAGTATCCTGGACCTTTTTACGCTGAGGGTAGTAAGATACTGGCCATCCAAAGGCCTCTTCTTCTGCATTAAACTGATCAATCTGTTGAGACACAAGTGAGGTGTGAAATATAAACAAAGCTGTCCATGATATCAAGTCCTTGCCACAGTCATTAGAACAGCAGACCTACTTCCAAAACATCAAAATAAACCTTTTGTGAAAACCTACATAAGATTAATATGCCCCTAAGCATAGTGCTGCTGTCTTAACTCAAGTGTAATCTGTATTTATCGTGCTCAGTAAATTTGCTCTTTATATGACTAAACAGGTAAATTTACTTCACAGCTAAATTATGAAATATTCCTCCACATATCAGGAACCACATTGCTAAGAATTTTCGTTTTTTTAATAATCCTGCTAATACAGATAACAAAAACTACATCTATGCAACTGGGCTAGTTTAGACTATAAAAAATACCTTATCAGCAGCAAGATCCAACTTTGCATTTAACGCTTGAGCTTTCTTCAAGTATCTTTTGACTTCCTGAATGTCTCCAAATGTGAACAGTTCTTCAACTTGTTTTGCACAACTTTCCAGCTCCTCCACAAACCGCTGGCAACGTAGCTAATTTAACATCAAACAAATGTATTGTCATGAAAAAAAAGACAATAAATGATTTTTTTCTGCAAAAAGTAGTAATAACTACTCTGATTTGCCACTGAAGGACACTTAAGAAAATCCAAAATTTCCAATGTGTTTGCACATTTTTAATATCTCTTCCACCTAAATTACAGAATTTCCCCTGAATACTACTGTTACATGCAGCGACTCAGTGGGCTGACAAAAGTGACTTTGGCTTCTTCTTTGCTCTTCCATAGGATATGGTTGGCACAGAAATTTCTGTTTTCTGTGACGGACATAGTAGGCTATTAATAAAAAGCTAAATAGAAATACCAAGTGTAGCACAAATTAAATTAGGAAAAAAGAAAAAAAGGCTAGACTAATCAAATGACAGCTGAAGCTATACAATTTCACAAGAGAAAGGTAAATGTTTCTCTTATTTTAAAGCAAAACAGTTCAAGAGTAACTTTTTCCTCATATGTAGCACTCTGCAAAAAGAGCATCAATAGTGGCCAATGTCTGGAACAGAGCAACAAATTGAACAAAGCATTACCGTGTTTCAGAAAACACAATCTATGCTGCACTCCATCAAATTACTAATTTTACATTACAGTTACACCTAGCAAGCCCCTTTTGGTACATACTTCATGAACACAGAAACTCACTTTCTCAAAGTGTATTATCTCAGACAAAATGATGATGAGACGAGGGAACACACGCAGACAAAAAAGCAGACGGCTCTACTGGTAGGAGCCAAAGGGTACCAGCAGCCTAGTAATTACCAGTTTTTGTACAGACAGTACAACACGTAGACTTTAAAAACACTGTACTGTCAAAGCTGAGTAAATATAATGAAAAATTCTAATAGAAATGAAATACAAGTAAAGTATAACAGATTAAAAATAAACACAAATAAAGCATATTTGTAATCCACATTTATGTTATAAAACTGCATTATCAGACATTATCCTAACAGGAAAACCACACTTGTAGATGAATGCAGGTCATTTTCTTTTGGGAGTTATTGTAGAAAGTTCATTGCCTTCAATATGCTGCCACTGACACCAAACAACTGCTCATGTGCAAAAATGAAGCCATCCACTAGTGTTTAAGGAATACAAATTTTAAGATTTCACGTACAAACAACTTCTGCCAACATCACCGGTACTGAGAGCAAAATGTGAAAACATAACTTATAAGTCATGGACATGCAAACAGTGAACGAGCAGGAAACAGACAAAAATAAGTTAATATTAGCAATAATAAAACAACTTGTACTTATGCTTTGAACTTCTTTTAAAATAAATGGGAAATAATTTAATAGAGAGTATTTAATTTGATATAATTTTATGTCATATATATCATTTAAAATTAGTAACTCAAAAACTTTCAAAATGCTGTCATTACAAACCTTAAGACCTTCTTGGAATTGTTCTGTTTTTTCTTCAATTATCTTTCTGTGCTCTTCAAAGATATCTGGCATTCGAGCATACCACTGAAAAACACTATTGTTGAGTCGCGTGTCTGCTGGTGAAAGGTTGACATAGTCGATCAAGAAAGCAAGACAGTGTACAGCATCCACTAATTTCTGTTCCAATTCAGGCATATCACTTCTTTCTACCTTTTGTATATAGGCCTGGAGAAATTAAAAAATAAAGACATACTTTATGTAATCTTATATCAATATCACTTCTTAAGCATTACAAATCTTCTTAAAGAGGAAAAGAGCTATGGTAGCAAAAATGTTGGCCAATTGGACAGGTCAATATTACACCAATATAAAAACTACTTTCTACCCATCAAGTTACAGGAAAAGAATACATGTGAGGACATAATGTGGTATTGGACTTTTTAGGTGGGGATAAGCTGTCCAGTAAGTCTATGCTTCTCTTCTTTTAACAGTAGTTTCTATGCAGCAGGTTATACTCATTGCTTTGGATCTGGAGAATATTGGCCTACTAATAAATATCCAAAAGGAAGATTTATGCGTCTTCCCAGCAATGAGCTGGAAGAACTATTAGGAGAGGTTCAAAGCTGGCATACTGTTGTACACTACACATGAGAACATCTCATCTGGTTTTTGTCCAGCGTAAAACTATGGCATTAAAGACAGCTTTTTAAAAGGAACATACTCCCGCATATATTTCAGCTACTTAGCATTTTATTTTTCACTTAAAAAAATTACTCCAGTTATATCTTGTGTTCAGCTTGATGGCAGTAAAGACTCAAAGCCCTTGGGCCCAAATTCAGCCAGGTGCTCAGGCAAGAACACAGAACAGAGTGTGCTGAACAACAGGAGACTTCAACACGCGATTTGCTCCAGGTGTGTAGGTGAGCGCTTTGCTGGAGTAGAAACTACAGAAGTGGCAACTTCTAGTTACAAAACTCCAAACTCTCCATCTCCTAAATTTAAAATTGTAATTCAACACATAAATGCAAAATTCACAAAAATTCCCAAAGAGTACAAATAACTGTTCTGTTGTGAAGGATAAAACATCTCTTTAACGTCCCTGTATCTTAGGTTTCAAGACCTTAACTAGTCTAGGGCACTAGGAAAGGATGTTTAACCTTTAACATCTAATTCAAGTTTTTGTAATTCAGGTACAGCACCAGAGACTTTAAGAGGGCTGGAATCATATCCATAAAAGCAGACAACTTGGAAATGCTATTGCTTAAGGACGGAACAGTGCTGTTGGTAGCCATTTCTTGCTTGGAGTCATTAAAAGGAAGAGAGTACCTTAAATTCCATTAGTTCATGTGTATTTGATGGAGTAGAAAGGGCTTTTTCTGATATTCTCTCAAACTCATCACAGAGTCTGAAACATATATAAAGCAATATTTCTTTTTTAAATCATCCACAATCAAATCACACACATGCACAACAGCAAAAATGAGATAAAATATGCTTTAAAGATTACAAAATTCAACAATGGAAACAAAAATAAGTACACTTAAATACACACTTTTGGATTGAGATTTACCTCAGGATCACATCTTGATAATCTTTAAACATTTTGGTAATAATTTTTCCACAAATGTTATCTGCCCTGTTTGCCAAAGCATTTATCAGTTCATCGCAATGCAGCTCAAACATTCCTAGACGGAGGTACTGCAATACAAACATAACAGTTACCACAACATCACATGGCTTTTACCTTGTACTTTTTTCAGGGACTTTGGGAATCTAGTCGTATCTTAAACCTTTCCAGCGAAGAAAGCAAAGGAAAACCAAAAAACTACAGCTAGGAACAATTGTTCTTCCATGTCTGGAATCCAATCTTCATAACACTCTATTGCTTTCTATCTTGATAAATATTGCTACTGCTTCATTATAGAAAGGGCATGTATTCTTTGTAAGGAGACAGCAACAGATGTTGCCTGGTAAAATTACTGAGCTTGAAATACATCTAAAAGGCATAATCATGCAAATGATAAACACCTGAGGATGTGACATGCCCCAGCATTGCTGGGGGACTCTGTTGCCCTGTGAGTATCAGAACGCCACACACAGGGGCACTCATGAAGGACAGGTCAGGGCAGACTAGTCTCACTAGAACTCAGGTTCACATCAAGCACTTCAAGGAAAAAAGTTTAAAGAAAATTCCTTTAGTCTTCTCAAAAACAAATAAACAAAAACAAAGCCAAAAAACATCACAATGAAGATCCTCAGGAGAAACTATGGGATGGCTGGACTTCTTTCTTTTAGGCCTTGACATTGAGGACAGGCATATCCTGAAAGCCTTCACAAGTTCCAGAATGGTATTTAGCAGAAAGAACCATGTCTCACACAAACTGGGCAAATACACCCTATAAATGGTTACTCCAGAAGAACTAGTTCTTCTTCTTAGTACAAAATCAACACTGAAATGATGTCAATATCTCCTTATGAAAATCAGTATAATTTACCTTTCTAGATGTATATTGTATTTCCTTACTGAGTTCCTGGTACTTAGTAATCTCCCTTGTTATTTCCTCAAAAGTATGTTTCTGTGCCAGGAACTTCTCAATGTCCCGATCAGCTTGTTTCTTCACCAACAAGCTGTACTTATCATAAAGCTTGAGATGTTCCATTGGCGCAGCACTTTCTTTGATAATTTCCTCTCTGATCCTCTTCCTGTGTTCATCTAAGACTTCATCCAGGATAACAGGCTTCAAAACTTTTGCAGCATCATCTTTAGGCTTAAAAAAATATTTTCACATTTCAGTTATATACATGACTCATCTCCCAGAAGACAAATACAATAGAAAAATTAATTAAATGTTGTTTTTTCTAGTTAAAGCTTGCTTTTAAATCTAATTTTTACATATAGCTGATCTACAGCTACATCTACACTGATTTTATCCTTCCTGGATATCTACACTCTATTTCCAAATTTTGTATATCCTAACTTATATGTCTGTGTTCAACAATTAACAAAACAGAGTTGCTTCATTCTGAAATTCAGAAGTCCATATACTAAACAACTTAAAAAAACTATTAAAAATAAATCTAATCTACACTGATTTTATCCTTCCTGGATAGCCACCGCAACTTCAGTTTTGTCATCAACTGAGGAATCTGTAACATTTGAAATACGTAGAAGCCTTCCTGCAAGTGTCAGAAGCTCTGTTTTTTCATGAATTCATACATGCTCAAGATACTTATTTAAATTTTCTTAAATAACTCCATTTTTCATTCTTAAAATACAAATTGCTACTAAGGAGAAAGAGCAATAGTATCTCTAAATGGCAGTCATTCAGGAAAAAAACATTCACATCCCACAGCTCACTAGGAAACAACCAAGAGGCACTAAAGGACATTCTCTTGACTCTCTGTTAAAAACTAACACTGACAGTAACATGCAGCTCCAAAATAAGTAGGGGAAAATTACTTTTCTTACCCACCTGGATAATCTGGGTTTTTTTGACCTAAAAAAAATTCTAAATTGCTTTAAAATATTTTCCATTTTTTAAGGGATAGTCTAATCACAACAATCTGTATTTAAGATAACAATATCCTTCTCATTATCAAAATAGAAGAAACTTTCCAGCATACGGTAGAATCACATTTAAATACATCAGCTTTGGTTTTAGCATACAATACCCTTACAGGAGTAATTGAGACAATAACACAAAGAAGAAACTAGTTCTCTCCTGGCTCTCTATTCGCTTATAGAACAGTGATACTAATAAATACTAAAAGATGCTAATAAAGCTAAGATGATTTCAAAACGTTTCAAATGTACTAAAAGCATAGTATCATGACACATATTATGTGACTTCTGTCAGTAGGACTATTCCTCAAAGTACTTAGGAAGTAAATACAGCAGCAATATAAAAGAAAATATAAACATGAAAGTTGTAATTTCTTACCCATTTAGAAAATAATTTGGTCTCAACTCTTGGTATGTCACTGAGAGCTTTAATCATAACAGTATAAACATTCAGTAATATATCCTCACAGTTACTGAAGCTAGGTTCAAATTTAATGCAGTCATCCTCAAGAATTAACCTCAGGATGAAACCTGGATGTTCGTAGGCGAGGACTGATTTCTTAAGATTAAAAAGAATAAAAAAAAGAGTAAAATTTTAGCTAATAATCAAAGGATCACTAAGAATTACTCCAGCATATACACCTTAAATTGTTGGGATATTTATTGCAAATGTCATGCCATAATCATAATGAAATTACATATGCAAATGGAAAATATATTTAATAAAATTCACATTCAAATGACATTCATTGATATGAAATGTAATATGCTATTTTTCAGTAGGCACAAGAAGCAGCCTCTACACACTAGCCAAAACTTTGCTAAGGTTGTTGCCACAGACTGAGGCAGAGGAGCTTTACAGTGTTAGCCCTCACAACTGTAGTAATATGGGCATTACTGTATTACTAGACTACATTAGACTGCAATACCTCTATTCATCCTCTGAAGCACTCAATACTAATCTACTTACTTTAAAAGATCTGCTTCCAATTTTAGTTGCTGCACACGAATCTGACTCACAAAAACTAATCTGAGAAGATCATATTTGCACTACAGACAGTCTCTTTTATAGTATAGATTCTGATGTATCCTGGTATAAGAATTTTCATATGCTTTTATCCCTGGTGGCATAACTGAATTTTTCGTATCTTTAATCTGTGTATGACTTTTCTTAACTTTTCTCTCTCTGCCAACATATTCTAACTACTTTTAAATATAAATAGGAGGAATAAAGAGATTTTTATCACCATTCAGGAGCATAAGATTGCTATTAGAAAGTACAAAATTAAAGAATAAGTACATCTTACTAATGATCACAGAAAACAGTGCTACAGACATTCAAGTTCACTCAATTCAGAGACTTTGGGGACAGAAGACTGGACTAATTACTATTTATGAAGGAATTAAAAACATATACTCTCTACGGCATGATTCCTTACTGCTTTATTTTCCCTGGCTGATATTCCATCCACACTAACTCTAGTTGGAGCTCTGTGGGTATATGAGGTCTTGCCCATATATACCCACATACTGCAGCTGAACAACAATCCAGCTGCACTCGAAGACATCAAACATCAAGGAGATACACTTATCTCCATGACAGACATGATAGACGTGAGTATCAAAGAGAAAGTCTTCTTTCTTTATTTTTTTGCCCAAAACTATGCTGCCTAATCATGTAATAAACACCAACAGCAGACAGGTGATGCCTGTCGTTTTTACAGATGAGGATTATGGACAGGTAGCTCTACAACAATGCAAGATGCACATGGCCTACACATTAATGAACTTCTCTTCTAAGGCTTACTGACTGCAGCATGTTCGTGAAGTTACCAGACATAAAATATGTTTCCCTTCTCACATAACAGAAAAGTAAGGTGCTTTGTGTTATTTTTTTAACTCCATTAAAAAAATAATGCACCTCTAAAATATTTTTTTTTCCAAGGAGGTATCTGCCACCATAGTTCATGCTGTCTTTTAATTTTTTTTCAGAAAAAAAAGTAAAATGAAAAGGAAAGAACTATTTATCTACATGGGCAAGCAATGTTGCTAGTATGGGCATGAAAGACTACTTACTGCAGGCTGAACGATTAAATCTGTGAAGTCCTGAATTGAATACAATAGTAAGCTTTCCAGCTGACGAGTCATTAAAGTGGCAGCACAACTGAAGAAAGATGCGAACGCAGCACTGTTGGTACTGCTGGGTATTTGCTTTTTCCGATTACCTTGGTAAAAGATATTCTGCACTTCTGGAAACCACCTTAAAAGAATATAGTATTTTAAGGTTTTTAGAGAGATTGCTATAAACAAGCACAAGTTTTTAAGTTAATTACTAGACATGCATATATTATAAGCAGTCAATAGATGCACTTGGAAAACCATAGCTTAGCTTAAGAAGTTCATGAAAATGCTATCTCCTATTAGGGAATCACATTTAAGATATAAGATACTATGACAGCTAGATCTGCTGTGTTGCTTTGTCTCCTATATCTCAGGTCAAGAGAGGTCAGAAAGGCTTCAGAGGCACCACACTGAAGTGCCAGCAATAATGCAGGTCTTTAAACAACCCTGTAACTTCGGGGGATGTTAAGACTGAAAAATGAAGGGAATGAAATCAGCTCTATTACGCGGTTTTAGAAAAAGGGTAGAATAAAGCGCTTGAAGTGTGTAGCCTTAATCTAAGAGCACAAAAGTATCATCTGGGTCAGGGAGAAATACATCTAAAAAAAGCAAAGTCTATAAGTAACCATCATAGACAAAGGCTGAAATAAAAATTGGGAATACAGTAGTGTCGAGAATTGTTTCATTCAATAGAATCTGAAATGGTAGAATAGTAGTAATAAATAATTGCAGGAAGCAAGGAAGCATTATTGATTAACGAACATAAATAATACAGTTTGGCTATCAATATCTGCAAAGAAAGATAAAAATAATTTTGATGCTTTATTTGAAACTCTGAAGTATACTGAGTGCACTGTTGGAAAAATAGTGGGTTTGTTTCTTTTTCGGTATCTCAAACTGGATGTACAAACATTACACTCAAATATTTTGTTTTAAAATACTTAAACATAATCTGCAATGTCAATGGTTCTTATAAATATGACATTCTTTAGATGACTCTGCTCTCAGAGAGAGTCATAAAACTGAGTAGATACTAACATGGCAGTTATATTTTAAATTGCTATACCTTATTTATAGTATTTTTTTCATTTATTTCTCTCTTCAGCATTCGGTATTTTAGGTGGTTACGCCTCCATTAAGTTAAAATACTTTTAAAAAATCCTTCAAAGAATAGAGCACAAAAGAGATCTCAAAATAAAAGTTTTTGTCATAACACATTAAAAACATATACTGTTAGTGTAATGACTCCAAAATTCAGAATTTTTTAAAAAAGTACAGATCATGATAATATGCTAAATATTTACACAGCTCTGTTTGTCTGTAAGCCTCAGAGAATTCTACAATATGGCACCCCTTTCTTCAATATGCACAGTTAAAATGGGTCATGCCTTCTGCTCCTGTAAAACTTGGACTTCCAAAAGCATAAAATGGAAAAGTTGAAGGTATCACTATAGCATTAAAAGATATGGATACACTGGATCATACTTCCTAGACAGAATCACTTTGGAATTTCCTATTTCCCTCATGGCTTTAATCTGGAAAGACGAGAGTTCCGCAGCTCCCTGTTTATTGCGAAATATTTCCGTATCAATAAGGCGTAAATCTCTGAAACAGAACACAACATGAATATTTTAGAATCATATTCACAATACTTTGTCGTTCGCTTTCTTGTTTCCATAGATTTTTTTCATATACCACATTCAAAATATATTTAAAAACTTGTTTATAATGCCTTCAAAAATTATTTAAAGATTTAAGGGTTATTTTCAGAAATTATCTTGTATTATTTCAGGACATATGGTTTCAGAATCACATGTAAGCACTGCAGTACTGTCTCTATGCATGACATTAAGCTGAAGATATAATTACAAACATACATAAATTATTATTATGTATTATTATTATATATATACATATATATATACACATTTATAGATTTTAGATTTAGATATATACACATAGACATACAATTACATATATACATTTGAGCATATGAACGAGTATTTTCAGAATCAGAGCTAATGTAAATGGTACTCATATCAAGGCTCATAAGTTAAAACCGCTGAATGCTTTAAACAGCATTCCTTTCTAGAACTCAATATATTTTACAAATATATAAAATGATATAAAACTTGTATAGAAATATTATTTTCAATATTTATAAAGACAACTAACCAAGTTTTGTCTACTACTATGCAGATGCAATAGCAGAAAAGAGGCACTCCTTGCAAATTACTAGAGCAATTGCACCTGGCCTGGCCTGATCATTTCATTTCTTTCCTATCACCAGTCAAGAAAGCAGATTGGTCTGCTCTGGAAAGCAAAAAATAACGGCCCACCTAATGTATTTTCACAGAATCACAGTCTCTCAGAAGGGTTGAGGTTGGAAGGGGCCTCTAGAGACCATCCAGTCCAGCCCCTGCTCCAGCAGGGACACCCAGAGCAGGGGCACAGGGTGGCAGCCAGGCGGGTTTGAAGATCTCCAGAGAAGGAGCCTCCACAGCCTCTCTGGGCAGCCTGTGCCAGGGCTCTGGCACCCTCACAGCAAAGAAGTTCTTCCTCACATGGAGGTGGAACTGCCTGGGGTTCAGCTTGCACCCATTACGCCTTGCCCTGTCACTAGCCACCACCAAGGAGAGTTTGGCCCCATTTTCTTTACATTCTCTCTCTACTTGTACATATAGATCAGATCACCCCTCAGCCTTCTCCTCGACAGGCTAAACAGGCCCCGCTCGCTCAGTCTTTCCTCACACGATGGCTGTTCCAGTCCCTTCACCATCTTCGTGGCCCTGCGCTGGCCCCTCTCTAGCAGCTCCACGTCCCTCTTGTCCTGGGGAACCCAGAACTGCCCCCAATGCTCCAGGTGCCTCCCCAGAGCTGAGCAGAGGGGCAGGATCCCCTCCCTCGCCCGCTGCCAACGCTCCTCCTGCTGCAGCCAGGAGCCCATGGGCCTTCCTGGCCACGAGGGCACGTTGCTGCCTCATGGGGAACTTGGTGTCAGCCAGGACTTCCAAATCCCTCTCCAATTTTCTTTTGACAGGAAGACAGACTAACGTAAGAGGAAGTCTGACCAAAGAAAGACCACAAAAAAACCTCAAAGTTAAGGCTTGTCAGAGTCTGCAGAATTAAAAGAAAATAAACAAGAGTACTTGGGTAAGATAAGATCATAGCATAAGATCATAGTAGCTCTGTTCTGGAACTTTTCTGCACAAAAGAACAGGCTGTAGAAAAAAAAAAAAGAGAGAGAGAGAAAAAGTAACATACTGTGTTTTCCAGGTGGCATTTCAGCCAAGCTCTAAAGAATATCAAGTATGAAATAGCTACATTTTTAACTTTGATGTTAAGCTTCTTGGTTAAAAGTGCCTAGATACCAGACGAAAAGATGATGGTATATGTGACAGTTTTTGAAATGGTTCCATGTCAGTTCTGGAGAAGTACGGATAAGAAAGCTTCACCTCTATAGAGCAAAAGCTGGCAGAAATTCTTCAGAACACAAAGTTAGAGGGCACGTAGACAAATAAAACATAGTGAAAATAATGGATTTTGAACAAAGAAGTCATATCCACAACCAATCTCCTGATATTTAGTGCAGCAGTCAAAAATATAGTATGTGACTTGGAAATTGTAAGATGTCTCCAACCATGTTTTTCCTTATATGGATTCCAAAATCATTGAGCACTGTTCGAGCAAATAAAGTTCTGCTACTAAACGTCAACCATAATAGCTGAAAAGCTAGGAGATATAGATAACACTTACCTAAATGAAGTCTCCCACAAATGTAGAACTGCTAGTATTGTAGGATTTACTGCATGCAAATTTTCTTTTATGTAACTGTATGCTGACAAGAAAGATTTGTTCCAAGGTTTTGGCACCACTTCAATTCTAGAAAACAAAAAGCATACTACAATGTATATAGCTGTCCTAAGAATCAATAGTTTGTACTGTTTTAAGATAATTGTTTTGCATCCAGAAAGCTTAGAATTTAGAAAATAAATCTAGTCTTCTGCTTCTTTATTTAGATCTTAAAAATACTTTTTTATTTAAAAAATTTTTACTTGTAGCTGTGCCAATTTCTATAGCAGCTGATGTTACTGTTGAAATACTAATACAACTAATACTGTTGAAATTACATTTTAAGAAACATACACTGTAACTTTAACTATTTTTGTGTTACTAATTGTAACTGTAGTTCTTCAGTAGGGACTTACGTGTCCAGGAACCATTCACTGAACAATTTTATTTTGTACATATAGCACATTACTTTACACCTCCCTGTGTTTTTTCCACATCTTCCTGAATATTTCTAGAGTGATACCACGAAACGAAGCGCGATACTCTAACCGCCCCCTCAGATCCTTTTGCCTCACATCAAATCTCAGACTGATAACTTATATATTGAACATCCTGCTAGTGCAGACAATCAGTACGTTCTTGGCAGGACTCAGCAAACTGGCAATCATCTCAAACTGGGGTGATTTCTCGTTAACAGCTCGGGTATTCCCCTACACAAGCTTCTTGGCAAACCTCACTCAACTGGTGGTGGTGTTAACAGTGTGCTTACTGCGTAGGCACCCATTTTCATACCAATAATAATAATAATAATAATCTATGACTGCAGTGGGGCACAGCAGTTATGAAAGTGCTCCAGTAGGTAGTCAGCAAAACTACACAGTCAGTAAGTTCATGAGAAGTAATACCATGAGGCTACTCAAACACTGATGATAATCTTTCCTAGTATTTTACAATGACAAACAACTAATCTAAGAATTATTCAGCCACAAACATTTTGTCTCTCCTCCAAGATTTTGCTTTCCTCAAATAAGATTATTTGAGATGACTTAGAAGTGAAATATGTGGGGAAAAAAAATCAGTAAACAGTAACAGATGGTAGAAGAAAAATGACTTCTGTTCCATATATGGACAAATTTAACCTCAGTTTACAAAATAGTAACTGCTTTTTATTTCCAACAGAAGAGCACATTTCTAAGGGAAAAGCAAAAACACTCTTGAGAAGTAGCTCTTGTAGTTGCAGAACATTTACTCCCATCTCCATAACTAAGTACTACTACTACTACCACAAAAAAAGATATAAAATAAAATCTTTATACATTTGTCAGTAAATATGCATTCTATTTAAGACAGAAAAAAATGCCAATAGAAGAGAAAAAAACATGAAATTTTTCGACATCTATCTTTCATATCTAGAAGCAAGTTTCACATTTTTAGTACTGTTAAAGGAATAAGATTGTTATTAACCCATTATGGAATTTTTTTTACTTTTGGCTTTCAGAGAATTGTAGAAAAGTTGAGGTTGAAAGGGGTCTCTGGAGATCATCCAGTCCAGCCTCTGTTCAAAGCAGAGTCACCTACAGCAGGTTGCTCAGGATCATGTTTTTGAGCATCTCACAGCCTCTCTGGGCAACCTGTTTCAGTGTTCAACCACTCTCACCATAAAAAGCTTTTTTCTTATGTTCATAAGGAACTTCCTGTGTTTCAGCTTATACCCACTGCCTCTTGTCCTGTCACTGGGCTCCTCTGAAAAGAGTCTGGCTCCATATTCTTTACATCCTCCCTTCAGATATTTAGATCCTTCCCGTGCTGCCTGTTCCCTGAGCTCTCTCGGCCTTTTCTCATATCACAGATGTGCTTCCTCATATCTTAGTAGCTTGACCTGCTGCAGTAGTTTCATTTCTCTCTTGTCCTGGGTAGCTTGTAACTGGACACAGCACTGGAGGTTGGCCTCACCAGTGCTGAGCAGAGGGAAGGAATCACTGCGCCAGCAGTGCTCTGCCTAGTGCGGCCCCAAGGGCAGGTTTCTGGCTCATATTCAGCTTGTTGCTCACCAGGACCCTCAGGTTCTTTTTTGCAAAGCTGCTTTCAGGCTGGCCAGCCACAAGGCTGTACTGGTGCATGAGGGAACACCTCCCCATGTGCAGGGCTTTGCACTTCCCTTAGTTGAACTTGGTAACATTCCTATTTGCCCAACTCTCCAGCTTGTCGGGATGCCTCTGAATGGCTGCACACTCCCCCAAAGCATCAGCCACTCCTCCCAGCTTTGTATTATCATCAAATTTGCTGAGGGTGCACTCTGCCCCATCATCCAGATCAGTAATGATGAAATTGGAGTCACTACTGGAGTCAGTACTGACTTCTGGGATTCACTGCTAACTATTAGCCTCCAACTAGACCTCTTATCACAGATCACAACCCTCTAAATTTGGGCTTTCGGACAGTTTTCAATGCACCTCACTGTCTGCTCATCTAGCCAATGGTTCATCAGCTTATCTATGAGTATGCTGTGGGAAGCAGTGTTGAAAGCCTTGCTGAAGTCAAGGTAGACAAAATCCACAGCTCTTCTCTTCATAGCGGGTCATCTCATGATAGAAAGCTATTGCTATACAGCAGACTTTTTAAGGCAAATGTCCTTTACTCTAGTCCTTTACTCTAAATAAACACCAAATCTATCTACCATTACAATTTGGATGTTGATGCATACTGGAAAACCAAACAATGCATCTATTATTGTTTTTAATGAATAGCTGAATTATTTGGAAGAACAAGACAGATTTGTGCTGCTCCAGATAGATTTACTATCTTAAACCTGCATATATTGAACCAAACTATCATCATCTGTAAACAAGCCAAATTTTCACTGAAATCAAGTGCAGGGCACATCCTTGTTGCAGTAAGTACAATGCAATTTACACAGAAGGATTCAGACTGCTATATCCCATTTTCAAGTGCTCTGAGACTTAAAATGTTATATGCTGCAAAAGAAAATTAATTTCCAGCAATTATCCAAGGTAGAAACATTTTCCATAATTTCCTCTAAGGATGTTGCATAATCATTTTTGAATTTACATAACTAAGTCTTATTTACTTTTATTATTTTTTGCCATACCCCAACTCTGTCTCTACCTCAGACATTACGCTATTGCATTGCTCTCTAGTCAGTGGTTTTTGGACAAAAACATTTCCTTACTCTGCACGATGAGGTGGGAGAAAACCTTTCTTCTTGTCTTCATCTTTTTCCCTGGGGTCTCTTAAAACAAAGTCAACTAGAAAAAGTGTAAAAATAAGCCAAAATATAAGTAAACTTAGCAAAAGAATAAGGACAACCAAGGGGACTAAACGCTCAACTCATTTATATGAGCAATTTTTCCTGAATATACATGAAAAGGGATTCCATAGAAAGCTATACTATTAAAATAGGATTTATAAAAGAACATTTAAAACAAATCTTAAAAGATCAAAAATACTGAACAATATTAGCTTTCAGTATTACAAGGATAAGATAATGTGAGCAGTGCTTTTATTAAAATGTGCACCTAACACCTAGGAAGATACTTATATAATGCTTCAACAACAGTAGATGTCAACAGGTAAGAGTACTCAACAATGAACATTTCTGAAGAGGAAAACACCTGAAATTTACCTATAGACTTTTTTACACTCAAAAGATAGTCTTCTTTCATTTCATCAGACAGCAAATGTACACTTTCCTCAAGCACTTTCAGACGTGGTGGAATTAAAGCTAAGACATGATCTAGCCATGATTTCTCCATTGGGGCCACATTTTCTGTATCAATTCCATGGTGAATGTAATAGTAGTATTTCTGCAGGATAAAATAATAAGATCATGGTTATGTACAGTACCAGACAGTCACTGCTACCTCAGGTTTAGTTAGATATATGGACTTGCTTAGTAAAAGTATATTTAATTAGTACTAAGGACTGGCTTACACAGTAAATTACATGTACTTAGTAAATCTAAGCAAATACCTTCATCAGCTTGTCAAAAGCTATTAGGCAAAACGATCATAAAAAAGAGCTGAGACGGAAAAGCACAGTACAGAATCATATTCTTTATCCCAGTTCTCTGAGGAGAGCTAAGTAACAAAAATTGCTGTAAAGATCAGACATGACTCCTTGAAATCAGATTTATATAAAAAAGACAATCATGGTGAGCTGACTTTACAATAGCACTGTTTCAGTGACAGTCCTTTCCTTAAATACATTTCCAGTGTGTACTCATCTACCACAGTATTCCAGCATGATCATTTTTATCCCCAATACTTAGATCTGGACTGTATGGTCTAAGAGAAATCCATGCAGTCTCCAGAGCTTCAAATGAATCCAAAACTTACAGGTAATGCATTGCTCAGAAATATATGGAGCAATATGAAAATATAATCACAAATACATCTGATTGTATGCCATCATTTAATTAGGTGTGTGAAATATATAAATATATATGTATATATACTGATGTAGAAAATTTGTTGCCAAATATAAAAATGAATCTACATTATCAAAAAATACATTAGAAATAATACATTGAAGTGAAACTAATAGCAGAAGAACATGTCAGTTCCAATCACCTGTCACGGTATCAAACATCTCTCATGGTATCAATCACCTTGTCTGTATTTACAATAAATAACTGGCTTTATATTTTATTTAATATTAATTAAATAAAATATTTAATATTTATATATAATATTATACATAAATTAATATTTAATATTATATAAAATATTAGCATGGTTTAATTATATTAATTCAATTAATATAATTTAATATTTTCATAGAAAAGCATCTTTGACTACCAAAATATCTTTCTCTGCTGCTAGAGAAGAATCTGTTCCTGGAGGCTGGGTTCCATCAAGGGATGGAAGCTGCTTCTCAGAACCCTCTTCCTGCCTAGCAAAAAAAGAACAGAGCATGTATCATATTCTTCAGAAGCATGGCCAGCCTACATGTCAGCTGTACACAAACAAAACAAAAGAGATAAAGGGCACCATTTTACAATGAGCTTAAGGCATCCTAATGTAAAAACAACTGTGAAGCAGGTGATCAAGTTTGTGTTTTTACCTGCTAAGGTTCAATGTTGAAAACTCGTGATATACTGGTGACACAAATCAGAAGTATGTATATGAATGTAATCTTTAACTTTTTTTTTTCCACCAATCTAATTTTTAAATTTGATCCATCTACCAAAAAGTAAAAATACATATTCAAAGATGAAAATACTCACAATATAATGTTAACAAGGGCACTTCTAAAATGCTCGCCTTTCTTCAGATGGCTGCTTTTCTGCAGCTTAGAAGTTGATGGTCCAGCAACCACTTCACTGTCTGCAGAATCCTGAATCTTGCGTCTCTTACGTCTTGTCTCCAAATATTTTCCTTGCAGAAAAGACATTTTGAAATTAAGTCTTATGAATCCAAATGCGTTGTGCATATACTTAATTTCCGAGTGTTTTTAAATAGTACTAAATGTTAGCCTTACCAGGTAAATACACTTTTTTTGCAGTAAAATCATCTGATTCGTCATCTTTCTGTTCTTTCCTCAGATGGAATGAAGGACAAGTCTGCTGCCACAATGGCTTAGACCTTGTCTAGAATAAATATTTTATTATTTTAGTTTTATACTTGCTGTAGGTGCTACTAACACATACCTTAAAAGATCTTAAATGAAGTAAGCCAAAAGACTATAACCTGATACACACCAGTAAGAAGGCAGCATAAAAAAAACGCAGCCTGTTACCCAGATCATGAGCGAGATGCGTAAGTTTATATCTGCGGTTATTCATTTACTCTCTTGTTTTATGCATATCTTCAAGCTTGTTCAAATCCTCTACTTTCCATATTTTCAAGTAGTGACGTAATTTCCAAATACTGATTTTTTTTTTCAAATATAGATTAAATACACAGTATGTGTGTGTGTGTGCATAGTGCAAAGAGAGAGATTATATACATTATTAAACTTCAGTATAAATTTAAAACAGAACGGTCTTTACCCAACCATGCTCTGAGGTGTATTCGAAAATGAAAGCTTTCAAAAAAGCCAACACAACTACCTGAGGCAACTGTGGGAGACACTGCACTGCTTTCTTTGCTGATTTCTCTTTGCCACTTGGTCTGCTCTTGAAAATAGAAGGAAAATCACAAATAAATATCTAAATTTCTAGTGAATGTCTTGGATGTTAGAAAAGTTTTGATAAATTACTGAGTAGCAAAAGAAAACACAGTAATTAAAAAAGTGCCCATCAAAATACTCCTAGACATCATTACCTTATTTATGCTTCATGATGAAACAGAAGAGAGGAAGAAAAAAGGCGGAGGGGGGAAATTCAAGTGCTGAAATCAGTTTTTTGAGGTTGGCGTCAAAAAAGCGAGGGGTAATTCTTGACCACTGAGTAACTGATACTCGTCATAATACATTGCCTCTGTTACATATGACCATATCCTGCATTCATTTGTTCCCTCCCTTCCAGGGCGGTGAGAGATAGAAAATGGAGCATGAAATTTTTATGGGAAGTTCCTAACTCCCCTTGGGGAAAGGAAGGAAAACCGGCAGAGCAAAGGCATCACGGTGACACCAGCACCTAAACCTGAGGGTCAGCTACCACTTTAGTCCAACACTGACCTCCGCATGAGACATCGGAGCACCCTCTGACCATACCCAGAATTTCAGGTAGCGTGTTTTAGCAGGGTACTGCACCCTATAGACACACAGGACAATCCAGTGGCAAAATTATTTAAATTTGTCTCTGACATGAGCGCTTTCTGTGCTCCTTTCTTCCTTACCCAATACACACCAATACTAGCTCTTTTCCTGCTCCTGCACTTGCAATAATACTGCTCATCTATTCCACAACCAGCCTCACCCTGATTTGGTTCTTATACAAAGACTACAGAAGGGAGAAAAGAAGAACAGAAAATGTTTGTAGACAGAAAGATTTGCATGACAGGTCTGCTTTTTGTCTGGTATTTCAAACAGCTTTAACTCTACCAGGAAAATAGGAAACGATCTATTTCTTTGTAATCTAACATACTCAACGGCAAATAGAGCAACGCTACAAAGCAGGTATCACCTGTCTTTTGTAATGGAAGAGTGAGCACATCTCTTAGCAGCATCTGTGCTACATCACAAAACTAATTCCTTCCTAAACTCTTATGTAGCCTATGCAGAGTTTTTTAGTGTGGACACAGCGCTGCACAAACACAGCTATCACGGAATCATAGAAGAGCTATAGAAATTCTAAAAGAGTAGTATCCTTTCCCCGGCATGATAAGGACCATAATGTCAATCCTCACACCTTCCTTGAACACCTAAGAGAAACCTGGATATTTGCACAGACATCAGGAGCACAAAAATGACTTTTCTTTGCGCATCCTGAAGCTTCACCTGGATTTTGTGCAGTCGAAAGGCAGAGACGCAGTGCCACTATTTACACCCCTGAGCTGCTGCTGCTGCTGCTAAAACCGGCGTGGAAACTTAGTGCCTTGAAGGGAGCACCGAGATTCTCAAAGGTTATGTTGTAAACTTAATATTGGCAACAAGATCCGCCCCCAGATGTGCCTCTCGCCTTGGATTTGCGCTGCTGAAGCGATTAAAACAAGCCGGCCAAGGCCCTGGGTGCTCTCACCCGCTGCTCCGGGACAGCGTCGCGCCCCGGCAGAGCACCAGGGTTTGTTTGACTGACATGGGAAAAAAGCTTTGCAATTGCAAACTTTCAATTCAAGCCGGTTGTTAAGCCGATGTTAAAAACCTGTTTTAAGAGAAACAAAAAAATATACTTTTCGGATCCCCACCAGACCTCCTCACCCGGCCAGGGCCGCACAGAGGGCTGAGCGAGGGGTAGCAGGACAGAGCCGCGTCCCCCAGGCCCGCTACCTGCTCGGCGCTCATCTCAGGAGCGGCGGCGCGCGCCGCGCAGCAGCGGACACGAAGCAAGGCGCGGAACGAGGCGCCCAGGGGCCACGAAGCGAGGCGCGGAACGAGGCGCCCAGCGGGGCGCGGAGCGAGGCGCCCGGGGGCACGGAGCGAGGCGCGGAGCGAGGCACGGAG